CCGAGGCGGGCGGCGCAGTAGGGATCTTGCTTTCCAATGGTTTTGCGGTTGGGCAGGTTCTTTGCGCGGTCGACAATAGCGACTAAGGTTCCAATCAAGGGGCCGTCAACGGTAGGGTCGGCGAAGATTCCGGCCGTGTGCATCCCATTGAGGGGGTGGACTTTGGATTTGGGTGCCGCCATAGCTGCGGTGTTTTGGCGGTTGCTGTTTGCTGCGCTGTTGTAATAAGTGGTTTGTTTACAAGTTCAAATCCGCTGCGATGATGTGAAGTCGAGAGAAAGGCAATAAACCAGGGCTGCTGATGAGCCCCAGAAGCGAGAAAGAATAGCTCTTCTGATCGAAGCTATTTACATGTGGGTAGAGGAGCCTTTGAAGACGGGTATCAAAACATTCGATGTCGAGGAAAGCAGATGTGACGGTGGAGCGCACCGGTAGCAAGTCGATAAACAAAAGATCAAGATCTTGATGACGACGAACAATGAGAAGGAAAGGAAAGCGAGGACGTAGTCAAACGTGAATCAACGCTTCAGCCGAGGAATGAATGACAGCGGCAGCGGATGTGGTGGAGGAGGAGGAGGAGAAAAGAGGTGGAAGCGTGAGAGAGTGTGTGAGATGAAAAGACACCGAGAGTGTGGTGGTGGTGGTGGTGGGAGCGACACGGCCGGAGCTGAGCAGGTGCGGTGCGACGTTGGCGGGTGATGAATGATGTCGCTCCAGGATTGTTTTTGGCGGCGGGCGACATGGAACTTGCAAAAAGACCATGCCAATTGGAGGGAAAGTGGGGCTGAGTTGTCGAGCCAAGGTATCTCGCCTCACAATGTCTTCGCGAAGCTACCTTGTTGGAACCTACACTTTCCTAGGCTTAGCCCAGGACCTTGGGTAGACACCTCTTACAGCCCTGGACCTGTCGAGTTTCCCAGGTATGAGCTGCTAACCTTCCCGTTTTCTGGCTGCTGGGATGTTAACCGTCCAACCTCAGCCCTCCAAAGTTTTACTATGTGCGCCCTGCGTTTGGCCAGTTCGGCTGGGCTTAACCTGATGTAAGGTATCCATCCGTCAAGATGCTCACATCAAAGGTTCCGTATCAATAGTCATTGAAGCGTCTGCCAGGCGTATCAGGCTGGGTAACTCGACTGCGCCAAGGCACTCCCATCGGCCAGAATTCAGAGGTGGACCGCACTGTGCGTGCAGGGGCCGTCCCAGGGCCGCGCGTGTGGTGGCTGGGCGAATGAGGGGCGACACAGTCCCCACTTGCACTCCACCGCAAACCTGAATTGGGGAATATGTTGTGGCTGGTCGGGCTGGGGCAGATGCCACCAAATGCTGCAACCGCTTGCAACTGTTTCTTACCATGACAGGTTTTTTCCCACCTTCTCAGGTACCAAAGTCCTCTAGGAATCCGGAGCTCGAAATCCAGGCACCATGAACCAAACAAACACCAGAAGCGGCCTTGCCGGGACCCGATGTGAGACGACGGGCCAAGGAGACCGTCATCGTTTTTTTCGGGGTTCAACATGTCAAGTCAAGCGGGGTGGCAGCACCGAGTGACATTTGGCTGGTGCCTGGCAGTCTACATGCTCGGTACAGATACCTCCCCCAGACGAATGCAAATGAAAAGCAGAACCAACAAATCATGCCACTCTTGATTCGGCACTCCATCTTGGGCCGTATCACTCTACGAGAAATCCGGGAGGCTGGCTATGTCTATAGACCTCCAGGCCTTGTCTTTTCTCTTGCGCCCTCATCTCCAAGATTGGCAGGGCTTTCAATACCAGGAACCCCAGGGCATCAAGAGGTTGTCCTCGACCGCTACAGGGTTCATGTGCCGTAGCACAGGGGTACGCGAGCTGAAGAGCAAGGATTCGAGATTCCGAAAAGGCGCCCCTCCCAAACCTTTTTTCTCATCTTGCCGTCATTTCATCGTCTTTACCGCCGGCCGTCTCGCCTCGCTTGACGACAAGCCATGTCGAAGATGCTACCCGAGCCCCCATCAATTGCTTCCCGTGTCTGCTCCGCTGGCGGCAGGGGAAGGGTTTTAAGGTGACCAAGAGGAGAAGCCAATATGGCACTCTCCAACTGTGCCACTCGGAGTACTCTAGGTACATCTTACGGAATATCGAGGATTGGGCCCAAAGCCGTGACTCGCTCCATCGCCCGTGGGCACAGTACGGGGAAAACGCGCACGAAGTACAGTAAAGAGACCACAGACCGATGCAGACGACGTGGTCAAAAAGTTGAAACACGAGATTGAGACCGTTGCATAACTCTGCGCTGTCACTGCACCGCTTGCAGGCTATCAGATGGGTTTCCAAGTGAACAGGTGGTTGGTGTCTCGACTGAGGCAGCTATACCTACAAGTCTGACGTTTCTGAGCTATGATTGCCGCCGCTGATCACCTTACCAGTGCGTTCGCCCTCGAATTTCCAAATTTCTTCGAATTCGACATCTTCGTTCCTATCCGCGGAGCTGAACGAAACTCAATCCGCGTCTTCGGCTCCAAGAGTACTCTATCCGTACGCGAGAACTTCTGCTGCGGACCTCCCATACAGGCCCTCTCCAGCTTTAGCCATGGCCCGCACCTGCAAGCAGGGTACATGCACATCATCCCGGACTGAGCCTCACTGGCTGACGCGCTCAATGGGCCCCAACTCGCCAAAACGCCGCCCCAATGAGAGATTCACAATGGGATTAAAGGCGAAACAAGCAGGCCCGTCAACGTGAAGCATTCCCCAGAAAAGCCCGAAACTACCAATCACAAAGGTTCAACTTCCGCGTTCACGACATCATCTCTGGCTCTACGGCTCCAAAGGCCTTTACGCCAAGAGCTGAACGCTGACGACTACCCGTCCTTCCCCCGCGGGACCAAAATAGAAGCACGAGAATTCAAAAGAACCACAGCGGATCGATCGGCCCGTCACTCATCTTTTAAGCTTTAAACACAAAGAAGAATTCGCGATCTCGTCAAATTCAAAAGATCACCCTTCGCAGTGGGGTCCGGTAGCATGATCACCTCACCCTAGGCACCCAGATGCATCATGTCCAAGAACTACCCGTCGGCATATCACTCCTCCACATCCAAGACGTTCTGGAGACTGAGAGACGCTGCATCGTATATACTTACATAATCCTCCGTGAGGGATCGTGGGATTGCGTACATCATTACGACTCTCCGCAATTGCTGGCCAAGACGTTCTAGACGCTCGTCCGTCCACGCAATGGCATGTAGTATGACGATGAGTCTCGAAAACCCTCAAAATCCATCCTCAGACAACGAGGCATATTTCAATTGTACTACCAGGTAAGTAGACATGCATAACACGTAAGTCTGTCTCAGCCCCAAGAACCTCAGACTATCTCTCAGAGCCGCCACATAAGAAATTCAGCCATGTTTCGTTTCTAGCTCCCAGACGTTTGGTTTCGTCCGCTGTCCTCGGGCCAGCGGTCAGTGGGCAAAGTCCGTCACTTGGGGTTCTACTAGCCCTTTCAAATAGAGGAAACAAAGGGCGCTGCTTGACGTTGCACAGTGTCCGTGTTTTAGTGCCCTTTTTTCTTTGCTTCTCTTGGGAACAATAGAAAGCCGCTAATGTAGTTCGTCTGGTCTTCTTCCTTTTTTTTCCCTCTTCTGCTTTTGGGGGAAAAGCTTCTGGTGCAGCTACCAAGTCTCGTCTCACTTTCCATAGCAACCGGCCTGGGCTAGTGACTTTTTCCCCCGCTGCACGCATCGTTGCTGTGGAAAATGTGTGGTGCGTTAACGGGTTTTGAAGCCATCATCACCACCAGTTCCACCAGAAGGTTTAGATGATACTTTATTGAAAGTCTGCCCCTTGCCTTGATCTAGTTTGCTTCTCTCCATAAATCCCTATTTGATCAGATTGAAGATATGACTCGAGGTTTCTGTTGAGACGGCAACTTCGCTATTGGAGAAGCAGGGTCCTCCTCCATTACTGCAGCTGGCAGCCGATGCTCCGGGTCTCTCCTCTACGGGCACAGGGAGGCTCTCAGCACCCCCACCTCTGCCCGATCACGGCTCATCGCACCCGAAGCCGAAGCCCAACGCCGGCCTCCCGCATTCCTCGGTCGAGTCCGATGCGGAGCGGGAAGGGTGAAGGGGGCGTGGAGGGCCGCTCACACCCAGGCACTCCGCAAACAACAATTAGGCAACCCCCGAGCCCCCATTTAGCTCCCTTTGACATCAATTCCATTCCGATCTTGGGATCCATGAAGTACTTCCAAGTCCCCAGCTCCGTTCAATAGTAACGATAGTTTCTTTCTGCTCGTTGCCATTGCCGCCCAGAATAACAATGCTCTCCACGCACTGTAATGATGGAGTCTCGGGCAAGCTTTCGAAAACTCCAAAGCCCAAAGGTGGATTCATTGACCTGGCTGGGCATCACCGAAGGGAGGCTGGGGACCACTTCTAAATAGAGTTTTTTTTTTTTCCACACATCACATAGGCATTCAGAGTGGGCGTCCCCCGACTTTCTATTACTTTGTACGTAGTACTGCGGAGTACACTCCGAAGGGAGAACTTGGGCTAGACTTGGGTTAGACAGCTTCGATGACGCGCTGAGCTCGTAGGAGGAATGCTGTCTGTAGCTCACCTCAGCTCATCTTCGCAAAGTACCTGATAACTCTGTTTCGTAATGAGGCTGCAGGTAGTTGGGCATCAACCCACAGAGGCAGCATCAACTGAATGAGCGTAGTTTAATAGTCACAAGAGAAAGCTTCGGGAACGCAAAAGGTTGGGCATAGTCGCCATGCCACTCAGCGGACACAATTTTGGCCCTGATCCGGTTTCCCAGCGTCTAAAGATAGTGTCATAAAGCCAACTTCAAGAGGCTAGACATGATTCTCCCAGATGATCTCCGATTAAATGAACGCTCCGTCCGCGTATCGCCAGCATGAGCAGGTGTGAAACGATGAAAAGATTCGTACCCGGTCCAAGCGTCATCCCGAACGGACATACAAGATGCCTACAGTGAAAACCCAAATGCGCCCTCTCAATCTTTCCATTCCAACAGCTTGCCAGCTTCCAAAACGCCAACCATGTCGCCATGGTCCAAAACAGCCAGAAGAGAGTCCGAATTACAAACGTACTCGCCGTCATCCGCGGCGCCTTGCATGCTTCTCACGAAGTCTACGGCACGACGTATCGTTGTCCCGGAAGAGATGGAGAGCATCTCTGCCCTCGGTACCAACAGATGCGGGATGTCTCTCAGAGACCGTGTGAAGTCCACCGTTGCCAACTTCCTAATGCGACTCGGCGATGCTACAGCGTCGCCGACCCGAACCCAGCCTGATGGCGAGTCGTAAGCAGCCCGGAAGAGGTCTGCGCCGACGCTGCTGTCCACGCAAAGGTGTTCCGAGTCATCAATGTCCACCCAGGGAATGGACAAGTCCAGAATTGTCTGAGGTTTCCGGAACGCGGCCCCAATCGCACCACCCGGATGGTTCTTGGAAAACACCTGTGCAACGCTCGAGTGCAGCTCCTGCGCGGCGGCAATGGCAAGCGCGTCGCCGACGGCCAAGGCGACCGTTGTGGACGTTGTCGGAGCCGAGACACCAAATGACGATGTCTCGCTTTCGTGGACTGGTGCTGGGAGAAGGATCGTGTCCGGTCGGAGTTTGATAAGCTCGCACGTGTCAGGTCTCGTATGTCCGGTGAGGATGACTAATGATGACGGCTTGTCCAAGTGTGGTAATAGGCTGAAAAGTTCGGAGGTCTTTCCGGAGAATGTGATGAAGAGAAGAATATCGTGTTTCTGGATAATGCCCAAGTCGCCGTGAAGCGCATCAATCGGGTTCAGAAACACGGATGTGAGTGAAAGGCTGTTGAATGTCGCAACCAACTTGTTCGCAATGTGACCGGACTTTCCGACGCCGGTAATGATGAGCTTTCCCTTTTCACCCTTGTGCCGTGTGATGGCCGCCACTGTTCTGTTGAAGCCGTCCCGAGCAACGGGGTCTGTCTCATATAAGTTGGCGACTGACCTCAGCGCTGCGGCTTCTGTCTTGAGAACGTGTGTTGCGGCATGAAGTCTGTCCTGGATTTTGGCGGAGCTTTCGTCGCTCTCGGGAAGGTCGTCGGGCGATCCGAGGCTGAGTTCTTCCAATTCTTCCAAAAAGCCATCTTCTGGGGGTGAGACTGGTGGTGAAGGAGGCGAGGGAGGTGGAATTGAGTCGCAGTGATTTGCGCCGAGCACAAAGACCGCGCTGTTTTGCACCGGTCGGTGCTCCATGTGATGACGTTGATCACCCATATTGATAAGATAATGTCCTCTTCGTGAGCGGTGACTACCACTACTAATTGCACTTCGTGTATGGGCGCAAAGATCTGTGTCGTCGCTCAATAAGCAAATCGTCAACCTCGTTATCGTTATCGATCAATGTAGACTGGGTATCCGCCGTGGACCAGATTTGTGCGATAAGCTCTTGCTTCGAGTTCCTGGGTCCGAAAAGTGATGGACACTTCTGCGTTTGAAAAGTACCGAAGCTGGGCTTGAATCACCTAAAATTGAGTCGCGGGGAGCAGCAGGAGTCAAGATCAAGGTTGTGAGAAAACTCCATGACGTTCAGGATTCGCAGCTCGGGGGATTATGGGATTTTGTCCGAAGCGCGCGGTCGAGTACAAGAGGAAGAAAACAAAAATGGACTACGTAAGTTATTGTAGAGAGACCGAGGACCCTGCGCTGAAGCGAGGTGACCTTCCCAAACTCACCTTAATTGCTGTCCCCTCCATTCGGGGCTACCCTTGACTTAGCTTCAGGCGTTGTGGGTAGCTCGCCCCGATCCGGTTCCTTGACTGGCCGATAAACCCATCTTTGGTGCGGCATGTCGCGCTTTGGAGGGATGGTTCTGCATGCCCTGCCTCTGGCGTGATCGAACGAAGCGCGGTGAATGGTTCCCGAGAAAGCATGGGTTGGTAATCAGATCCGGGAAGAATAGGCTTGCTAGCCAGGGACGACACAAGCCTTCTTCCATAGGATGAGGACTGTGGACGTAGATGGCGCTCCCACCGCTTCCGGGCAATTGAGTCAGAGCAGACAGACCGAACAAAGATACGGGCGATAAAGAAGCTTTGCCCCAAGCGCGATAGGAGGTCGGCATCACAAGCAGCCCGAGCCTGGTTCTTCTGGTGGGGTTCCGCGAGTCTATGATCCCTCGATGTTTCTCAAGCATGGATTTGGTATATCGATGCGGCCTAGCCTCGCGATGATGCGTGCTTTTGACATATGCCAGAATCGACCACCCCCTTAATATGAAGCTCCGAGTAGACTCTCTATCGTTAATTCCCGCTTGACCGCTTCAGCTGGCTACCTATTGCAGCTGCCTAGCAATGCCGCAAAAGATTCTAGAATACGCTGTCTAGCTGCTGTTGAGATCGTAGATCGGATTTCTGCGGAGATTTCGGTCGAACTTTTTCTAGGGTAAACAGATCGCCCAGGGCACTGACAGCCAGCACCCTGGGCCCTGAGCAATTGACAAGACCGCAAAAGGCCCGGTCTCCGCTCGATGGATGGAGTAGCAATCCGCTCTCGATGCAGAGTATTTTTGAAGGTTGCCGTGACTCTGCAATTGCAGAATTCTCAGCTCTCAGTTTGTGATTTGCGACACAAAGTTTTTCTCGAGGCGCGTGCATCATCAGCCCAACGTTGCTGCTGGTAATCAGCGTGTTCTCTATGAAGATGAAGACTGGAGAATTGTTTGAGAAACAGCGCTTAGCCAATCAAGGTGCCCATAAGCAACACGGTTCTCTAAATCTGAGTGTGCGGGAGTTGAGGATTAGTATAACGGTGATCACTGGTGCAAATGACTCCAGAGCCAACCATAGAGCAGCATCAGGTCTGCGCATCGCCAGTGAAAGTTGATCCCGGACGAACCATGCCGCCTTGGGTATCTTGGGGGTTGCAACTTGCGGATATCATGCTGTGTTGTAAGAATATTTGATAAAGAGCACCTTGAGTCAGTTCTAGAGCCCCAAGGAGCGCAGATCAAAGGATTGCCGCTCATTGTAGTCGCTTTCACAATGCCTAATTCCTTGCGATTATGCAGCTTGGCGCGGCTGTCATCGTGGCCCTGAGCCTCAGTGCCCATGCTTCCCCGCGGCACGGGCACCTTCGAAATGCACCCCGGGCTAGTAAGCCGGAGATATCGTGTGGCCCGAACACATACGGACTCACCGAGGTAAGGTCAGCGGCCAACAGGACACGCCAGCACGTGGAGGCTGTGATAACGGCTGGCAACTCGTGCTGTCCACAGATATAGGTACCGGAAACAGGAAAGGCTTCATTTCCACAGTATCGATAACCTGCACCATTTCGTAGAATTTCCGATGGGGACAAGCGGTGTTGACAAAGGGGGTTGATAATCTGATTTGAGTTCTCGGGTGTCTGGCATTCGACGACGATCGGCGATCTGGCGTAGACTCAATCTCTGGTGCTTGCACAAGCAGACAAGCTAGGCAGGCGTATTCGTATCATGCCAAGGCAGCTTATGGGCAGGGCTTCGTTGTGGTGGGAGCAGGGTGAATTATTCTTTGAGGCTGGGCTTGAGCTGATGGAAAGACGGTAGATGGGTAAGTCCGGGGCCGACTTCGCAGTAGTTCCAATTTCATGTCAACCAGCGAATGCATTGGTTCTTTTCTGGTGCTAGGAGTCGGTTTTGCAGATTGGACATGCATGACTTCGAGAGCGGGTACAGATAACGGTCTTATTGTTTGTTACTCCCCAACCCCCACGATCCAGATGTCTGACTGTCTGGCTGTCTGACTGTCTGACAGAGCTGGGGTTTCGCAGGCGGTTAGCACGGCAGGCCTGGTTGGTTTAGGCAGTCGAATAAGAAGGACACATTGCCTCAATTTCGTCGTCCGGAATATGTCTTATGAACTCTTGAATCCAACGATATCTGGATAATGACTCACGGGCGCATTCGTCTTCCTGACAGCGTGTTCTTCCCGGAGTTGCTGGTGGGAGAGAGGGTAGGCTGCGACGAAGCTGGACCGCACCTTAGAGTGATAGCTTGAGCTTCCATCAGACAGCGATCCGTGCAGGATCGAGCGGTGAAGACCAAGGTGTCGCTAAGGTGAGGGAAAACAAGATGAGATGGTGCTTTGTCCATCACTAACAATTTCGGGTCAACACTGAGCCAGCGATGGCACCCAGTCAGTGGAATCTTTGCTGGTCAGAAACACGGCGGTTGCAGTAGTGGAGAGGGGGCAGTTGGTGATCTATGAGATGAGAGGTGACGGCCGCAGCAGCGAGCGGCAGGCAGTGGCAGTGAAGCATCGCAAGATGGGATGGGAGAGAGAGACGAGAGCGGGATGGTGTGGCAGGTGCCCCGTGACATGCATGTTCGCTGCAACTCTTAGCTGCAACTGCCTGTAGCTGTTCTCCTGCTGTCGCGGAAAGGTACCTTTGATTTACACCATAGTGTATGGTGACAGATGTATCTTACCTACGTAACCGGTGTTGCAAGCCCACCACACCTCGCGCGTCCTTGCCCACGGTTTCCCGAATCAGGCAAGTAGCGTCATAACGACGACCGGTCTGGCCACCACCAATCGCTGGTAGACAACCCCCCCAGCTTTCCCATCCCAGATCCAGTTGTTCCTTCCAAGGCAATTTGGCCATCTGCAATTCTTGCCTCACCCATCTTCTTTTCTTCCCAGGCAGAAAGGAGGGAAAAGAAGACAACAACGACCTTGCTACACTCTACAGTGGTCTGTTTTTATACAGCTGTCGATTCGCAAAGATGACACGAGTCTCCGTCTACAGCGCCGCCCTCGTGGCCTTTGTCGCTGGTAAGTTGCATCTTTGCCTTGCGCCCGCCCTCCCAGAACCCAAAGCAGAGGGATCCACCCAGCATCGTCATCGCTGTTTTTGTGAGCGCACCTCAGTTCGGAGGCCTGCGACGACACACAGCTACAGCAGAACGGAGGGGAGAAACGATAACAAATGCTTCCAAGAATGTGGTGGAAATATTGCGGACGATGCTGACTTTTACGTTCTAGCGACGGCGATGATTATTGCGTCTATTACGCTCCCCCACTGGGTCACCTACACCGTGACGACCGCCGAGGGCAAGGAATACTCAAAACACATCGGTCTCCATCGATCTTGTTCCACTGGGTTCGACGAACCTTGCCAGGTGTTTCCGACCGAGGAGCTGTGTGCAAATGGCGAACGTTATTTCTGTTCCATGTGGCGCTCTGTCGGCTTCCTTGCCTCCTTCTCGACTATTCTGCATCTGGCGTCCATCGTCACGTTCCTTGTCATTATGGGCGGCGGCAAGTACAAGCGTGAAACAGGCTGGACAGTTCTTGGCGGGCTTCTAGTGTTTGTTGCGGCCATCGAGTTCACGTTGATGGGCATCGTGGTAAGTGGCCTGCTGAATGCGCCGGGCACGAGAGCAATGCTAAATATCGTGACCTTCCTCACAGGCATATCTTTACGACAACGACGAGCAGTTCCAGGTTCCTGGCTGGGGGCTGGACTCCTCCTGGATCTTGTGTACCGTGAGCGCTTCAATTTCGATTCTGTGTGCCGCTGGATTGGCCATTTCCGCCTTTGTGCTTCCGCCAGAGGAGGGCTACGAGTTCCTCAACGACCCCATGCCGTAATCGGCATGTCCAACAATCCAAGACTGGGTTTAGAATCAGCTTTCGAATCGTCGCGCATACAGAAAACCGGCGTCTTCATTTGCCTTCAAGGGGGTGCATGTGTTTTATCTTATTTTCTTCCCATTAGCTTACATGATGAAGGAGTTTTCATACTTGAAAATTTGAAGCGGCTTGAGATGATGTGACGAGAGTGGTGCATCTGGTATATGCGCCATATAATCTAGGTATACAACACAGAATACACGACTTTTACCTTCTACTGGACTGCAAAGTTGTGCCGAATGTCTAAAAGTGACGCAGTGAGGCGATGTTGATAAGCGCGGGCTAATGTATTCGGGACCCGCCGCATCCCCGCATCCACATACCCATCTCTCCCGCCCAATATCAAACGGTGCGCCACTGCGAAACTTAAATGAGCCCATGCGAGTTTGTCAAATCTCACAGGATACAACTGGCTTCTCTCAAGCATTTCCCGCTCAGAAACAACAGAACAGTCTCAGTCTTCTCAAATCTCTGGATCCGAGCTTGACCCCGCTTTCTTATCACCCTATACACGACTCATCACCATGACCGTCCCCGCACAAGACGAGGGTCTCACCCCGGAGCAACTCGAATCTTTCCACCGCGACGGCTACCTCATCATCCCCGGCGCCCTATCCCCGGAGACGGTCTCCGGCCTCCTCGCCGAGACCCACTCCCTGCTGGACAACTTCTCCCTCGCCGATCACCCCATGACGCGCTTCTCCACCGGCGAGAAGGCGGACCACGTCGGCGACGACTACTTTCTCTCCTCGGGCGACAAGGTCCGCTTCTTCTTCGAGGAGGATGCCTTTGACGACGAGGGCAACCTCGTGAAACCCAAAGCCCGTGCCATCAATAAGATTGGCCACTACCTGCACGTCCTCTCCCCGCCCTTTGCCGCCATCTCTGACCCCGCGTCTTCTGCTACCGGCGGTGCTGGGAGCGGCCCCGTCCGCGGTAAGCCGGCCGCCGTGGCCCGCAGCCTCGGGTTCCGGGACCCGCGGTGCCTGCAGAGCATGATCATCTGCAAGCAACCCGAGATTGGCGGCGCCGTGCCCCCGCACCAGGACTCTACCTTTTTGTACACGGATCCGCCGTCCGCCGTGGGCTTCTGGTACGCCCTCGAGGACGCGACGCTCGAGAACGGGTGTCTTTCTTTCCTCCCCGGTTCGCACCGCTGGGCGCCCGTGTCGAGCCGGCTCGTGCGCAAGGCCGGGAACGCGGGGACGGAGATGGTGGACAATGAGGGCCCGCGGTTCCCGCCTGGCGATGTGTACGGCGCCGAGAAGGCGAGCGAGGAGGAGAAGGCTGGGGAGGGCAAGTATGTGCCCGGGGAGGTCAAGGCTGGGGACTTGGTGTTGATTCACGGTAACTTGCTGCACAAGAGCGAGAAGAACTTGAGTCAGAAGGGGCGCATTATTTACACGTTCCACGTCATTGAGGGAGAGGGGAACAAGTATGACGAGAGAAACTGGTTGCAGCCGCCCAAGGCTGGGTTCACTAGGTTGTATTCCTCTTGAGTGGAGATAGAAACTCGTGGGTATTCCTTTGATGGAGACTCAGTCTGCTCCTAATGAAATCAATAGACATAACATCCTCTATATCCTGACATCGAGGTGGTGTACTGGGACAGACAATTAAATAGTGTCACTATTTCTTCGACCCCGTCCGCTTCTTGGGGGCCTCCTCCTCTTCCTCGCTATCATCCTCGCTGCTGTCGTCCTCCTCTTCCGACGACGAGGAAGATTCACTCGAAGTCTCGGCTTCACGCTGGGCAGCCTGGCGCTGTACTTCACTCGCGTTGTCCGACTCGTCCTCGGAATCGCTGTCGCTGTCCGAGTCCGAAGAGTCTGAATCAGACGATTCCTCAGAGCTCGACTCGTCAACGTTGGTACGTCTCTTGCGACGGCGGGGTGCCTTTTCCTTCGTTGTGCCATCGTTGAGCTTGACCCGCTTGTCAGCAGACTCATCCTCCTGAGACGCAGCCGCCTGGGGAGGAGGTGCAGTCTCCTCGGTATCAATGGTCATGGCATCGCTATCCTCGCTGTCAGAAAGCTCCTCCAATATCGTCTCGGCACGCATGCGCTTGATGACCCTCTGGGTAATGGCGACGTCTGTAGACTTGGACACGAAGCCGGCCTCGTCGAAGCGCTTTCTCTTGGAGCCAGCGCCATTGCCGAGCTGCATGAGGCCAGCCAGTACCTTTTCGTACTCTGACTGCTTCGAGTCCATGTCCGGCGTGCCTACTGGGAAGGCAGCCTTGCCCTTCTCGGCGTCCTCCTTCTTGACTTCCGCCGCCGTCTCCCGCAGCCTCGACCGGGTGAAGCCCTTGAGGTCTTGGATGTACTCGTAAAAGGTGCCAATATCGCTCGACGGGATCGCATCGGCGTGGAATACCCGCTTCATCAGGATCGTTTGGTGGTTCTTGTTAAACTTCCACGACTGGCGGGCGGACTTCCACGTCCTGAGGTACTCAAGGGAGGGCTTGATATCGGCAGTCGGCTGCTGGGTCGCTGGCTTGGCCGGCTTGTTGCTCTTCTTCTTGTTCTTCTTGGGGTCGACGGCGGTGGTGGTCTTCTTGACGTCGTCGGCAAAGGTCACGGACTTTTGCTTCCTCAGGGTCGGAGTTGCATTGCTGTCGCCGTCGGTGCGGGTCCTTTTGAAGGGGGAGTTGGAGTTGTACGCAGGGGGAGGAGTAGGCTGATCGAGACGTTTCCTTTTGGCGGCGGCGGCGGCGGCCGGCGAGGCGTAGGCGGCGTTGACGACGGGACCGCTGGCGTCCCGGTCGTGGTGTTGTTGCCCGTTGGGCTTCGATCCCTCGGCAGGAGCAGGGCCGCCAATCTCTGCGCCGGATGCGGGCTGCTTGAGCTTGAGGCCCAATCGCTTCCAGGCCGGGACGTTTGGTGCGGAGGACATGACGGGCAGCGGGCACACCCTCTTTTTTTTTTTTTTGCTCTTTGCTGTCACCGGCTTTGTCTATCAGATTTCCTCTGAAGGGAGGGGTGCTGCTGCTGCTGCTTCCTCGGGCCGCTGCTGGATCGGAATTTGCGTTTCTGCGCGTTTGGCCTGACGAGACAAGCAACAAATGCAGAATTGGGCCGCTTCGATGTTTTCACGTGCGATTGGCTTATTCGATTGGAATGCTGTGGCCTCGTATACCGCAGTCCTATTGGGCGCAATGGATGGTGCTTGACACTTGAAAAGAGAGTATTGGGAATGGTCCCAATACTTTTTTTTTCTCTGGCTCTGAATACTGCCCAGCCAAAATTTTGGCAGCAGAGATGCGTTGTCGTTCCCACTGGACAGGGGTGCCCCGCTGCTCCCTAGTCAATTGGTGTACGTACTGGAGAGTGCCGCTTCAGTATTGGTCTCAGCACGTGCTGTGGTGAGCAGCCGTCGGAGCAGCCTTATGTAAGCTTTGCGTCGTGGGAGAGTTGTTGCCTTACAGAATGAGCCCGGTTGCAAGGCATCCACTCAGCCTTCTAGCCCAGGCCGGGAGCTTCCCGCCGCTGTCGTTGCCTCTGCTCCAGGCAAGCTCCTGCAAACGCGTCGGCATCCAAGAGCTCCGCTAGAGCTCAACCCCGACTTCATTGACGACACCCACCTCGACCTTCCACCCTTCAACGACTCTTTCAAGCTACTGACGACCGACCACGATTTTCTTCGACTTAATTTGATCAATACAACCACAGCAATACCGCCAAGATGTCGGGTGCGTCCGTCCTACGATAGCTGGCCCCAACACTTGTGAAAGCCCACCATAGCTAACATGTCTTCCCTCACTCAGGTGGCTCAGCTTACGACCGACACATTACGATCTTCTCCGAGCAGGGAAGATTGTACCAAGTCGGTATGTGCAGTCTCCTTCCCTACGAACCGATTGCCCCTCCCTGTGGTGATGCCGTCATGCGGGGCTCGAAACGACCTGGGCTGGAAATAGTCGATGGGACTAACGAACCGATGCCGAATAGAATATGCCTTCAAGGCAATCACAGCCGCCAACATTATGTCGATAGGCGTCAGAGGCAAGGACTGCGCCGTTGTCCTGTCTCAGAAGAAGGTCCCTGTAGGTCGAGAATCAGCTGAGTTGCCCGTAGAGGGAGAGGAACTGACCCAGGTACAAGGATAAACTCATCGACCCCGCCTCCGTCTCCCATCTCTTCCAGCTTTCTCCATCTGTCGGATGCGTGATCACGGGCTCCATCGCCGATGCCCGCGCCTTCTCCCAGCGTGCCCAGGGCGAGGCAGCAGAGTTCCGCTACAAGTACGGCTATGAAATGCCCGCCGATGCCCTGGCAAAGAGGCTGGCCAACATCAGCCAGGTCTACACACAAAGAGTGAGCAGAATGCAAACTTCGAGGTGGCGGTGAGAACAGGAACTGACGAGTGGTATAGGCCTACATGCGCCCGTACGGTGTTGCGACGACGCTCATCTCTTTGGACTCTGAGTTCGGTCCTCAGCTGTTCAAGTGCGATCCCGCCGGTTACTACATTGGCTACAAGGGTACTGCCGCCGGACCCAAGCAGCAGGAGGCTCTCAACCACCTGGAGAAGAAGCTGCGCAACAAGGAGCACGCCCCTGGTGACTGGACGGAAGTTGTTGAGCTCGCTATCACGACGCTCAGCACTGTCCTGAGCATGGACTTTAAGAAGGGCGAGATCGAAATCGGCATTGTTGGAGGACCTCGTGCCGACGGCAAGGAGGGCACCGATCCCGGCTTCCGCATCCTGACCGAAGATGAGATCGACGAACGGTTACAGGCGATTGCGGAGAAGGACTGAGGTGGAAGAAACACATTCCGGCCGGTGGAAGCTGGGAATGGTTGGTGCGGCGGATGCTCAGTCCAAAGTGACACTGATGCGTTGACAGGCCAGATCACGCATGAAGTTTGCGGGATATTACAGATGAGAATCAAGTTTAAAGCCCCACGAACCGAGATCCCCGCACACGATTGTACTACTAGCGAGCCTACCAACCACTATAGATCAAGACATTTGGAAGATACTGCCATTATCAATCCAACAGCTATCGATACGAAAGCGTTCGTGCTGCAATTTGTGGCTTGGCTGAGTGCTGATCGAGTAGGCATGCTGGGAAAGTCATGGCTTGCCCGAGGCCAGCGGATACCGTGACTCACGGAGTTTGCGCCGGACATTACCTTGACGAGGGGATATGAGACAGGAGAAAATATGAGCACTCATATGGCCCGGTCAAACTGTGGGAGCATTATCAAATAACGGGCGCCGGATACTCCCATGAGGCTGTCAAGGTGTCGTGAAACGGTCTCATAGGGCGGCCAGTGGTATTAAGTGAGTCGACTTCTCCAAAAAAGCAAAAATTGCAGATGATTAAGGACATTAATAATTGCAGGTTGGTCCATTGAGAGCTCCTGATTGCTCAGCGACCCGAAGTCAGAAATGCTGTGCAAATGCAAGGCCATGTTTCCTTTATTGGGGGCTGCAGAGTTCACGAGGCCGAGACATGGATGACGGTTCTCTAGGAAGATGGCGTCCCGAGTCAGAGCTGGAGATATCAGCCCCCAAAAGCTCCCGACCAGTCCTTTTCACAGCAAATGAGTGCCGGAAGGAACACACCTCCCGAGTCTCCCAGTCAGCCTTCTGCTAGGTCGCAAAGGGGAACGGGGACGGGGGCCTAATGCGGGTGACGGTCCTACGATACTGGTTCAGCTGGAATAAAACGTGCCAAACGTGCCAGCCGTGGGCAAACGTCACAGTTTCGACGTTTAATTGGTCATTATCCCCGTCAAGCCACGAAGCTGTGGAGCAGCACTGCATGCAAAGCTCCAGCCCATTTCCCCTTCCGGCCGCCAAGTCTAGTGTGGATGCAGCTGAAGATCCACCAGCCTTACCTTATTCCGCATCCCTGTCACCGACCTGTCCGTTCTACCGGAGAAAAGACTCGCTTTTGATGGACTCGATGGAGGCTCGTCGGTTTTTTGTGGTTTTTTTCCTCCGTCATCCCATCTTGGCCCCCCCCCCCCCCCGGCTGCCTGCCGACGAAGACCATGTGCTCGTTCCATCCCACCGTCCCAGATCTTCCCACCCTCTTCCCGGCCCAGGTCTCACATCCCATGCAGCCTTGTCCGGCCCATGTTGAGTGGCCGCAGCCATGATCCCGCATGCTGACCTGCCCACCTTACACACCAGACTATCGTCAATTTTGATAGCCGTCCAGGGCTGGAACGTGGTCTTACAGGCTTTCAGGACGCAAGTTGGCATCATTCCAAGGCCTCCTGGCCCTCCACGATATCCAGAGAAGTGTCTCTATCGCATCATCTTGCCGGGAACCGGGGGTATGCCACCAGCTTGGCTAGGGTCTCCGTCTAGCTTTGAGCTTGCAAAGCCATCCCAACTGCCAGTACCCCGGCGTGTATTTTCCGATTCGTCAGCTAGCCCTATCAGCGAACTGGGGGGGCCGTGGATGTTCGGACAGATGAACCAAGGGTTCATTGGACACAACCCTCTCAATGATCTCATGCATCCCTATGGGGCTCCCTCCGCTCGAAGGACCCGGGCATGGGTTCTGGTTCATGGTTCCTGACGGGAGCCAGGCTTGACCTTGATTCGGACTACGCTCCGTAAACCTTCGCGGTTGATTTCTCGTGTCCTTTGGAGGCCGTCCAGAACATACAAAAGGAAAACAGCGTGGCGTTCAAGTTTGATGTCGATCATCATGCTCCATCCAGTGTTTCATGGTCCTCGGAAGTAACAGCCTCTCATTCGTTAATCTGGCACTAATCTTTCTATCTACTTTCTATTCACTCGACTTATTTCCTTCATATCAGATTTCCTTTGATTACTAAGAGTACTAATCTACCCTACGTACTATCATAATGGACGGATGTAAGTTGCAATACGTCAAAGTCCATCCATACGATGTGTTCCGGATGGCATTGGCTCTCGTGATGCGTTTGTGTCTAATATTCTTGTTAGTGAATGACTATCGAACGACGAGAGTTGCCGAAGTGCTCTCCGATTTTCGTACTTTACAATACTACATCGCAGCAGCACCCACAGACCCCAGCAACATGGAAGACTACTACACAGAAGGCTGGGCGGCTTTGCGCCAATGCTCTCTCGACGGGCAGCACATTCTCAACTGCGCCGCCGACACCAGCGTTCCACAAGCAAGTGGCGGGACCCTTGAGCAGGAGAAGGCGGAGCTGAGGCAGTAGGAAACATCATTCTGGCCGATCCTTCGGCAGGCAAGCTGACTTTGATATTGCAGATGCTTGCTTGACGCGTTCTCCAGAAGACACGAGTGTCAAAAGATCTACCTACGACAGGCTGCTGCGCAGCGATGGGTTACCAACAGGGATGGCATTCTGCAGGGCGCTCGACCGAACTCGAGAAACCAATCGCATCTGAGAGCGTGTGATCAACAGCTAAGAGCTGTAAGTTCGGGATATACCGAGAGTGCTGAGACTGGTTGAGCGGCTTGGACTAACACGATGACTCTAGGAGCTCGCTACCTTCACCGACGAGGCGATCTACAACGAACTGCAGGCATCAGATGCCGCAATGGGCCGCTGGACGGCTGAGGACCCAAGTCAACGAGCTGTGCAGCGCTGGCTCCGCGCACGTCGACCGTGAAGGCTCTCCGTCATGGTATCCATGAGACGAAGACTCACGAAGTTGAAACGACTGAGGATGTTCGATGACCCAAGACCAAAAAGTAATGTTTCTTCTGACGGCATCGGGAACGACGGATCTTTGACATAAACGGCGCATGGAGGATACCATTTACGAAGCGAGCGTTTCGATCATGTTTTTTTCTTTCCTTTCTTTCTCTTCTTTCTTCGGCGGAATGCATTATTACTAGCTTTTCATGGGCGGGCCGGACGCGCTTGAACAGGAAGAAGGTCCAGGCAGACCCAACGACTACAGAGAAGAAGGTTATGGTGATAGGAGAGAAGAGGCGAACGGTAGAAGTTTAGATGACTGAAGCTGCCTGGCGCAGGCACGTTGTTCGCTTCTACTGTATATATTTATTACACATATTCTACATGGATCGAGAATGCCAAACACCACATCTTGCATTATGCACCTCGAGCGAGACAGCGGTATACGCAGATTTCATGCATGCACCTTATCTCTTCTCGGAAAAAAGCGGCCCCCAAAAACCATAGAGGTTCAGAATCAATACTTCGTTTTGCTGTGCACGCATAACGCTATGCCTGAAAGAGACAACACCATGCCGACCAAGGTTTCTGCAGCACATTTAGCCATCGTGACCAATCGAAGAGGGTTTCCTCATCTTTGGAACGTCCGCACTTACCTCGACTAATGACCTTCTTCTCAACCCACCAGTCTCCAATGACAGTGAAGAGGAACGCCAAGGTGTTGACGATGGGGACCGTCAAACTCAATTCTAGCACATTCTCCGTCATTCACAAGACTCTTCTCTCTCACTATCTCTACCTCACTCCAGAAGGAATTGCGCTTGAATGAAGGGGAGGGGGAGGCAAATGAAGGTACTCACCAGCTTGCCCAATGAGTAGGAAGAACCAAACACTTCCGGTCAAGTTAATCAACAGCGGCACGGCATACCGCGGGTTCCGCAACAGGTCGATGACGCCGAAGAAGGCGCCGTACACCCGGCTCCGGAGCCAGCTGTTCTTGACGGCGTCGGTGTCGAGGACCGGGTGCGGGGGCGGATTGTGGTCCTTTGCGGCGCGGCGGATAAACGGGGTCGTGAAGCCCCACGCCAGGCCGACAAGGAGGAAGCCGGCGACATAGTTGATGGCTGCAGGCTGGGATTCGGGGGCGTCCGGTGATGTCATTCTGAAGGAGGACGGGTGGGCAGCCCGGCAGTGATGTGTGTGTTGTGTGCGTGCGGATGTGGTGTTTCGATTCTCAGCCTCGTTTCGATATTTGGAGTGAGGTGTGGTTACATCAGCTGAGGCTCTATTGAAGGTTGATTGTGAGAATTGACGGGCAGGAGGGTTTCGTTTGGTTTGGTTTGCGATGGGATGCCGACGGTCCGGAGGACGGGGAATTGGGACGAGATGGTGTGTAGTCGGATTGGGGATGGGCAGGGGCCCGAGCGAAGCCTCAGCTCAGCCACGCGGCAGGGTGGGTACGTTCTTCCTTGACAGCCGCGCTGGGAGTGGTGATTGGACGGTAAGTCCGATCTGACATGGGCACCGCGGCGGCACTAGCCGAGCGGCTGACCTCACCGACTTCGTTCGATGCTTTTTTTTTTTTGGCGCGGACAACACTTACGCTTCCAATGACTTCACCTGAAAGATGCATTGTCACCGAGAATAGCCGTCTCGTGAAAACGGTGAAGAGGCCTCTCACGATACTGCAGAAACAGAACCGTCTGGCTTGCTACAATGGCTAACTTCTTCCTCCAGCTATTCAATGATCTAGTCATGATCCTAGACAGCTCGGGGACTTTTGGCAACACGAACTTGAGCTTGATAGGGTTGTCCTACTCTGTATAAAAACGGCTAGAAAGCTAGAACTCTCACGCCAGACCGAATTGTCTCACTCGGAAACAGACGCGATGCATTAGTCGGAAACTGAGTAGCCCCCCGCAGAAAGCGGGTTGTGGGCGACATGACCCGGCCTAGGACTAAGTCAGGAGAAGCACGTATCTCCATCCTCGTCTCATTCGCTGCTGGGACCACGATGGTCCTTTACACGTATGCAAAACAATGGATCTCATCCTACGGCTGATGCGCCGGTCACACGAGCAGCATCGGTAGAGGACGTGGAATATCATGACTCTTGAGATTTACTCAAATGCCGGGCAGTTAAATATTTCGTGTTGCCAAGCGGCGCATGGTCAGAAGTCGAATGATTGGTGTCAAGTCAACACCGACGAGACCCTGATATCCCCTATGGCTGGCTGAATGCACTAGCACATCAAACTTATTGAAACGGGTTGGTTTTTTTTTTGGAAACGAGTGACCCACAGCCCAACATGACTGACAAGCGTCTATCAATGGGGGGGGGGGGGGGGACGGGGGGAGAGTATGAGGGAAGATAAGTAGGGCAAAGCGATGAGCGTGATGGAGGGGCTCCGCGGTTCTACATATCTATGAATCCACCCGCATCTCACATTTTCTTACATTTTCCTTCCCGTAACGATCATTACGCGAAGATCATTGCATCTCCCCTCATTCCCTCCGGACAAGAAGCTCCTGCCGTGGGGAGTCTGTGCTCTCCGCAATATGCATATTTGCGTCTTGGCCCGGCCTTGCTCGACCAGTCATTGACATCACCAAACAAAGCCGATGAATCATCACCTCCTGGCCCTAGTTCGCAGCCGCATAGCCAGCCTAGCGGCACCACGCCGTAATGCTCTTAGCGAACAGGCGAAGCTTTGTGATGGTGGGATTGTCTAAAACGCACGACTTTTGCAAACGCAGACAGACTCACGCAAGATGAGCACAACATCAGCTTTCCCCACAGGCCACAGCCCCCCCGCACATCTCGGCCCCTTGCACGGTCTAGAAGCGGTCTTTGATGCTATTTGCTTCGGGCTAATACCTACTTGAGGGCTGGATCTGAGCAAGCTTTGGACTTGGGGCGGTACCTTGCATTCCTCTCCCAGATTACCATGTCAGATTTCGATCTCACTTTGCCTGTTTTGGCGGGGGTTTGACAATCGGATTTATTCTTTGGCGGTGTCAGATGCCCATGAAATCAGCATTTCATCTCATTCTTGTCCTCGTCACCGGGTTAGGCCACGGCGAACTTCGTCTGGATGAAGTTCAACGAGCCAATGCACTCAATTGGTATCGGCATTTTCATAACAAGGTCCAATCGATGCCAATTGACTGAAGTGCTGCCGCTGGGAATCAGATACCTAGTCGTAATAGTGCATCGAGCATTAAGTCTTCCTTTCTTCTTCCGTTCAATTAATGACGATAGTATTTGGTCATGACGACAAGGTTGGGCGGCCGAGAAGCGCAGCCTAAATGAGATCGATCTACCTACATGCTTCCCGCCGTACCTAGCATGGTGGTTTGAGCCTCGATCAAGCAAAGAGCGGCTCCAGATTGGTTCGCTTTGAGGTTACCCAAGCTCCAAGCTCCTGCAAAGAGCCGCTGCATCTCGAACACCCGCCTGATCACTTCCTCAAAGAACCTCTGCCCGGAGTGTTTGCTACGCTTCCTTCCCCTTGCTATGCCGTTTTCCCACTAGCATCATCGATCGATCTGACTTCATCCCTCCTCAACGACCGGAAGAATACCTAAATGGGAGGGGCGGAGGGACAGGCATGAACCGAATTCCCCTAGTGTCGTACGTCCCTTTGCTCTCCCCCACCCCCGCGTCTCCCGTTAATTGTAAAGTGTAACGTCGTAGGGGATTGTAGGGCTGGCACTGCTGTTTCCTTAACCAATACCACCAACCATGTTAACCACACGAAGCAGCGACCTTGAGGCTGTCACCGTGTCACAGTCAGTAGTTTGTTCTTAGACCGGTCTATCATCTTTCTTCCCGCCCCTCCCCCACAACTTTCGCCCCGGCGCCGGCCCCCTTTCACAACGTGTGCCTCTTTACGGAAAGTCATGTCTAAAACCCCCTTCCAGGCACGCAAAGTACGACCGCTTGGGCGTAGCGGAATAAGGAACATGCAACACCATTCAAGCCACGACGCACCGACCTAGATCATCTCGATCTCGCTCAGTCTGCTGGGACGATGTTCTTCTTCTATGAACATACTACTAGAAGGAAAACCAAGGACGTCATGACTATTCCTCATCAATGATCGAAAGGGGGAAATGTCACTCGAGTACGAGGGAGCTTCCGGCACTAGGTCCATACAGTTCAGACCGCTCGGTCGTTGGCCCGGTAGCCTTGCCGTAGCTCGGATGAGTTGATTCCACGTCTTGCTTCTTTCCCTTATGCAAAGGGGGTTGGAGGAAGATGTATCTTTTCACAAGTTCCGTATTTGATTACTTGGGTACCGTGGGCAGTTTACCAATGTCGAAGTGAAAAGGCTATGTACATGAGGGGTAGATTCGATGATGACATGAATTACGTCGAAGCTGCCCGCTCCAATTCATGGGGATAGCACCACAAGCTCTGATGGCGGTCAGGGGATTGAACTGAAGCCTTGCTTTGTTTGGGTGTGTTTGTTTCCTGCAGCTCGAGCTCGACTAGGTCACAAGATTCCATCTCGATGAGTCCAGAAGATGTATAAGAAGGAGGTAATCCGACACCTCTGGAACATATCTTCTCTCTTCTCATCATCACAACAACAAGCAATCAAACAATCTCATCATCTACCAATAGCTTAACAGCAAACCACCAAGTTTCCCAACTTCAATCAACAATCACCAACCTTCAACATGCCTACCGAAGCTCAGATCGCCGGCGGCCACAAGGCCAACATCAACAACCCCAACACGTCTGAGGAGTCCAAGCAGAACTCCAAGAAGATCCTCGAGAACGAGTTCAACGGCGGCGATGTCCCCAAGTCTGGCGACAATGAGGAGAAGAACCCTGGCAATGTTGCCGGTGGCCTCAAGGCGTGAGTATTCTTCCCCATGCTAGTACTCCGGACTGTTGGTAACATGTCAATCCCAGTACCCTGAAGAACCCCAACGTCTCCGATGAGGCCAAGGAGTCCGCCAAGGAGCGTCTTGACAACATGTAAATGATGTTTATGAACCGATACCCACCTTATCGCTTGGGATGGAGCTGGCTAGCGAATATGAAAGAGTCAAGCGTTGTATCTTAGTCAATTAGTCTGGCGCATGCAGGCGATAATGAGAACACTGTCAAACTCAATAATCTCTTCCATGTCAAAAACTCACAGTGACATGTTTAATCGCAACCATAATACTAATCGTGTGGCCAGTACATTCACAGTTGCTTTATATGATATCCAACGTTGGGCTCACCAAATTCGCCTTGCATCACAATAGGTACTCATTGAGTTGCTTAGTAAAATCATTACCTCATCCCGCCCATTTCATTGTACTCCTGAAATGGTATACTATAACTAAACCGGTATGTTTTTCTGATGGTGGTGTGGCTTTGTCCAGACCAGTCTTGTAGGTACCTAGTTAAAGATGTTAGTTTATTTTTGTTCACTGTAACAGTGTGTACCGATGCGAGTATACTCATGCGTTACGGCCTTAAATGAAGTCCTTTTAGCTTTAGACCGCGACTCAGGTGTTTTTTTGGGCAAGGATATGTATATATAATACCGATTGGTATCTCCCGTCTGTCTTCTTGCTTAGGAATTATTGCGGCAGGTGGACTAGTCGCAGAACAATCTAGACTCACGGATTAAAACAGCAAGGCTTGGGTAGCGAAAAGGCATGAAAAGTGTTATCTAGTACATTCATCTAATGGTCAAATTACAAGTCTATAGCTCTACATATGTGCAGGTATCTAATACAATCACATGCCCGGAGCCGCAAACTCAACGCCTTTGAACCCAAACGCCCTCTTGGCGCTCAAATACAACTCAAAGGCTCCAAGCTTGAGCTCCACCCTCAAGAAGCCGATCCACGCGGACATGAGGCGGAAGGTATTCGGCGGCCACAGCAGCGATCCCCGTTGCTTCAGGTCCTCGAGCTGCTCCTCAAAGACGGTCCGCGTGCAGTACCGAGCGAGGATCATGAAGGAGCGGATGGGACCCTGGCGGGTGTGCAGGTTCTCATCCAGACTGCGGGTGAGGTCGTTGGTCTTGAGGATGAGGAGGATGATGCGCGGGACCTGGCCGAGGAGCTGGACGAGATCGACAATGAGGCCTTCCTGCAGTGCGTCGCCCATCTCCTTCTTCTCGTCGTCGGTGCGTGTCTGCAAGACGGAGCCCTCGCTGTTGAGGACGCTCCAGTCGCGGCCTGTGATGGCGGAGGCGAAAAGGGGGAACTGCTCGTCGTTGATGTTGGCCACCTCCTTGGCATACTTGCGCATGCGCTTCATGTCGCCGTCAATGACAGCGAGCCACATCTTGGCGTAGGAGCGCTGCAGGTCGCGGGGGATTTCGCGGTAAAGGCCGTGGTCGTAGAGAATGATGTCAAAGTTGTGCCCGCCTCGGAGGCCGCGCCTGGACTCGTTCTTCCGAATGGCCAGGTTGCCGCCGTGGGGATCGCAGTGCAAGGGTGCATCGTGGCCAAAGATCATTTCGTTGAAAACGCGAGCGAGACAGGCCGAAACCTCGTCTCGGTCAATACCGTTGGCGTCAAGGTACTCGAGGTCGTCTAACCGGTGTCCTGATACCCGCTCCATGACCAGAATGCGCTCCTTCGACCAGAGAACACCAGGAACGACGAGGGGGTGCTCAGGCAGCTTGGCGAAATGTTCCCTCGTACGATTAGCGTTATGCTCTTCTTCTCTGAAGTCCAATTCCTTCGGCAGCGAGATATCCATCTCTTTGGAGAGCCATTCCAAATCGTATTCCGGGAAGAAGCGCTTGAGCGTAGAGAACGTGAAACGTGTCAAGGCAAGGTCGAGTTGAGACCACTGGCCAAGTCCTGGGTGCTGTACTTTGACAGCCACAGGCATTCCGGTGTCCTTCACTGTAGCGGTGTGTACTTGAGCGAGAGATGCAGCACCAATCGGTTCGTTTGAGAATTCGGAGAAGTAGTCCCAGAGCTCTTTTCCAGTATCCTTGCGGAACATTTCCTCAATTGACTCGAAGGACGATACGGGGCACTTGTCTTGTAGTGGGATGAAGGTGTTTGTCCACTCTTGCGGTAGGAGGTAGTTCATCGCACTCTTGATGGTGTATTAGCTTCCAGAACTACAAGAAGTATAAGAATAGGGGGACTCTCACAAGGTGCTGGCCCAACTTGATGAAGATCCCGCCGTTTTTCTCCAAGACCTTTAGTGTTCGATCGGCGCATCGCTGGTGACAGTCTTTCAAAATTTTGTTGGCTAATTCGGGGTCGTCAATCGTTTCTTTCTGGTTGAGAGTCGTTCGGTAGCTGCAATTGTATTAGCAAAGACCACTCCGAGGGTGTACTTCTTTGAGGAATATTCTCCTTACTCATTAATGCATACTGCGAGCGCAGCCGCAACACGGCCTGCTCGCTCTGCCGCATCGTAGCCGTACTTGATGTCGTCGCCCAGCGCAAGGACACCTGCTGTCGCAACGCCACCGCCTGAAGCAAGAAGCCACACGCGACCACCCTTCTTACCACCGCCAGTCCTCGGTGTAGCCCGGTTGATCGCGGTCTTCGTGGTCGTGGAAGAGAACCCGCGTGCGGTGTTGCTAAATCGTTGCTGTTGTTGCTGTTGTGTCCGGCTGGACTGTTGCGCCAACGGGCCTCCACGACAGTTGGAGCATGTCCATGGCCGTCGAGTGGCAAGCCGGCGCAATGGGAGCGAGAAGGCGGTGAAGGCTTTCATCTGGACTCTGGCCGACTGCCGCCGACGATAAGACAAACAGGAGAACTGTCTGCGCCGATGCTCATTCTACGAGTTTATGTTGGGATTCCGTGTTTGCTTTTGCATGCAAAGAGGCGTGTCTCGATATGGACTTTCCCAACAGTCGCTACAGATAGTGGAGTCGGTTTTCAAGGGATCGAGTCGCTTTGGGGGCGGTCCAGAGCTAATTAGTCGAATGTCATGTCGTCAGTCAACTCTTCTGGACTTTTTTTTTCTCTGCCTCTATCTTTCTGGCCCTGGGCCTGCGCCTGCCATATCGTTGGGGTCTAGGGGAACGGTGGCGCTCTTGACGGTCGCTTTCATTCGTCGAGCGCCACGTTTATCCTTACCTCGGGGCCCGTTCGGAAACCGCCGGGACAGAGGTCCAGCCCAGAAAACCGTAATTAACTGTTTCTGTATGATCCGTCACTGGACCGGCAAGGGACTCTCCAAAAGTGGATTTCACGTGTCACCGCTCCAAGCCACATGTGTTGTGGCGCAAAACATCTTTAGTTCAACCGCGTTCAGGTCGCGTTCAATGACACCTTCCCGCGCCGTGATTCAATTAAGCAACCTGCCAGAGGCGACAACTGCAACTACAGCCTCAGCTCCAGACTTCGGCACATTGGGATAGCACATCCAACAACCAACACTAATCTTTGCACTCAAGCATCATTCATTCGATCGCGATATCAACTCTATGCAACAGAACAAGACATCAGACGTCAGCCAAAGCTCCGAAATGTTCTCCGTCGCCGGACCCGTACCCATCTTCAGCGACCGGACGTGGGATTTCAGGCCCACGGTCCCATCGCCTCTTTCTTCATCGCCCATTCGCGCGTCATCACCCCTCTCGCCCATCAATGACAACACCGTACGCCACACACAATCCTCGCCTATCCCTCAACCAAAGTTCAAATACGCATCAAGAGCTACGAAACCGAACCCGATAGTTCGGAAACGCGAAGAAGCGCAGGAGAGCAGGCGGAAGCTGTTCCTCCAAAACGTGAGGCAGCGCGCGGATGATCGTCAATACCAGCGGCGGGACATGGAAGGCACTGTACGTGAAGGTTTTGCTACTGACTGTGATACGGCCTACTGACGTATCCGACAGCTTCTCAAGTCTGACTGGGATCGCGACATGAGGCAACGGCATTATGCCAAGCAAATTGAAGGCAACGCGGTGTTTTCCGAAGCGGATATCGAAGACGCGGCAGCTGTTCTCCAAGATCGCGCGCAACGGATCCCTGATAACACTGACGATATGATGGTTGATGCCATCGCCCAGGAGGAGCAGGACGAGCTCGATGCGTTATTACTCTCCTACGACCAGTCATCTGATGTGCAGCCCGAGACTGGCTCCTCGCAAATGATGCAGTCAGATTCATACGGCCTGTCAGACGACGAGGATTACGACTCGTTATTCATGAATTTGGTATCACAGGAAAGCAGTCAGCCAGACGCGTCCTCGCAAGATATGGACATGTCATGAAAACATGGTGTTGATTACGGCTGGTCTATTTGCTTTGCGGCGTTTATACGAGACTATTTGGCTTTCGGGGTCTGGGGGTTGCTATTTGGCGTCTGGCATTAAACAGCGGTCGGAATATGCCACGAATGGCTACTGTGTGTATGCAAGCTCACGGGACAAGGCACCGGTTGTGTAGGAACATATTTGACGGGACTTCCATTGGAATGTCCGATTATTGGGGATTACAGCCCTCGTCTGCACTGAAAGCTTCTTGCGCTGATGGCATATCACCGACCAAATCAGACGGAGGTGAGCCAGCAGCTTGCATCTGTCTCCTGTTAGCGCGTGAAGATCCAAATTTGGAGAGGTTCCAACCTTTTGCATCCTGTCCACAATGTACTCTCTGTCCGCCGCGTTGGAATCGGCGTACGTCTTCTCCTCGAACTTGGCCACGATCTCCTTGACTAGCGCTTGTTGCTCCTCGTACCGCTTGAGATCCTCTGCTGGCGTCTTTTCCTTGTTCTTTGCTAACCACTCGGGAAACTTGTCGTTGAGCTCCTTCATAGGCTCGTACAGGATTTCTTTGTTAGTGAGCTGCTCCATCATGCCCATGAGCATCTTTGAGAACTCCTCCTCGTTGCCACCGCCGCCTTCGAGGTTGCCCTCTCCGAGCTGCTTCATCATCTCTGCGAGGAAATCTTCGGTAGATGACTCTGCCGCCGCTGCAGTCGCCTGTTGTCCTGATGCTTGCATGCGTTCCATGGTCTTCTTGATAGTCTCCTGGAAGGAACCGTCGGCAATGGGGTCGGAAACGGGAACTTTGCTTGAAGATGAGGCTGATGCTAGCGGTGTCGGCGCTTTTGCTCCGGTCGTGCCTTCGGCAAGGTTTTCCGTTCCTGCCGCAGCTTCACTAATCTGCTTAAACACGTTGTCGAATTGCGCTTGCATCTCGGGCTATGGTGAATGGTTAGCAATCGTATCTGAGTCGGCTGGCAGTGGAAGTCTCCCACATTCTTCTCAAATTCTCCAATCAGGTCAGCCATGCCGGCTTGGAGCTGCTTAGCGAAATCGTCGGAAGATAGCATCTCTTCCAGTGTCTTATCCTCAGAATCATCTTCCACAGCTGTCGCGGGTCTACCTGGCCCAGCCGCGGTGGTTCTCGCAGCTGACGCAGCAGGTTGTGCTGTTTTCTTCGGTTCCACATTCACGGCAGCAAAGTCATCGAGCATGTCTAGCAGAGTCAGTATATTCCAAAAGGCCGCAGAGGGTTCCCTATGGCAGGCGCACCATCCAAGTCGTCCAAGTCGTCTTCATCGGGGTCAGGAACATCCTCAACGACAGTTGTAGGCTTCGTCTCTTCCACTGGCGGTACCACGGGTTTCGCCTCGGCATTGCCGGCGCCGGCTGCGCTACCATCCTTCTCCATCTTTTCAGAGTGCCTCAAGATGCGATTCCCAAACACGATGCGTGCTGCAGTAAATCAAAGGCGCTTGGGTTCAGTCTTGACAAAGGTAACTTGCAGTGCGCATTGGTATAGAGGCGACAGGAACCGGAGCCTCGGGGCGCTGCAGGTGATGGACAGCCTCCAAAAGGTTGGGTCAAGATTGACAGTCGCACCGGGCTGGGATTATGACCTTTGTACGTGCAGAAAGATGGACTGTCAGATGAAAGCCGAGGAATCGGCCTGAAGCTCCTGGGTTGTCTTGCATCTGGGCAGGTCCATTAGCCCCACGTCAGATTCCCAGCACCCCGCGCCGCTGGACTAACGCGGTATAGGGCGGGGTCCTTTCTCCCATTTGTCCATTGGGCGACCTGATGTTCCGCCTCGCGCCCCAGCCGCCCCCCTCCAGGAGTCCCAACTGCCCTGAGCTCCTGCGGAAGGTACCGCGGCATCTCACGTTTACCAGGTCTCACACCTTCCTTCCGTTGGTCGATCGGAATCGGTACGTACCCTTACCCCGAAAATCTTCCGCCTTCCAACGCGGCGCATTCAGTGAGGCAAGTGCGAGGTGCCTTACCTTAGGTAACTCGTTGACGACTTCCACTCGCTGCGGCTTTGCCTTTACACACCGAACTATCTTCGGAATCCCCCAGCCTTACCACTTTTCTCTTCTACATCGACTGGCGTGACCGTTCTACGACATCTCCGCCATCCGAACGCCTCGATCCCTCGACTACGGCCCGATACGAAGGTTGAATCGTCCCGATTGTGCACAACCGCAACCTTTGCGACACGCGAGCCAGACGTCGCACGCGACTTCGGACACATACACTCTAAGCAACGATCACACTTCTCCACGATGTCGCTTTGCCAGAACAGACTTCAAGAGGAGCGGTATGTTGTTCAGCTACCCCGATCCTACGACCAATGCCTAACTGATCTGGCTGTGCTGCAGCAAGCAGTGGCGCAAGGACCACCCCTTTGGTTTCTTCGCGAAGCCTCAGCGTAATGCGGCGACTGGAACCCTCGACCTGAAAGTCTGGGAGTGCGGTATTCCTGGCAAGGAGAAGACGATTTGGGAGGGCGGCCTGTTCAAGTTGACAATTACATTCCCCGAAGGTATGTTACCTAGAGAAATGACAGTGGAGTGAAAGCCAGTTACTGACAATTCTGCGCAAAAAAGAGTACCCAACGAAGCCACCCAAGTGTGAGTTGAAAACAACCCTAAGCTTGCAACTATACAGTAAACTGACAGAAGTTTCTCAGGCAAATTTGTCCCTCCGCTGTTCCACCCCAATGTCTACCCCTCCGGCACTGTTTGCCTGTCGATCCTGAACGAGGAGGAGGCGTGGAAGCCTGCCATCACGGTGAAGCAGATCCTGCTCGGCATTCAGAACCTGCTCGACGATCCCAACCCCGAGTCGCCCGCTCAGGCTGAGGCCTACAGTCTCTTCAAGAAGGACAAGACGGAATACGAGAAGCGCATCAAGCGTGTTGTGAGAGAAAACCCGGCGCCTTAGGAGCAAAGGCAGCTATGTGTGAATAGATTTACGAGATCACAGCGTCATGCCAATAGGCAGGACTTCGGAGTTACGGGAATACCATACGGTCTGCTTCTCTGCTTTCGATATGTCATATGACAATGCAATAATGATATTGTGAGGGAAGCAAACAGGGGGGCCTTCAACCCACACCCCAGCTGTTGATCTATTGAATAGGATATTTGCGTGTGAGATGCATCAATTGAGTGCTTGGAAAGACGAACAGACGTGCTATGCGAATCGACTACACGAGCCTGGCACGCAGGTAGGTAATGATGACTCTTTTGGCGGTGATTCCAAACCCCACCAGACCGTGGTGGGAGTCTCATTTTATTACCCGTCGAAAGCCGCCGGCTGTGGATATTCCACCGGAACCAATGCCGCCGGGCTGTTGTGTCGGAGAAGCGCGCCTCCACAATAGCTTGCTTGGCATGAGACCCGGAACCCTGACACTGGTGACGAGTAAGTCGGGGGTTGGAAGAGTCAGGACTCAATGGGAGCGGGCGTATTACCAAACGGTGAAAGACACGGGCTCCCGAAAGCCTCGTTTTCCCGCCAGTCAAAGACTTCATCCCGAGCAAAGTGAGGTAAGTATGCCCGGCAGCGTTAAGAACTGCAGCTTCGCAGATAGAAGGCGTCTCCGTGGCACCATATGTAGGCTGTCGCGGAAAAACAGATTAACAGCAAGCAGCAAACAGCAAACGGCAGAACCACACCGACTCGTTGTCTGCGTTCTCGTTGGTGGCTGGGCACGATGCAGTTTCTTATCAGTCGGCAAGGTTAGGTAATTGGGAGACTGGTGAACTCTGACTGGTCAGTCCGCCAATGGGTGCGAGAGCCGAGATCGGCCCAGGGGACCAGCTATGTTACACTAGCGCAGCGCAGCAGATTAGCGTATCGTGCAGATGCAGCCAGTCACTGTGGTTCCGTCGCAGCGGACCTGCAATTTTGGCACACTCTGACACCCCTTGGGGATACTTTGGCACAGAGTTGTAGACGGCCCTGACGTTTCTGACCCTTATCGAAGCACCGGCTACGGCCTCCGACAACCCAAGCTTGGTAAAGTTCCGGGTGTCAGGGCTGGGCTTTTTGTCGGATGAGCCAGGTGCTAGGGGGGGATGTCATTGTATCAGAAGCGCGGTCCAATGCTTCCAAGTAGGTACTCTCTGGGGCCGTTGCGGCAAATGGAAAGGGTAACTAATGTCATAAACAAATAACGATAAAATAAAAAACTGGGTGAAGCGCAGGAAGAGTCATAATTCTTTCACTCCCACCCCTTCACCCGGTTGCTCCCACCTCTTGCTCCGTATTTATTCTCCCGGGACACGTCTTTCGCCTCTTCGACCTTTTCTTGAGTTGCAAAGTTCATCCCATACACATACACAAACACACTGCCGTAGCTTCGAGAGACTGCAATCATGTGTGGCATTTTCGCTTGTCACCGGTAAGCCCAACTGCGAGATCGTCCCTACTTCGGCGCGGATGGAGGGGCACCGCGAGCTCCCCTCCCAAAAAAAATTAACCCCGCCATGATGCCTCTGGAGAATGCGACTGACCGTGTGCGCGCGCAGTCACCCCGACGTCCAAAAGTTCAAGCCTACGGCTTTGAAGCTGGCAAAGGCGTAAGTTTTCCATCGTCCATCTGCAAGGCGCATCAATTGACCCCCAGTTCGCAGCATCCGTCACCGTGGCCCCGATTGGAGTGAGTTCTGAGTCACCGCGATGCGCTACTTCGGCACCAACCAAGCAGACAACTGACAAAACTTCCTCGCTTAGGCGGGAGCGTTATTTCCAACAAGACGAGTACGTTGAACTTGATCTCGACGATTGGTATTCCATCAATTGACCATCAATCGCAGTTCTGTGCCATGAGCGTCTTAGCATCGTCGGCGTCGGTATGTCCACCCTCAATACCTGGCCACGATTTCCACGGCTAACCACCCTCACAGAATCCGGCGCCCAGCCCCTTACCAACGAGGATGAGAGCATCGTCCTTGCCGTCAACGGTGAAATCTACAACCACCGTCTGATCCGCAAGTCCCTCAAGCACAAATACCACTTCAAGACCGGTTCCGATTGCGAGGTCGTCATCCCTCTGGTGAGTCAAGATCACCCCGCGACCTGATACCCACAATAGTAGACATGGATATCTAACGTATCACAGTATATGGAGTATGGCCTCGATGCCCCGAAGCACCTCGACGGCATGTTCTCCTTTGTCTTGTACGATAAGAAGCAGGACCGCACAATCGCCGCCCGCGACCCCATCGGCATCACCACCCTCTACTACGGCTGGTCCTCAAAAGAGCCTGATGCGGTGTACTTTGCTTCCGAGCTGAAGTGCCTGCACAGCGTCTGCGACAAGGTTGAGGCCTTCCCGCCTGGTCACATCTACGACTCTGCCACCGGCAAGACCACAAGATACTTCGAGCCTACCTGGTGGGACGCCGCAAAGGTCCCCGAGACCCCGCTCGACCTCAAGTTGATCCGCGAGAAGCTCGAGAAGTCGGTCAGAAAGAGACTCATGGCTGAGGTGCCCTACGGTGTCCTGTTGTCCGGTGGTCTGGATTCCAGTTTGGTCGCGGCCATTGCCCAAAGAGAGACTCTGCGGTTGAAGCAGGCGGCCCTTGAGGCCAACGGTGGTGCGCTCCCCATGACGGAGAACCCCGACACTGGCGATGGCATGGTTGGTATCGACGACGACAACAAGCTGTCAACAGTCACATATCTTCCTCAGCTCAACTCCTTCTCCATCGGTCTCCCTGGATCGCCCGACAACAAGGCTGCCCTCGAGGTCGCCAAGTTCCTCGGCACCAAGCACCATGTCATGACCTTTACCATCGAGGATGGTCTTAACGCTCTGTCCGACGTCATCTACCACCTCGAGACCTACGATGTCACCACTATCCGTGCCTCCACACCGATGTACCTCCTTTCCCGTAAGATCAAGGCCATGGGCATCAAGATGGTTCTCAGTGGTGAGGGAAGTGATGAGATCTTTGGTGGTTACCTTTACTTCCACGCCGCTCCCGACAAGAAGGCGTTCCACGAGGAAACTGTTCGCCGTGTCAAGAACCTGCACCTTGCCGACTGCCTGCGCGCTAACAAGTCCACATCCGCTTGGGGTCTTGAGGCGCGTGTGCCCTTCTTGGACAAGGAGGTGAGTAGAGTGCAAATCCCGATGATATCTCGGCTTCGCTGACTTTTTATTTCCTGTAGTTCCTTGAGGCCTGCATGAACATCGACCCCTCAGAGAAGATGATCACCAAGGAGAAGATGGAGAAGTACATCCTCCGTAAGGCGTTCGACACCTCTGACGAGCCCGGCGCCGAGCCGTACCTCCCGGACAACATTCTGTGGAGACAAAAGGAGCAGTTCTCCGACGGTGTCGGATACGGATGGATCGACGGCCTCAAGGACACCGCCGAGCTCCACGTTACCGATGAGATGATGAAGAACCCCAAGCCGGAGTGGGGCAGCGACATTCCGGACACCAAGGAAGCGTAAGCATCGTCCAATATTTATCCCCCTTCTGTTGGTGCGAAAGATCAGGCGCCGCTAACACACGATTTGACAGATACTGGTACCGCCTCATGTTCGACGAGCACTTCCCGCCGCATTGCGCCTCGACTGTCATGCGCTGGACCCCCACATGGTCCAAGCAGACGGACCCCAGTGGCAGGTGAGTCACAAGACGCCCCCCTCTCCCCAGTTCCCCAGTGAAAATGAACTGGCCAAGTCAGTTTGCTGACCCGTTGCATGACAGAGCTATTGCCGTCCACGAGCAGAAGTACGAGAACGCCGCATAAAGTGGTAATTTGGAGGAAAGACAACCTGTATCCTAGCACTTTACGTCAATGCGGGCGGGTAAAGGTAGAGGCGTCCTGGTTTGTTGGATTATGTAGACCCTCAACAAGTTTAGAGTCTCAAAAAATGGGAATTGAAGTTGTGATTACTATCTGCCATTGCGCCTTCATGAGTATTTGTGTAGATCGTTATTATGACGAAAAGTCTGATGAAGGTATTTCTGGCCGTTTCCTTCTCTGTGTTCCTCTCCATAGGTAGTCAGTCAGGTCTTGGCCTGTTGTGTTGGTTCCTGGAGCTCACAAGAGAAAGCAACATCCCAGAGCCTTCCCCAGCTTCCGTTGACTTCTTCCATCCAAGAGTCCACTTTGTGTGCAACAATAATTGAGTGTGATTGCCCGGGAATGTTAGTGTGGTGCCGGTAATTGGCCAAGTGAGCATCCACAGTGACTCGGTTAGCCCCCAATATGAACAGTGAAGATAATGGACAACAGAGTCGGCAGTCAAAAGGTAAGGTGACACAATGGAGTAATTAGAGTTACACCACAAAGACAGGCGTATGAAGAAGAATGAGCGGTGGTGCGAACAGGGACGAAGCAGCGGACAGAGGCAGGAACTAAGGGAAATAATTCTGTGCCTGCCTCTTCTCTCAGGCTTACTGTAAGAATCTCACGCCTGCCGGTTCTCGCTAACTCTCTTATTTTCTGTCCCGAATCAACCTTCCACTTGCTCTCGATTTCACCATCTACACATTCACTCAGACACACGCAAACGAGTACAACAATCAAAGAATAAAATTGAAAAATCGCATTGAGCACCTGAGCCTTAGGTAGCCCACACTGCTGGCACTCGACATCCACTCTCTCAGTGCTTTACTCTACCTTATTACGATCCCCTGTCCTCCAGAGTCCCATCTGAGCTGGCCAGCCGACAACAATCCCAACAAACCAATAACAGATCCCCCACGTGCAGCCAAAAGCGTCCTAGTGCGACTCCGTCACAGCAAAGCTCCTCCGGACCGAATTGCGCCGGGAATCCCCGTCAACCAATTGATGCAACCAAAACATTTTCTCGAACAGCTTCCGCCCCAGCAGACCATCTCCTGAAAGGACACCTGCAACCCGCCTCTTTTTGCCCGTCGCATCTCGTCAACCGCTTTCCCATTGTCTACTCAATTTTTCTCCCCAAAATCCTCTTCCCCGTCAAAAATCAGCAATCATGTCTGTTCCTAACTTCGGAGACATCGCCAAGTCGGCCAACGACGTATGCGCTTTCCCTTTCTCCCTCTCTACCTTTCTCGGGTAATCGCGGACGTGGAAAATCGAGCTCTAGGCTCCTTCCCCAGCCGAGGTCATCTACGATAAAAGAAACCACTCAGCTGACATGGGCCTTCAATAGCTCCTCAACAAGGACTTCTACCACCTTTCTGCCACCACCTTCGAGCTCAAGAGCAACACCCCCAACAACGTTGCTTTCAAGGTCACCGGCAAGACCTCCCACGAGAAGAGCACCGCTGGTGCTGTAAGTCCCGCCCTAACATTCACCGCTTGACGATGCATCAAGGGTCGCATAAACAAACAAAGATGAACCTTAGCTAACCTTATCCTTTTTACCATCCAGATCGAGGGCAAATACTCCGACAAGGCTACCGGTACAGCAACCACCACCCATCGTTTAAAGCGCTTGAATCTTAGCTTGGGTCGAATATATGGACGGCCTTACGGCAGTCCAGTCTCATTCGCAGCCAACGTATCGCCAGGATTTGCACATTTGCTAATGTTCTACCATCGCACAGGCCTGACCCTCACCCAGACATGGAACACCGCTGCTGCTCTTGACACTAAGGTCGAGCTCGCCGACAGCCTCGCCAAGGGCCTGAAGGCTGAGGGTGTCTTCTCCTTCCTGCCCTCCGCCGGTGAGAAGGCCGCCGCCAAGAAGGGCGCCAAGTTCAACCTCACCTTCAAGCAGAGCAACTTCCACAGCCGCGCTTTCTTCGACCTCCTCAAGGGTCCCACCGCCAACATCGACGCCGTCGTCGGTCACGAGGGCTTCCTCGCTGGTGCCTCTGCCGGCTACGATGTGAACAAGGCCTCCGTCACCGGCTACGCCGCCGCTGTCGGCTTCCAGGCCCCCACCTACTCTGCTGCTATCACTGCCAGCGACAACCTCAGCGTCTTCGCTGCCTCATACTACCACAAGGTCAACTCCCAGGTTGAGGCCGGTGCCAAGGCTACCTGGAACTCCAAGGCCGGCAACAACGTCGGTCTTGAGGTCGCCAGCAAGTACCGCATCGACCCCGTCTCCTTCGCCAAGGTGCGTGATATTGTCCCGTTTGCAACCTTTTTGTATAATATCCTTACTGACCAATTTCCGCGTACAGTTCAAGGTCAACAACAACGGTGTCGCCGCTCTCGGCTACAACGTCCTCCTCCGCGAGGGTGTTACCCTTGGCCTCGGTGCCTCCTTTGATACCCAGAAGCTTGACCAGGCTACCCACAAGCTTGGTGCCAGCTTCACCTTCGAGGGCTAAGCCTTTGTTCACCACATGTATTCTTGACGAGGAAAATTCTTTCAGCTCCTTTCTCCGGCCGGGTAGCGGACCCAATGCTCTTCTGGTTTCATTTGGAGGCTCCTGTCTAGTGTAGATTAGTTCGGGGAGTAATTGAGTTTGGTCGACCGGGAAATCATGGTGTCTTTGCATGCGAGCGCTTCGTGCTGATCCGAACGCTTGGCTTTCGGTCGTGTGATTTATATCTATCATGATAGATGTCTACAGGTTTATGCGCAAGCTCTATTGCTTGGTCTCTATGATTTGGCTTCTTTCTTCTTTCGGCTCAGTCCGCCGGTAGCAACAAAGGGTATGAAAAAGGAAAAGAACAAGATCCCGCTGACTACCAAAAACGCTCCCACAGAAGTCTCCTGCGGTCCAACCGGGACCTGCGTGCCCATGATCCTATGCGACCGCCGCGAATCCTGCTTTTGCTGTGTCTTTGTATGCGTATGCGAATCAAAGTGCCGCGGCGCGGCTGACCTCGTGTGCCCGTACGGATCAGACCCGGGGCCCATCCCGGGCTGTTCCTTCTCCGCGCCGGTGCCGGTGGTATCCTCGTGGGCTTCCCGCCTCTTCGCCGAATGTTCGCCCCAGCCGCCGGACCTGTAGAAGCTCGGGGGCGGGCCGCGAAAGGTTGTGCGCCGCCGGGAGAGGCCCGATGCGGGGCGGCCTCCCGCGGGACCCGAGCTGCTGTGGTAGGAGCCGCGTCTGTGGGCGCCGTGGTGGCTGTTGTGGGAGGAGGAGGGGAGAGAGCGGTCGTAGGCTGCGCGTTTGGCGGGGGTGCCGAGGACGGAGTAGGCTTCTGCTATTGCGTGGAATTTGCGGGATGCGTTTGGGTCGTCGCGATTGTGGTCTGGGTGGTGGGTTTTGGAGAGGGCGTAGAAGGATCTGGGAGGGACGACGACGGGTTAGCTTTAAGAGCCCTTGAAGACATGGCAATGATTGGGTGTGGGCAAGCAGGCCCATGGAGCGAGTATTGGATAGACGTTGCGGGCGGGGAATAGGACATGTTGCTATAGATCTGTGCCGCCTGAATGCGACCAGAATTATACATAATACACAGCCAGTTGGGCTTGGGTATGTAGGTAGGAACATGGCACTCACTTCTTAATATCAGACGGCGAGGCATCGTGGGCGACCTTCAAGGTCTCGTAGTGGTTCGTGGAAGCGACGTCATTTCGAAGCGCACGCGACGTCGTAAACGTACGACACGGAAACCGAGCTCGGAGGCAAATCTGTCCTGGTTCGACAGCAGGAGTAGCTCTCGTCTTCGTTGTCGTCCTCGTCGAAAATGCGCCGGCGCGGTAGAGGGAACGGGCCGCTGCGGGTTGAAGGAGCCGGGGGAGGAGCATGCCGGGCTCGAGCCCGGGCGTTTTCGAGGGGCTTGGTTCTCCGTGACGATTCGACTACGAGATTCAATTGAAGGAGACAATAGAGACTAGTGGTGGGGGAGGAGCTGGGCGAGCTTTAGGTTGTTTGGGAGAAGCTCGGGATATGATGTCGGAGAAGGAGTGGAGGAAAGTGAGTGGGATTTCGGGATCTGGGTCTCTCTCGCTTCGTTTCTTACGTTCGTTGCGCCCGGGACGGAAGTAGTGACGAAATCGATGGTCGCTTTTGCTCTCGTCGGTCGGTAGATCGGAGCTTGGTGGTACCTACCCCCTGCGCCTCTGGGGTTGTGGCGCTGATTACATAAGGTAATGAGGGTCCAATCGCCTACGGTGAGGGAAGTTGCAGAATTACGGAACAACAACAACACTCATGCTTCTAAAGTGATTGATGTGAAGCAATTCCCAGAGCAACACACGTTATTCATGGCGGTTTTATAATTCTCAGGGACCATCTGGTATGGCCACTGCGCTATTGACTCTTACTGAGTCCTCGGGATGGGAACGCAAATGACTCCTCTCAGCCTACATTTGTCCCGATGGTTTGAACAGCTTGGAGCGCATGAGAGTATATCTGAGGATGAAAGTTTGCTGACTTGTGCCTTTTGAAGTGAGCTCCCGCACTATGGATGGTGGCTAAGATGAGAGTTATTCTTCAGGGCGACTCCTGACCGTCACCATCACGTATTGCTTTTTATCCTGCAGACTGGTCCAGTCACTCAGGCCGAGTACCCAGAATACACGATTCCTGCCCGCGTGGTGATGTTGATCTATTCTACGTCGCGATCTGGCATATCGTGTTCGTTCTCGTAATGAGAGTCGAGCTCTGGTTAGCGTGGATACGGCTACAGTGGCCTCGTTGCATCTTAAGCCCCTCGTCTAGTCTCCTCTGGGCTTGTCATTGCCATGCCACTCTGCCTCATCCCTAATCACTGCCTCCTGTTCCTCGTGAAGCTAATTCGGCGTCTAGACTTATGATTTGCACTTCTCGTACAGAAGGTGGCCTGTATAGGAGGGTGTAGAATTTATGTAATCTCGGGGGGTATCAAGCAGGTTCCTCATACACCGTGTTTCCTTGGGGATTCTGTCTCCGAAGGAGCAGCGATGCTGCTGCTATCCTCTCCCATTACAGTGAACCCGTACCACCTTGTCATATGTCAGCTGTATCTCCATGGCGGTACCATATGTCGGTCTTGCCTTTGCCTCGTCTCAATCATGGAATGGTTGTACTACATCGTGTCGTCTGGACCGCTGTTCGATGTCTAGCCCGGATAGGGTTTATGTGCCCTCCACCTCCATCCCTTCCCGGCTTCCTTCAGGGCTTGGGATTGATCGTTCTCTCATATGTATTTTTAACTTCCATCTGCCCGGGAAACGGGGGAGGGGGGGGGGGGGGGCGGGCAGCCGTGTGTTGCATGCTGGGAAGTGAAGCGTTGGCATCACGGACCTGGAGGCCCCTAGCCAATTGCTTACCTTACCAGGCCCCGAAGGTGACAGTAACGCAAAGGGTTTATGTTAAGAGATGAAAAGCTCTTGTAAAACCCGAGTACCTCTGGTGGAGTAGTGACTCACTTGTCCGTGGCGCGCTGTTAAGGCTTTCAACCACCAACAAATCCGGATATTATGGCGCGTCGCCCGATGCGATGTGTTGTCATGAGAACTCGGAAAAGCGAGGTCTTGTATCCCTTATCCCTCACAGCCTTTGCGGTCATCTTTCTCGAAATACACATCCTCCGACAAAACTTGGAAGTTGACTTTGAGCAAAAGACGAGTTACCTAGCGGAGCTGATCTTCACGACAAATCTCCCAGATTCGTAAATGCAGAGGCTTCGCGACGCATTCAAACGCTCAGGGGCTCGAATAGACTTATACAATCTTTCTCTTTATGCTTAAAATTACAGTTGATAAACCTTACTCGCAGATGTCGATATCTGGGAGTGGTTGACGCTTCATTACGCTATACATGGAATGTTGATGTGCTGACATGGATATCGGTCTTTCGTATGATCCCTTTCCGACTTGAAGAGTCATCGTCGTCGGTCTCATGCTCTCTGGCACCCGCACGCGAGGTGCCCCGTTTGGCTGATGCATGATACGTTCTGTCGTTGCCACTGAGCGAGCCAAGCTTGATGCCTGGGCCAGCACTTCCAAGGGCGTCTCCGCTCTACAAGAGAGATTGGGTTAGACACCGTCTACAGCATGACGCGGAGTAAGGGCATAGCTTACCTCGCCTGTGATTTTGTAATTCCCGTCGTGAGAGGAGCCATAGTAAAATTTGAATAGTTTTCGCAGGGGAGGAAGCGACGATCCAATTATTCCCAAACTGCACTCGAGGTTGGAAGTAATGCTGATGACTCCTAGGTGATCTATAGGATAGGCATGCCGCGTAAGTTTAGGTTTGAAGAAGAGAAAGTGTAGTTGTAGAATATGACTTACAGGCGATCTCCGTGGGATATTTCGCAGTGTCGTAATACTTGAGGTAGGGCATGCGGATGCAGGTAGCAATACTGGCGAAGATTCCGAGGCCGAGAATAGCTATGACTGAAACTTTCTTACGGCGAGACATTTGCAGGCCGGCCACAATAAAGAAGGGAACAATGGCGCATGTCCAATCCGTCAACATCTGAATCGCAGAGACGATGTAGCTGACAGTCTGCAAGCTGATCTTCTTTTGGCATGATCCCCTGTTAAACAAAGTCAGTGGACGGACGAAAAGGGGCAATCTGATTTCCAATAAAAAAGCTGATGTCCAATCGCAACATCCACTATAGCTCAAAAAAAAGACTTACAATGCCGGGTTCCATGTTGCTGCAAGCGGGGTGCAGTTTGCAAAGACAAAGATCAAAGCCAGGATGGCCACGACCACCATTACAGACATGTTGAGGATCATACAGATGACCACTCGCTTCCGTCGATCCAGACGTATACAAGTGAACCCAATGGCGCACTTAATAATAGTTGACGAGATGAAGTATAGTACTTCCCAGTAGGTCTGATACTCGGAGGCGCGAATCAAGTAAAGTTGTGATGGGAGGTCGGCATCGTGGAATCCTACGCCAAAGCGTGATGCAAGAACTGCGAAAACGACTGCTGGTATAAATGGAAGCTGTTGCGCTGTTAGTTAGCGAGTTTTCGAGAGTGATCTGGTATAGTAAAATGATACGAATGGTTGAGGAGCGCAAGGCTAGTGTCTAAGCCGAGGAGACCTACAGTTCCTATTACTGCCAAATAATCTTCAACGCCCCAGAGTCGTGATGAAGCACCTGATAAACCGGCACGAACGTAGATTCGGAGTGACACGACGATGACGCTGATAATGCCCAAGATGATGGCGACAAACTCGACGGCAGGCGCCAGGCCCTTGGGGGCAAGGGGCTCAAGTTGGTAGGCAAAGGCTTGTATCTGCTCCCCCGTCATAGAAGCCGCCATCTTGGGCGTAGTTCGGTCAACCCTATGGCCTCCGCTTCACAAAGGAGGTCGTTCTATGCCTTTTCTTCGTCGCGGACCCGAGATGCCAAAGAGGGGAAGAAAGCGAATCTCGAGACGAACTTTGATCTAGACTCTAGGCTGGAGACATCGGAGGAATTCAAAAGCGAAGTGGGATGCCGGGAACATGCTGCCCACCACATGGGAAGGGAGGCATTTTACTACAGACCGCGGTTCCTGGATTTGACTGACAGCTGGATGCTGTGGGGGAGCTCCGACGTAACGTGCACCCCTGGTCAACGTCTGGTCTCATTCCCATGTCTTCTTCCCATGGTTAAGTGGAGGATTTGGCTCCTTGGACGTCCCAGAAGAGGCAGATTTTCGTAGCCAACCCCACAAACGGAACGGCAATAAGAGCTCGTTGAGACTTTAATATGTAGATACCAAGGCAAGATATTCATTTTCAACATGTCGACCTGGGCCTTGGGTTTCGACGAGTCAGCGGAAGCCACATTTTGGTCGAGATGAGCCCTGCCTCGTGGGGCGAACTGTCAGTTTTCGTCCGAGGCCCTCGCGACACCCATGGCGACGAAACCCCTTTCTGCCATCAGTGCCATGGCTTCTTCATGGCAACTTTGCAAGGCAGCACATAAGCGAGACCATCGGCTCATCGATGCCTCCTCTTCGGTCAAGGTATGTAGGTTTCGCTAACAGCTCTAGCTGCAGTAGCTGAGTTCAGTCGTTAAGAGGATTGATGCAACCCAACCAGTTTTCGTGGTGCAGTACGAGATCGCCCCTGCCCGCGATCAACCGTCTCGTTACCATCTTTGACGTAGTGGCCGCTGCGGACGCTTGTGCCGCGGGTTGGTGCAATCTCTTTTCGTCCCTGGCCTAGAACTGGGGGTTCGTTGGCGTTTTGATAGGACCCGGGGGAGGGGATCCTGAGGCAGGGGAGTGGTAGCGAACTCCACCGCCCGACGCTATCCAGCCAGTCAAATAACGATGATCACCAGGACGGCACGTTGCAATAAATGAATCTAGCTGTGCCATAGGCTGCAGTTTTCGTAAAACGTCCAGGACCCTGTCTAAGAAATACCACCCAGCACCACGTACAAGCCACTGACTCGACTGCAATGCGACTTCGGCCAAAATCTGGATGGTGTTTTTGTGCTCTAGGATAACGGCGAAACCCTAGAGGCTGGTGCTGTGCCAATTTCATCCGGGTTGATTTTTTCTTGAAAACTCATTATCACATTGGTTCGTCAGTTATGAAGCTCGATCCTTTGGGCGTACCTGTTCTGCACAACTCTGATGCTGAGAGTACATACCGTGCTAGGTACGCCAACACGATAGTGACACACACGCTTCGCGCAGAGACAGCCTATGAATACTTACTCAGTCCCACGCACCCATCTGTGCAGCCGTTAACGCAACACTCAAGATTTCTATTGGCAGAGGATCCGGGATGTCCATACCTAGCGTGCTAGCCAGGCCACCCAATATGTTTGACACCTGATTCTTTACCAATGCGGCGGGATTGTCCACATCACGGATAATAACCCTGGTCTGAAAAAGCCGCCAAGTGGTCTAGGTTAGCAGTTGCACCAACAAGTCACTTCATGCGGAGCTTCCTGCTGAAGAATGTGGCACTGGGGTTGCAAGATCCAGGGGTCTTATCAACTGACCACTCAGAAGCTCGAGATATTTCATCCATTTTCCGAAGATGTGCGAATTTCCGCTGTTGACCGTCGAGAGCTCCCCCCTCTCTCATAATCATACTCTTCGCTCTTTGTTTGTACAGACAACTCGTGTAGACGGTGAGTCATCGATCGTACTTCGTCATAATGTTGGGCACTATTCTTGCATTCGTGGCGCTGTTAGCCTTCTATCTCATCGGCAGCGCCATCTACAACGTCACTCTCCATCCGCTGGCCGATGTGCCCGGCCCCAAGATCTGCGCCATTACTCGAATTCCATACTGGCTTGTCGCATTGAAAGGTGAAGATATAGAATGGATGAAGAGCTTACATGAAGCTTATGGCCCTGTCGTTCGTTTCGGCCCTACGGACCTAAGTTACACGGCCGGAGAGGCCTGGAATGATATCCATGGGCCCAAGGTGACTGAAAAAGCCCAAGAGTTCTCAGTTCAGCCTGTGAATGGTGCGTCATATCCCGACAGCTTAGGTTCCCAGATTCAACTTTGGCACATGAGCTAACACCAAATACCGATGGGTTGCAGGCGTCCCAAGTATGCTTACGGCGAACACCGAAGATCATGCTCGAGTCCGTCGCCTCTTCTCACCTGCCTTCTCGGAACGTGCGCTGAGACAACAAGAGCCGCTGTTCCGGAAGTACGTGGACCTTCTGATGTATAAGATCAGCGAGATTGGCGAGGAAGGAAAAAAGGCCGTGGAAATGACCCAACTGCTCAACTTCGCAACATTCGACGTCATGGCCGAACTTTGCTTTGGCCAGCCCCTTGGCCTGCTGGCGAAGAACGAATACAGCCCCTGGGTCAGATCAATCTTTGAGTCGCTCAAGATGTTGCCCATCGTCTCTATCATCAACTACTACCCCATCCTAACCACCATATTTAACCGCTTCGAGCCAAAGTCTGTCGTGGAGCAGCGTGTCACTCACTGCAAGCATTCAGAGGATCGTGTGAACCAGCGGTTGCAGGATGGCTCTGACCAGCCGGATGTCTGGAACCTCGTTTTGGCGGCGAAGGAGGGCAAAGGCCTGTCTCTCGAAGAGATGCATTCGAACTCGGAAATTTTCATGCTTGCTGGATCGGAAACGACAGGTAAGAAAATGTCGTAATCTGTGGACTTGAGGGAAAGCTGACTGAGTGCACTAGCTACACTTCTTAGCGGTTGTCTTTACAATCTGCTCACCTACCCCGATAAAATGGATACCCTTCTTGAAGAAATTCGAGGCAATTTCACAAAGCTGGATGACCTCACGTTCGAACGTCTTCAAGAGCTGAAGTACATGAATGCCTGCCTGAAGGAGGCGCTGCGCGTTTATCCCCCGGTGCCGATCGGAAGTCCCAGAGTGGTGCTCCCAGGTGGACAACAGATTCTTGGCAAATGGGTGCCTGCTGACACGCGCGTGTCTGTCCACCACTGGTCGACGTACAAATCCGAGTCCAACTTCAAGAACGCCGACACTTTTACGCCAGAGAGATGGCTCAAGACGGACCCCACCTACGCCGGAGATGCGCTGGAAGCTCACCAACCGTTCGGTTTCGGGCCGCGTAACTGCCTGGGCCAAAACATGGCGATGCACGAGATGAGACTCATTCTGGCTACTTTGCTCTTCTCATACGACCTCGAGCTGTGTGAGGAAAGTCGGGACTGGAAGAACCAAAAGGCATTTGCGCTCTGGATCAAGAACCCATTGATGATCCGCGTAAAACCATTGGCAACACAAACTAGATTGAAGATTTGAGGTAAACTCCATTCGTCTCACTTCGGCTTTGGTCAATAGTAGTACCCTGAGACCCAGCTCAAGCTGCAATGGATACAAACACTCTTCTCTTGACTAATGGAATCGTCAATTAAGTGACGTCAAATTATTATTGTGGTTCTGAGACATCTAAGGGATCCAACCGGCGGGATGCTGACAATGGCGGGAGATCGACATTTTAGATCGTGTTAGTCCAAGCGCGACCTCGGACACATTTCGTCGACTTTTGGGCTTGACCACAATTATAAAGCAGCCCACCGATTCCTTTGTCCTCCGCATAACACTTTCTGCTTTTCTAACATAGACCGCAAAATAACAATAAATCCTTGTAATCAAATCATATAATTGTTCAAGAAGAACTTTGCGCGATACCTGTAACTTTATCGTTCAGAATAGTTACACACCTCAAAATGACGACGGTCACCTCTAGGCGTCTTCAAATATCGCCATCCATAACGTACGAATACTACGTTGCCAAAACTTCGAAATTTCATTTACCGAACCTCCTCTTTTTACACGGGTTTCCCTCCACTGCGACCGACTTCCGCCAACAACTAGAGCACTTCGCCTCCCTGGGTTACGGTGTCATCGCGCCTGATCTTCTTGGCTACGGCGGAACTTCCAAGCCACATGACCCGCAAGAATACACATGGCGCAAAATGAGTACACACATCAAAACCATACTGGACGCGGAGAACTTCCACACTGTGGTAGGCGTAGGCCACGATCTAGGTTCATGGTTCCTCAGCAGACTTTACCACTTTTATCCTTCCCAGTTCGGGGGTTTGGTGTTCTTAGACGTCGGATACTCTGTGCCCGGGGAAAAGTTTGATGTCGAGATGATCAACCGAATGACAAAAGAGATGACTGGCGAAGAGAGATTTCGATACTGGGATTTCTTTACGGATGACGAAGGAGTGGCCCTGATGGATCGAAATGTCGAGGCTGTGATATCTCTCATGCATGCTTCACCTGAAGTCATGGCTGCCAATCTCGGGCCGCCTGGGAAAGCTAGAGACTGGGTCTCCTCTGCAAGAATTGCGCCAGCACATTCTCTTAGCGACCGCAACGCTCGAGAAAACAGCTACTTTCAGGGAAAAGTTGCCATATTCAAGGAAGGGGGATGGGCAGGTCCGACAAATTGGTACAAGGCGCTACGAAACAACTTGTCATATGAAGATGAGAAGAACATGATCAAAGAACTCGAAGTGCCCGTATTGTTAGTCGGGTGTGGACGGGATGAAATGACGGTAGCCTCATTCCAGGATCAGATGACAAGCCCGTGGGCAAAGGCTGGGTATCGCTTTGAGGTGCTTGAAACAGGACACTGGGTCATGATTGAGGATACAGACGCTGTTACGCATTTGTTGCAAGATTTTGTCAGCCGCTTGAAGTGAGCGGATCCGTGGCTAGTGGTCGATAAGAGGCATCTAGCTTGGCCCGACTTGTTTCATCTTTTATGACATGGTTACCAACAGAACAAACTGATCTCATAGTGTTCATATCGTAAGTATGATGACTGAACACGGGAATCTGAGGAACGAATGAGACAAAAGCATAAAGAAGCACACTCCTCCGATACAGCACAAGAGGTCGTAAAGTGAGAAAGACTACTGCTTTATTCAAACGCGGCTAGGAAAAACACAAATCCAAAAAAAAAAAAAAAAAAAAGTGAGCCTACAAGGTCAATAGGGACGATTGGGCGGCTGCTGGCTAGGCGACTCGTACATGGATTGGACACCTCTATTGATGACTTGCTGCGCATTCTGCTGAGAAAGTGGCTGGTGTGGTGGTGTCGCCAGAGATGGGCGTTGTATTTGCTGTGTGGGTGCCATAACCCCGCCTTCTTCGCCGGAACCTTGGAATGGAGGGTTTGCAACTGGTACTCCAGAATAGCCCAGAACCTGCCCAGAGGAATAGCTTTGTGACTGAGGCTGTCCGTAGCTTGTCTCCGAGTAGACTGGCTGGGGCATATTCAGATTTTGATAATGATAGTACTGGGGTTGTTGCTGCTGTGGCTGCGAATAATGCTGCTGGTGTACTGGCGGTGGCGGAGGCGACTGTTGAGGATGATTGACGAAAGACTGACTCTGTGAGGCTCGCAAGAAATTCGCTTTTTTCTGATCTCTAACCGTTCCACCCATCGACGTAGGAGGCACAATCTTGTTGTCCTTATCGACCCAGACAGCTCGGAGCTGATTATCCATGGCTCGTTGCGCTGAGTCCACCTTGTACAAGTCGTTCATATACTCGGTGAACTCGACATAGGCATCTCGGACGATCTTGAAATGACTTACGTCCAGCGCGACCGCAGTCCTAGGTATCGGGGCGACAGAGTGGCTCTTATCATGTGCATCGTATTCAGCAAGCGCTAGTGCCGTCTGACATGCGTTGCGAATCTGTCGGCCGTTCCAACGTGCCGACGAGTAGTCAGTGAAGTGTTCGCTCGCAAATCTCTCAATCTCAGCCTTATCAACATTGATTATTCGACCTTTCCTTTTGAAACGTGCTTCAATCATATCCAGGTTGATCCTAAATACCTCGATGGTCTTTTCCTTATTGAGTTCTCGATACAGGAGACTGACATGGATACGAGAGGTAAAAGCCTCATCAAAGTCGCCAACACGGTTAGTAGTTAGGAAGAGGATGCCGGCGTAGTATTCCATTACGCGTAGGAAGACTTTAGCAATATGATTAGAAGGACGGTGTCAAATTTCGACATTGGGGTAACCAACCTGCTACAAGCCCATTTCGTCTGAAGTCTTCCTTTGTTCTCTCGGCAAGAAAGACGTCGGCTTCGTCTAGGAGAAGAATGCAATCCCACCTATTGGCTAAGGCGAAGTTCATCTCGAGAGCTTTCTCCACCTCTGATGCAGTTGTCCCCAGGTCACCTGGTCACGAACGAGATTGTTAGTGGTCATGTGATCAAATTGCTGGTGTAACCGTTGACTCAAGTCTTACCGCAGGTGATTTGGAAGAGTGGTTTTTTGAAAAGTTCCGCTACTCCTTCTGCTCGATGATTCTCATCAGCACAAGAAACCGATGAGAAGCAGACATACGATATACGAACCCGCTGTGGATGTTTTGCCCACTCCAGGAGCCCCGTGAAGAAGCATGATCAAACCTTTGCCTAAAGTAGGTGGAACAGGTTAGCCCATTCGCTATTGAAACAACACGTAAAGGCCCTCAATACCTTTGCCTTTGACAATATCGAACTCCTCTCTTTCGCCTGTTGCTGACTTTTTGTCTCGAAAATGTTGAGCAATGAGTGATTCGATCATGGGACGGTGCCACTTTTCGAGAACAAGGCGATCAAAGGCGGTGATTGGTTCCTTCTTCTCTTCGTTGCTCAACACTTCGGGGTTTTCTTCCGAAGCAATCGACTTCTCAGGCCGGTGAACGTCGGTCAGATACGAAAGGTCAAGCTGCGCTAGATGAACCAAGATGTCAGTACGAAAGAATAGAACAATTGACACAAGGTCGAGTTTGGTATACACGTACCCCATTTCCGGTTTCGCAAAACGAAACCAAATACACGATGAGACATGATCAACAGGTCATCGTCCGAGATTAGGGTTTCACCAGTGTCGCTGTACAGTTCCTCCAACGGTCGAGGGATAACTGCAACTGAGAGCTGTTCATTGAGGCTGCCTGCCTTGGGAAGGAGGCTGTCGACATATTCAGAGCTCTGCTTCTCGTCCACAAACGAGTCATCGTGCACAGCCTCCCTCCGGCAGCATGCTGCGCGACAGCTTTCATCTTTCTCGTCTTCCTCGTCCTCTTCGTTCTCTTCGGTTGTCGATACTCCAATGAGAGTCTCCAAATGTGGCTTCCATTGTTTTTGCGCCCCGTTTTCCACTGTAAATGCTGTTTCGAAATCGATCACCACTTGACTTTCGACCTCATCCCGCACCCCCAATGTCGGCCCAGCATAATACATGTGCTTCACCGAAGCAACCTCAAGGAATTTACTACCTCGGTTCACAAGCTTTGTTCGGCATCTCTGATGTGGAGGAATAGACATCGTTCCGCTCCATTCCGAGTTGCTGAAGTCGACCCGCCTGATGGGGTGAAAACGGAGAGGGTAGACATCCAAGGATGTAATGTCTCTCGCACCGTCGAATCTTTTCATGTCGAAGACACTTCGTACAGGTCCAAGATGCTTTCCATCGAAGTCAATATGTATGCAGACTACACTGAATGCCGCCTTCTTCTTCCGTTTAGTCTCAGGTAAGCTGTAGTAATTACCCCAATCACGAGCAACGCTATGTCTAGCGCTGGTGACTTTGATGACCCGATATGCTTGCTTGCCATCCTTGTTGATGACCTCTGTTCCGGGTCGGAAGATGTGCCACAGGTCAGAGAAGAAAACCTTGCAAGGGTCGGATGTGTTGAGATGTTTCAGCCTGGCCAAGATATCCATGTCTATGAAGCTCAGGAGGCATCTCAAATGCTCCATCGCTATTGTTGACTTTGTCAACTCTGGCACCTCGTTCGTCTCCCTGTCCAAGCCATCTTTAATTGTCTGCTCATGCTGATCTCGGCTTTCAGAAGGTGTCTGATCTTTTTTCTCATCAGTTGTAATTTCCAGATCGCCCGTAATAGGTCTTGGTGAAAGAGATCCGGCAGGTCTAGAATGGAGTGGAGTGTCTGCGTTCTCCTGTGCGTCATTCATGAGACTTCCAGCAGCAACTGTGGCTGCTGATCCTGAGCCGGATGCAACACCGAACTTGTTCTCCAATGCCGTGCACCAGTCCCGCAACCTCGGCTCGCAGAATGTCAGCGCCTTGAAGGGCCTGATCATGATAACAGTCGACTCGGTTCGCGTGTGCAGGGTTCTCCCCAGTAAAGTTCCGAGAATCTGGAAAAGCGCAGCTGAATGAATTCGAATTCTTTCAGGGAGTGGCGAGTCCCCAGGTGACGTTGACGCAAGTGCATCAGACTCTTGAGGTGCGTCCGTCTTGGGGACACTGTGGCCTGAGTAGCCATACCAAAGACGATAAGCACCCAGGTCCTCAGCGATATCAGGTTCTCCAACTAGAATGTCCATGACACAGGCATCTTTCTCTCCCAGGCCAGAGAGCTTACTAAAAGAGAACCATTGTAGGCGATTAAGCTTGGCCAAGGCGTAAATGGGCTGGGTGTCTTCTTCTTGGTGATCATCTTCCTCAGGAGGGTCGGAATCATTTTGAACCTTCTCCCCTGGCTTGAGAACTTCGTCATGTCTACGCCTTTCTAGTTCCTCTGCCAAGTACAGGCGGTCCATTTCCCACTCAAAGGTCTTGCGAAGCCTGTCTCGGCGGCTGCCAAAGTCAATAGTGCGGTCGAAATCATCAATATCCTGGCCTGGTACATCAGCTTGACCACTCAAGCATTCGTGAGAAGGGTGAAAGTGGTCTGGAGGATCAAATCTCCTTGTTCGATGAAAAGCCCATGCCATACGCCATCTCCTCTGATAATTGTTACTTTGCATGTAACCACGGGGCCTGGAATCTTCTATGCCCCAATCTCCCGGATCCTCTGTGGCCTCCCACTCCTTTCGGTGCTTGTACAGGCATGCTTCCATCTTTCTATGCCGCTCTAGATCGGCTTTGAGCTCTGGCGGCAAGCCCTCTTCTTGGGACTTTTCCGGGTCAGGTTTGGCTTTCGTCTCGAGTTCAAGAACCTTCCTCTGAAGGCCTTGGACGACCTCAACAAGCTCGGCAACATCGTTTCCGGCGAGATTATCGGTAGTTGCGAGAAAATGTTCAGGTAACCTGGCGATATCTTTTTGGTGGTTCGCCGCGTTGTTCTGAGTAGAATCCGGCACATCGCTGATAGTGATATCAGCTGTTCTTTTCCCTATATTTTCTGAATTCGTGATAGTAGAGGCCATGTTTGACGGTCTCACAAGTAGTAGTAAGCATCAAAGATTGCCTGTCGCACCAACTGTAGGAAGTGTGTGGAGGTTTGAGGGAATTTGGAGCGCGTAAAAAGTTGTCATATAGCTATCAGCCAAGAATATGTGAACATAGTGTAGCCGGCTAGCTAGCGAGTAGTTCGTGAAAATCGAGGTTTTGGCTTCAGGTGTAGGCAGGGTTAGCTGCAACAGTTGAGAATGAATTGGCGGAGTGGAGCCATCCGCTTCCGTTCGCTCCTACATCATATGCAGTCAGAGAGGCGTAAGTCTCAATGCAGTCCTGCATCCGAGTCTCCAGCCAGTGTGCAAGCAAAAGTAAGTACTTGCATCGCATACGCAGATATGGCAACCGGCTTTGGCCAGTCTCCGATAGACCCTAGGAGTCAGAGTGAGGCTGTGTCTAGACGCGAGCTTGTGTGTCAGGTCTCATTTTGAATCAATAGATAAGGCAAATCAGCAGCCTCATTTTGGCTGTTGCAGGAAAGGGACTGCCTGGTTTCTCCGATGATTGGGTACAATCATGATCCTCAGGAGTCCCCCCTACCCGCAGATGTAGCATAGGCACCGCCGTAGTGTCCTTCCGGTAGATCATGCATCAAATATTGGTCTTCGCCATGTCATGCAATAATGAGACAAGGCACTTCTTTTAGCGGGGATTTGTCCAAAGAGGCCGTAGTGATGAGGTGCCAACTTGTGATTAAAGTGCATGAGTGCTTGATGGATCATGTTCTCCTCGGGCTAACCAGTCATTTCTTGTTTCCCTGTCAAACATGGCGCTTCTTGGCGAAAATGCGACCCGAAACGACCCGGGTCTAGACCTCATTATCTCTAAATATGGTCATGTGCTCTGTCCATTTTGTTGCACCTATGCATGTAGGTAGAGGTCCTTCCAGATATTGAAGTAACCCCGCATGCTCTTGGGCCCACACTGCAAGAAGCAGGTAAGTCTGGATGCAAGCCTCCTTACCGAGCAGGAGCAATTCGCGCCTGACTGAGCCTTGTTTGTTTCATTTTTGCACTCAAAATGCACTTTGAGCTGGCGAATCGGGCTCCTGTGTGACCACCACCAAGTGTCTAGACGCTCGTATGACTACATGAGCCATGCCGTGATGCCCAAAAAGCCTGACTGACAATAAGCCGAGGCAACGGAAACAACGTAAAATACCTGATTTGTGACATGTGTGGGTGCCATCACAACCTGCCGCTACTGCGCCCGAAGAGTGAACAGTCGGCGATCGCAGGATAGAAATACAAAGTGCCTTGATTGTAGTGACAATAGCTTTGAAGAGTCAGCGCATCGCCGAAGACCGAGACGCCGATTCATCTGCTCTTTCTTGTCTCTTCTTAAATCTGTGAACTCGAATGTGTCACAGTGACTTGCTAAGAATAGTCACAGCGTTCTCTTCTTGTAATCAAGCTCTCAGCCGCATGAGAGTGCCTGGAAACGGGTACGGGTAATCTATGATAGCAAAAGACCTACACAACTCCTCAATCAAGCCGCTTGCGTCAGGTAAGCAAGTCTGAAGCACTAGAAGAGGCTATGGTCGAATTCCTAGAGAACATAAACCATCATGCCTTCTCTCAAGTCTTGTTAGTCTAACATCAGAAGTGCCTTCGTTGCCATTATCTATGCCTGATTCAGAGCCTTATACATCCAGACGAGACTACCAACTTGCTACAAGTTACTTCGTTGAGAACCATCTTCCAAAGCATCACCCGGCATTTGCAAACTCTCAAGTTAACTTCGATTCAAAGCCTGGATATCATGCCCGGAAGGACGGGCCTGTTGCCCAGACATTGGCTGATAGCCAGGCCGTGGCATCCGTAGCTTCGAATGCCTTGGTAAATGACAACGCCATCCCTCCAAGGCCAGAATGGACAAAAGTTTCCGCCATGAACTTCTGGAACGGCATCTTCCCTAAAGCCATGCATCAACTCAGGTCAACGCCTCCGCCCAAAGACCGTGCTTCCACGATTTTCGATATTAGAAACAAGCACGACTGGGACACTGTCTACAGCACCCTCGATGAAGCACGGAACAAGTACCAGAGGGAAGGGGGACCTCTAGGATGGCTGCGGAAGGTACGGCGTAAGGGTGCTGATAACATAACTTCGGTGGAAGGGATAGTCAAGATCGTCTCGAAAGCCACCCCCAACGACCCTTATGCCACACCAATTTTGGGCGCATTAGAGGTTCTTTTGGATGTGAGAAAGGCCTACATTGAATTCAGTCCAAAGCATTGAAGCTTTCATTCAGCTAACATGCTATCAGGCTGTCAAGACCGCTGCAAGTGTGCGGAAGCAGGTCCTGGAAGGCTTCGAGGGCCTCGTTCCCATTTTTTCCGACGTTGAGCTTTTTCTTGGGACATTTCAAGGGGACTTGAACATAGAGAACGCTTCTGTGGACCTCACCGCTACGACTCTCGGAGCCATTGAATATGCCATTGGCTTCTTCATTAGCAATGAATGTAAGTCTTTTGTACTGATCCGTAAATGAGAACTTGAGACGTGGACTGACGCTCAACACGACAAAGTCAGCAGGGGTGGGAAAGCTTTCTTGAAAGTTGGTGGTTACGAAAGCGACCTCAGGCAGAGTCTTGAATCAATCAAAGAGAAGAGTAAAGCCCTCATGGAGGAAGCTGCGAAGTCTCACATTCATGAATTTCACCTATGTAGGTCTAGTCTACTACTCCCATTCTTACACCGAGACTAAAGGCTTGGGCCTACCTCCGAAGACTCTCGAGAGACAAGGAAGTTCCAGGAAGGATTGTCACAGGCCATGAACTCCGGCTTCAACAAGATGGAGGCTTTGATGCTTGAGTATGCTGAGCGACAAGAGGAGCGCTTCCAACAACAAAGTCGTGAATATGAGCGTGAGTTGAGTTCTTCTGTTCTTCTTTCTTGATGGGACAGTTGGTGACGATGAAGACTTTTCCCAGGCAAACTCGAAGCTGCTCTCCAAGCAAATGCTCATCTGAGAGTGGAAAATGGGATGTTACGAGCCGCCTCGCCATCTCAGCAGATGGCCTTTCTACCCCCCTATACCCAGGCGCCTGCCATGGATTGGTATATCAGTCAAGGTGCTTTGCGACAGCTCTTAGATGTCTCTGATATTGATCTGATCGACATGAATTTCGTAACCAACAAGAAAAATCAGTTTCCTCCAAGACAACGTGTCTTGGCCGAGCAGATTGTTAACACGCTATTCTTCCGAGACTGGATGGTGTCACCGCACTCAACCAAGCTTCTCATTCAATGGGACTTCCGTCTACCCAAAACTATTGCCGGCGTCACTCCCCTTTCGGTATTCTGCAGCACGGTGGTACAATCACTCCGGTGCAAGGAGCAATTTATATCAGCTCTTTGGTTTTGCGGGCAGCACATCGACAATTCCAAGGCAGCTAACAGAGTTGGTGGGCGTGCTATGTTGGCCAGCATCATCGATCAGGTTTTGAGACAGCATACTTTTGATATGCGGGCGTTGTACCGTGATGTTGATCCGAATGATTTGCAAGAAGCTGGGATCGAGACTATGAGCAGGATGCTGAATTGGCTTGTGAGGCAATTGCCTCATACAACGACCTTTTTCTGTATCGTTGACGGTGCTTCTCTGTATGAGCGAGAAGAGCTGCAATCGGAGGCTCTGGAAGCGTTTCAAAACCTGCTGAGCCTTACTGTCGATCAAAGCTTGAGAGCCAACGTCAAAGTGCTAATTACAAGCACACCAGGCACGGCGATAGTGCGAGCTGCCTTTGAGGCGGAAGGTTTACTTCTAAATGTTCACACTCTTCCACAGCTCGCATTGCCGCCGAATGACGATAGAGTGGATAGGGTAATAGGCAGAGAACTTGGAGCTTAGTGCTCATGCCGTAGGCGATGGGCTGTGGCGTGTGGGACAATATTTGACAAATTCTGCTGCATATTTAACACCAAGAGAAATCGTCCGGGGTCGTATGTTTGCCGTTGAATCAAGATTACGCGGAATATCTGCTCAACTGAGCGAGCTTTTCGGAGACATATTGATACGGGATAACGACAATGTGGATGAGCTTCTGCGTTGTACTCAGTGAATTCTATTCGCGAAACGCCCCCCACCTGACCGAAGTTCTACTTTGCGATGTTTTCCAGACTGACCAAGTACCAAGGAGTTCTGGCCGGCCACGAAACAAACGTTACCAGCGAATGTATGGACCGCTAAGTCATCAGCTCTTCAAATGGCCTAACTGAGACCGCAGTGTTCAGGTTTGGGACCGTCCAATTCATTCACGAGTCTGTGAGAGACTTCATGTTCCTTGTCAAAGACCGCGGCTATCAGGAGTTTTGGCCTGGCCTTGAAGCGAATCTCCAGAGCCTGGGCTATGAACAATTGAAGCGGCTTTGCTATTCTAACATGATGGCCGGCATAAAATCGAGTTTTGTGGAAACCCTACCGACGACACATTCGGAGTCTTCATATTGGGAGGAGCATCGAAAAAAGACTAACGAAAATGTTTCCTGTTTCTGAATACTCAATTGTGTATGTGTCGTATCATGTAAATGCTGCAGCCAGAGATCTCACGCACGAAAACCTTTTGATATACTTCCGCCTCCAAGACTAAGCAAATATTGCCAACGCTGTCAAACTCCTTATTGGTCATTACACATCAACCGTTTCATTTGTATACGTCCTTGCGGAAAGAGGCTTTACTGCGCTGATCAAAACACATATGCGGCAAAATCCGCAAGTTCATCAAAGAGGAGAGGAATACGGATTTCCGCTCTTTGCTGCGTTGTCAAATGCACATCTCCCCGCAGCTAAAAGCCTTTTGGGGCAGGTTGCAAGTCATATTTCCCACAAACAGCTATTTCCAGCTGGTAGTTGTATGAAGTGGCATTGTGGTCGACAGTGAGGAATAGTAACAAGTCCGCTCCATTGGGCAATCATCAACAATCACATTACTCTCGCCATATTGCTAGTAATCTCTGATTACTTCTATTATGCGCAGAAAAACTCTCGGAATCAGGCCGACCTTGACTCGGCTACAAATGTACATGTCGCGATCCAAGAGGATGGCAAGATCGCCGTCTCCGGCCAAGTGGTCACGTTGGGACCGCCTCATAGGCATGCGATCAGGCTTCATGATGCAACGAATGAAATGTTAGTCAACATGGGGGATCCTTGGGGAGACTCGCCTCTATCATTAGCCACCAGAAACGGGCAAGAATATTTGATCCGAGTGCTTTTAGGCTGGGGATCGCATCTTGAGACCGCTGGTGACCGTTGGGAAGCCACAGCGTTGTCATATGCTGCAGAATCTGGACATGGACACGGAGCCATGTCCCGTATCCTCTTTGAAAGAGGCTCAGAGATCAACTATCAAGATGCCCAGGCTCGGGATCCATTGCTATTTGATGTCACAAATGGGCACGAGGGGGTAGTCAAGATGCTGATAGAAGAAGGGGTGGATATCCGGCACACCGACAAAAAGAGCCAGGAATTCCTGCACGCAGCGGCCGAAGGAGGATTTGAAGGCATTGCTAGGCTTCTTGTTGAGCTTGGGCTACCTGTCAACAGAAAACGGACATCAATGGGCGACACACCCTTGCATTTGGCAGCTTACAAGGGACACGAGGGTGTCATAAGATTTCTCATTAAGAAAGGGGCGCTTGTCAATGTTGAGGACTACAGCAGACTAACGCCTATTCACTTAGCTGCTGGAAGCGGCCACTTGGCTACGGTAAGATTACTGATTGAAATGCATGCATCTATTGATACTACCGATCACAATGGTCAAACGCCTCTCCATTTGGCAGCTCAGTGGGACCGCGAGGCGGTCGTAAGACTGTTAATTTCAGAAGTAGCGTCTATTGAAGCGAAAGACAAGGACGGGCGAACACCCATTCATCTAGCAGCCAATCGTGGCATTGGAAGTATCGTAGTTTGCGTGAGTCAATGGACTCCCGTGGAAGAACTCACCTTCTGTTGGCAGAAACTCATGGCCACGCAGGCGTGGTAGCAATTTTGCTGGGAGCCAGGAACAGGGAAAAATCAAGCTCTGGGTTTTCATGAAAGGCCGTATGAGCCTTAAGAGAAACAAGTTTTGTGGCAATGCGCATCTTTAGGCGAAAGAAATCGTACAGACGAGGCTACATACATCTTCCACCTAGGTGATCAGCGTGCGCTTGAATCATCCACGTTATCACGCAGACGAGCCACGGCACCGTGCCGCCGGACATGGTCGCAACATGAGGTACTCCGAGCCAATAGCCCGGGCCGTTCAGTCCTCGATGACAAGAAACCCCACCCGTGGGTGCCGAGAGACTACGGGTCGACCGTCTCGATCCACCGTAGAACAAAGGTACCTGACGTTGCTCATTGACCAGGTCGGTTGAAACCTAAGTTTAAAGACAACCTTGATGATCAGTAGACCAAGTGAGTATCGGTTACTGGTTCTCGTTCTCGTCTCCAGTTATGGATCATTGCACGGACGGCGGTTCTAATGCTAATTAGTTCTTTTTGAAATTCCTCGGTCCCGAAGGAACAGAGGCTTGGTTCAGCGACAGACTTCTTCGCTCTACCCACGCCCGAGGCCTCGGCCCAGGGACCCAAGAGAAGGTGAATGAGTGAGGTGAGCTCAGATGAAGGTAAACCTCTGTGAGGCAATGAGCTCGCTAAGCGGGCTCCTCTGGCCAACTCCGTTTTCCATCATCACACAATCATTAGCATTGGTCTCACGAAAAGCCAATGTCTGAGGATGAGCCTTGCAAAGACATCGGAAAGTCATCTTCAGCTAGGGAGAAACCGTCTTTGTCGATAATAAAGTCGTGTATCCATCGGTTTGCCGGATTAATCATCATGGATGCAGTGCTACCCTTCCGGTCCGCAAGCCTCGAAATATTCTTTCTCATGCGGTTGCAATTTTGTTTGGCAGGGTCCGTCTTGGTCTTCGGACCCAGTTGTGGTAGGCGGCAGCTTTGAACAGGCGTGTCCGGAATCGGCCATGGCCTGAACTTTGCACCCACTCAAAAGGGCCTTGCTACCGTTGCCTGTCTTGTGCTCCGGACACAATGGGGAGCTACACTGTCAGGAGGCCGTGCATTGGCCAGTGGAAATCTGCCAATCAGGAGTTCTGATATAATTTCTCACTCGAAATTTCCTTTCTCTCCTTGGTCCTAGCTTAGGTATGAATACTTACCATTCTCAGCCACAGTCGGCCAGAGCTCTGACGATGCCATCTACCAAGGACAAACAGTGGGATTATGGTAAGTCGACCCACCCCCTTTTGGCCACCCCCCCCTTTTGGCCACCCCATTTCTCCATCCCAGCTACTATATTAAAACCCTACCCACGATTTTTAAATTACTATAATAATTATAAAAATCGTCTAAATATAATTCTTTTTTATATACTTATTTATTAATATATAATAGTCTCGTATACTAAAAATAAAATTATTTAGGCTCTTAAAACTATTAAAAAAGGTTTTTTAATTAATTAGGCCTTAATTAAGTTCGGAGTTTTAAAATTAACTTTTTATAATTATAAAAAAGGCTCTTAAATAAAAATAATAGTATTTATAAACCTCTAAAAAAAATTTTTATAATAAGAAGATTAGCTAGTTTAATAAGTTCGTATTTAATATAATTAAAGTATTATATTAACTTATAAATAGCTTAGAGAATTTACTAAATAAGTTTTAAAATCTTAAGGGGATATAAATTTTTTTAAAAAGAAATAAATAAACGCTTTTTTTAAAAAAAACTTATTAATTAAGGTTTAGAGAAGTTATTTGTTTTAGTATTCTGCCTTTACTAGCTGCTCGGGCGATTCTCGATGTCGTTTACACGGTATTAATACACAGTATCAGTGGATACTCACACTGTCTCGGTAGACTATTGTTTTTTTTGAATTTCCTTCCTCCTTTTTATCTTTCCCTCCTGCAAAGTTCACAACCACGGATCTTAAAGAAGTTATATTATTAATTTAAAGTATTTAAATAAGGCTATTACTAATATAATTAAATTATAGTTTAAATTATTTAATATATTAGAAATTAGTAATATTAAATAGATTAATAAATATAATATAAATAAGATTTATATCTTAAAGAGTAAGGGATTTAATAACTTAGTTTTAAATAAGGTAGAGATTATAATAATATAAAAAAAAGAGCTCAGTTTATATACTTAAGTACTTATAATTAAATATATCTTTATTAATAATCGAACTATTAAACTATTAGTTATATATAAAGGAAAGTTAGTATAATAAGAATAACTTTTATTTAAACTTAACCCTTATATTAGTTATGAGTTTATAATAATAAATAATAGCTAAATAATTAATAAGACTACCCTTAAGTAATTAAAAATAGTATTTTTATTATAAACTAAGACCCCCCCCCTTAAGGAGCTTAGTATACTTAATAAGCTTTAATTATTAGTTTTAAATAGTTATAAGAGTTATATAATAATAGAATTTATATAAAAATATTATAAAAATAACGTTTACTTATTATTTTTATTATTATATACTTCCTATATTCTCTAACTATTAAATATAATTATTTTTAAACTTATTAAGTCTAAATATAAAAAAGAGCTTAATAAAAAGGATATAGTAAATAATTTTATTATTATTAAAAAGCGGTACTTTTTAAGTTATTATTAAAAAGCTTGTTTAGTTAGTTTAATATTATTAAATATATAAAGTAAGTAAAAAGTAACTAGACTATATCCCCCTAATATAGCTAAATTACTTACTAATTTAATAGTTTTACTTAATCTAGTTATACTAATTAAAAAAACTATAAATACTAAGTAAGTAACTAATAATACTAAAAAAGCTATTAATTAAGTATTAGTAGCGTTTATTATTAACTAATTAATACTTAAAAAGGCTAGTAAGCTTTATAATTAGTTAAAATTATTTATAGAGCTTAGTCTAAACTATAATACTTAACGACTACTATTTAAAAAAAATAAAAAAGATATTTAGTAAGTAAGCTTACTATTTAGTACTATTTTAGTATTATATTTAAGTTTTAAAAGCTAAAGTTAACTAATTAAAGTTATAAAAAAAATATATTAATAAACCTAAATACTAAGTTTATAAATATTTAAAATATATAAAAAGTTTAGGAGGACTTTAATAACTATTTAGTTAGTCCTAATTAATTCGTAAGGGTCGAATTACTTAGGGAGAATAATAATTATATTATTATAGTAGTAGAAGATAGTTAATTAATTAAGTATAGTTAGTGGCGATGTTTTAATACTATGTTTTGATAGGGTGGCCAAAAGGGGGGGGTGGCCAAAATGGGGGGGTGGCCAAAAGGGGGTGGGTCGACTTATTCGAGCCGGTGTTCTGACACTGTGGGACTGGGGTGGAATGATAACCAAAGAGATTTGCGAGAAGTATGGTATGCCCCGGCGGACTTTCAACGCGATCCACAACAAAGCTCTGGCCCGAGGATGGGGACCAGGTCAACCGGTGCTAATTGCTCATGTCGAAGACGGAGCTCGCTCCGGCCGCCCGAAGACGAGAGGAGACGGCTCTGACAGGCCCCTCGAAGGTGCGGATAGTATCGACCCAGTCTCTAGCCAAGGGGCGTAGAGACAAACTCCACAGTCAAGTCTGGACGCAATCAAATCTATGTGAGCAGTTTCTGTACCTCGTGTTGAAGACACATGGACCTAACCCCATCTCTCAAAAAGCCCGCTTCATACTTGCCCGGCGATACTTGAGGCGGCTCGCGATGAGTGGAGACGCGCTGCAATCTTAGCAACGACAGGAAAGCCTTCGCCTGAGTGCATTTGGAGACCTGACCACGCAAGTCGAGAGACTCAAGGCTGCAAGATGATACTCAGTACGGATGGACCAGGTGGACATAGGAGTAGCCATTTGTCATCGAGAATATAGGCATCGCCATGTTTTGATTCCTGGTACAAGTGAAGCCTATCACCTGTCTGGTAACACCAACGACAACACATAACCTGGGTATTCCAGCTACCTAATATAATCATAAGACTCAAAGTAGCCAGTGTTTTTCTCATAACTGCAATATAAGTGGGTGTGTAAATCTCTTACATGTATTCGTCACACTTAACGTGGCTCTGCTCATGAATCAAGGAAGGCGGAAGCTGTAGTGACCAGGTAATCAGATTGACCCGCTCGGATAAGCAGCCCTCAATGGAGTTACATAAGTTCATGGTAAAAGACTGACTTTCTCATAAATGAGGGATTAAACTGCTTGATCTACCCTGAAAGAAGTATAGGACACTGGCGATGGAGCTCGCAAAACCCACCTCTTCTCGGAATCCAAGTCCCGATGCCAGAACCGATTGGTGGAAGGGATTCGGAATTTCGAAAGCGTACCACACTGAACTTGCTTCGGATGGCGACAAGGACCCGGGGGGCTCGAAAATACGAGAGTATGATAGCTTCCCTAGGGGACGACCCTAAGCAGAAGACAGCCTAGATAAGCTGCGATTAAAAGCCTCGTCTATAAAATACATTACGAGGTTCGAAAGCCCTGATACGAACACATATCCTACATCGCTTCGAGAAGACTTACAGTCACTTCTCCAAAATGAAAAACACCACTACCTTCGTTTCCCTTCTCGCCCTTGCTGCCAGCACGATGGCGAGCCCAATTCCAGAGCCAGCTGCTGCTCACGTACGCCTCTCCCAGCCGCACGATCTGCTACTTTCTCTTCGAATCCACACAATCGATGTCAGTTCTGTCGCTAACGTATGCCAACAAACAGAATCCACGCAGTGCCTGCCCATCCCAAGTCAACAGCGCCTGCAGCAAGTACAGCAACGCCAATGGCCAGAGACAATGCCGAGGCGGCCAATGGAACTGCGTTCATCTCAACCCGGTCACTCTGGATGGGAATTTTGTCACCTATACTTCAACGGGTGTTTCTTGTTCTAAGAATGGAGAATTGTGCTCCTGAATACTGTGAATGACGTCAATTTGTCGTATCTCCGATGTCAAGAGGACGCGCATTCTATTGGGCTTTGAAGTCACACCTTACTTGAACGGACGTCGATGAGGTAGCCACTAGAACCTCCGGTTATCGCATGCTGAACAGACAAAGACGGTCATTTGTATACAGAACCATTTGTAATTACAAGATAAAAGACTGCTCGTCTTCATTGATATGTAATCGAAAAGTCAAGTGGATGTTCTGTACGAGAAGTTCCACAACATCAGTAGTAGTAACGACACCCTCGCCAGAAGGCCCTTGTTTGATACAGGGAAAAAGTGTACGAGGAGACTTCGATTCCCAGTTTCTCAATTGGCGACTTAGATGTTAAATCGTGTGATACAGTGATAGACTGTAGGACATGGTACCTATCATTACATGTAGGTTTACTCAAACAAAACCCTCCACTTTTGATACCACTTGGTTCTTACCGGTGCAGGCTGTTCTGCAGCGAAGATCTCGTCTAAGCCAGACTTCAGGTCGACATCCATCGGATTAAGTACCCAGGGATCTTGTCGTCCCACAGTGAACTTGTGCCCGAAGAAAAGCAGTAAGAAGATTACCACCCCGATGTACGACGTAAAGAAGGAAGAGGTGTTCCACTGTCCTGCGAGGAATACCTTGAAACCATTGATTAAAAGCAGTAGACTGAAGCCGAACAAGCTGAACATGCTTGAGTAGGGCTGGAAGCGGGAACGAAAGGGGATGTCTGTAATGCCTTGTGCATCTGATGCCTTGCGATATCTAAAGTAGATAATGCAGCAGCAAATCCAACTTTGATAAGCACCTGTATTGATCAAGTTGACGAACCAGTTGAACACGGTCGCACCAGTCGAAGCAACGTTGAGATACGCCAATAATGAGAATGCGGCACTGGCTGCCGTGGCGTAGTATGGGACACCTGACTTCGTACAGCGGGTGAAGATCTTTGGCGCGTTGCCTGCAAGGGCCATCGAGTAGAGTGCGCGGCTAGCAAGGTACTATTCAAGTTTACACGGATTAGAAGATATTCGAGGACCTATTTCAGGAGCAGGGAGGAAAACATATACCAGATAGGAGTTGCCTGCAGACCAAGCACTCAGCACGATCACGACGTTCACCACGCTGTCTAGGCCCTTGATACCTGTCTCCCTGATGCCAATAGCCCAAGGAGAAGCACCAGCACCTTTGCCACCGCTGAGGAGGTTGGTATTGTTGCTGCTGACAATGATCCCCACAGCCAGAGCACCAAGAATGTAGAATGTGATGAGGCGATAGAAGTATCGACGGGTCGCAGTAGGAATATTACGGCGAGGGCTTTCCATCTCTCCGCCGGTGACGACAAGAAGTTCCGGCGCAAACGCGAACGCAAATACGGAGAAGGTAATGGTCGAGACAAATGCCACCAGACGCCCAGAATCTCCCGTCACGATGTATTCTTTGACCGGCCCTGGATTAGACCAGTTCGAAAACCAAAGGGGTTGGTGCGAGGGCCCGCCGCCAAAGAAGAGTACAAGGGAGAGGATGAGCAGCCCGATAATACCAAAGACTTTCATGCTGGCGAACCAGAACTCAGCTTCCCCGTAGACTTTGACGGGGAAGCAATTGAGGGCAATCATGACGGCGCCGATGAGCGTCAGCCAAAACGCAATGTGTAGAGGCGGCGACCAATAGTTGATGACAATGTAGGTCGCAGTGATCTCGGCTGGAACCGTGATGGAGAAGATATACCAGTATACCCAACCCAGCGTAAATCCAAGACTGCGCGAGAAAAATCGTTGGCCGTAGTAGGCAATTGAAGAGCCGGGGACTGGAAGGTAGGCACTCATTTCGCCGGTGGCCGTTGCCACTCCGTAGAGCAGAAGTGTGATGCTGATGTAGGAGATGAGGAGGAACAGGGGCCCGCCCATATTCAGGCCCTGGCCGACGCCAACGAAGAGGCCAGTTCCGATTGTGCCCCCCAAGGCGATCATTTGTGCATGTCGAGACTTGAGGCCACGTTGGGTCGAGCCGTGTTGTTGTCCCTCAGGACCTAGCACCCCTCCACGTACAGACTCCATAGGACGGAGCTCGACATCGGTGTCGGCGATGGCTGGGGACTTCATCTTTTCGGTGTCGTAAGATGCTGGATTAGACATTTCGGCCTTGTAGATGTCAGTTGTACAGACGTTCGAGTTATCTAAAGGAAGTTCCAGGACTGAAGAGTAGACAGCCTTCTGTAAGAACGAAGTAGGCAATCCACGGAGATCAAAACCCTACCAGACGTTATTGTAGTAAGGTTTTGATCCGCAATCGAGTTGACATAAATCAAGAGGACCAAAGGGAATGTTACTTAAATACTTGAGTCAAGATGAGGAGGGAGATGGAAGTGACTTGAAGTCGAGCAAGATTTTGCAACGCTGCTAACCAGTTCATCACGGGGTACGCAGCAGTAAAACTATCGTTGGTTTGCGCATACATTTCCGACTTAGCCCAATACCATGGGCGCGGGTATCAATCTTGGTCTGGAACGTTTCCCGATGATTATCTGGAATGTTTCCCAAGGCTATCAGCTTCATTGTGCTTAAAACCTGGCGTGACTCATGATACGCTGGGGTTAGCTTGCACTAAGGCTGATAAGGGAGGCTAGAAGGTTTTGTTGTTGGTGTTGTCGTTATTACTTTCCTAAAGTTTTGAGACTACCTACTCAGCCAAGCTTCTGGCAAGGAGAACTTCCCCGCGTAATTATCGGCTTCCCCGGACACATCCCTGAAGTCGGCTGATATGAGCGATACGCAGCGTAGATGCTGGTCTTGATGCTGGCTCTTGTCGTATTTGCCTACATCAAGACTCTCTCAAACGCCAGACTCGCAGAAGACTGACTTAAAGGCAGTGGAGGTGAAATGGAAAGTATTTCCGCGTGGCGTCGAGACAGTGTGAACCATGTTGCTGAAGAATGCAGGCTTGCTTCATCCCTGATGGCGATCACATCGGCAGGAGATCTACATCATTTGGCATGCCAATCTCATCCTCAACCGGGAGAGCCAATTGTGAAAATGACCAAAGTACAGACGCGGATTGAAAGCGAAGCAAATCAACTCCAGCATAGTCAGCTTGACTGATGCACGGCTTGATCCAGGAACCTAAGTTGAAATTGGCCAGATTTCTGTTCTGCTTCAGAGACCGGGAATGTACTTATGATTGTAAGCAAAGGGAATAGTGATGGCAAGTCACGTACGATTATAGCACTGCTGTGTCTGATTAGCAAGCTTGCGACGCTCAGTGGGCACTGTTGAAATACCTTCCAGGCGCTGAATCCGAGGCATACATAAGGTAGCTTACGAGGTCAACCGGTGCAAAGGGTTCAGGACATTGAGATCACGAGCCTTTTACCCGAAAAGAGGAGTGTCTGCCACTAGTGTATCTGGAAATTCATAGAGTCTATCGTACTTTTTTTACGTCTAGTTTTGGGTCGGCATCACCACGCTTGCCTTACTCGCCTCCTCATCTTCCAATTTCCAGAGGCTGGTGACTGTTTTGGTCTGCAAATAGAAGTTCAAGCCTGCTTTTCCGTAGAAAGTGTTGACGCCACCGCCGGCGATGCTTGCCTTGTTTCCTGTGAAGCTGAACATAGGCAGCGGCACTGGGATTGGAACATTGATGCCAAGCTGCCCAGCCTCTACATTCTTCTGGAACCAAGAGGCAGCAGCACCGGAATTGGTGAAAAGAGCAACGCCATTGCCGTAGGGATTGTTGTTGACAAGTTGGGTGGCTTCGGCTAAGGTCTCCGCCTCCAGACAGACCAAGACGGGCCCGAAAACCTCCTCCTTGTAGCACTTCATGTGAGGCTTCACACCACTAATGATGGTGGGACCTAGGAAGTTGCCATTAGGATACTTGCTGGGGCGATAGCCACGGCCATCCAATACGATCTTTGCGCCTTCCTGTTCCGCGCTCTCGATCAGAGCTTCTATCCTGGCAAGACTTTGGGGGCTAATTACTGGGCCCAGATCAGCGCCATCTTCAAACCCGCCATCGACCTTGAGCTGTTTCGCATTTTCGACAAGGTCGTCAATCCAAGAATGCGTCTCGCGGCCAGTGAGTACCAGAGCAGAGAGCGCCATACAACGCTGACCTGCTGCGCCGAATGCAGCACCAGAGATTGCGTTAATGGTCCGTTGCTTATTGCTATCGGGTAGAACAACAGCATGGTTCTTTGCACCGAGGTTGGCTTGCACTCTCTTTCCGTTGGCTGATCCACGGGTATAAATGTATTCACCGGCCTTGTTTCCGCCAACAAAGCTGACGGCCTTGATTGTCGGCTCGTCGAGAATGAAGTTAACTGCGCGGTGAGTGCCATGAATAATGTTGAGAACACCATCTGGGAAACCAGCTTCTTTAGCGAGTTCTGCCAGAATCATAGCTGCGCCTGGATCTCTTTCGGATGGTTTGAGAACCAGGGTATTGCCAGTAATCGTAGCGATTGGAATTGACCAGAGAGGGATCATGGCAGGGAAGTCTGTCGAAGAACGAACATTTCAGCGAAGAAACAATATAAGAAAGTTGACCCGTGAAATATCGGGTGACTAAAAGACAAGAGAAGCTTGGAATTTAAACTTACTGAAAGGACATATAGCAGCAACAACACCGAGAGGCTCGCGGTAGCTTCGTGTCTCCATATCTTTGGCTACCTCTAGAACATCACCAGTGATTTGTGTCGTGATGCCGCACGCCGTCTCGGCAACTTGCAAACCGCGAAGAACATCGCCTCGTGCATCGGCAAAGGTCTTGCCCTGTTCAAGCGTGATGGACGCGGCAAGACGATCCCAATCTCTTCGAATCAAGTTTACGAAGTTGAACATAATTTGCTGGCGTTTTAGAATGCTCGTTGCCTTCCATGCTGGAAATGCGCGCTGGGCACTCTCGACCGCCGCCTCGAGCTCCTCGTCCGTGCTCTCTGGTACGCGTGTCACGACATTGTTTGTGGCTGGGTCGTGAACATCGATCCAGTTGCTTGCTGAGGACGGCTTGAAGGTATTGTCGATAAAGTTTCGTGTTGCTGAAGGGTTGGGGATTTTGGTGTGAGACGTAGGCCAGGACGATCGTGCAGATGATGTTGAGGAAAGAGCTCTACAGCATGACGAAACTGGGGAAGATAACGCAATGAAGCTGCTTGGCTTGGCCGATGCTGTGTGAACAACCGATGAAGCCCTGAAGGACCGCATTTTGTGACAAGACGATAGCCGAACTTGGTGACAATACAGTGCAGGTCAGAATCTCGGAGTGAAGTGGTGCAGAAAATGGTGGGTGAAGCTCGAAGAAGAAGAGAGTCATTTCTAGACAAATTTGAAGCAGCTCAGAGACATCGTAGAGGTCGCTGGTTCATCTAGGCAAGTGGGTTGTTTCACGCGCATGATTTGCCAATTACCGTTCTATACCTACACAATTGGACATCCCCAAAATACTGCTCTAACCATCGGATATGCTTCCGTGATATTGAAGGTAAGGTCTCGCCGAAGGTAGCCTTGATGTTTGTGGTCGCCATGGCTGCCAAATTCCTGGAGAGCTATGCGTACCGACTGCGCATATCGCACGTGGATCAACCAGCCTAGTACCCCCGTACCGTAGGAGATCTCATACAACTTAGCATCTGCAGCCGGAGACTTGTCCCTGATTGGGTAGACCACCTCGGAAACGTATCACGCGGGGGCAAGACAGGTTCACTCGAAGCGAACAGGAACCAGACCTCAGACGGTAGCTGGGTGCACGTAATTGGAAAGTCAGATTAGGTGTGACTGGTGGTGTGAAGCAAAAATGGCAACCATCCCCGAGCTACCCCGAATTCACCCCAACCATGACGATAAGCATTTGGTCTAGATCTGGGAGATTGAGCTCCTTGCCTAAAACGGGAGCTTCAAGACGATTTCTTCAGACGCTGAAGGGTCCAAAAGTCCAGCGGAAGCATCCTCTGCGTACTGTTTCTATCCCGATTTCGGGTAGCGGAGCAGCTTGCCGAGGCAGGAAAGTCAAGAACGTTGTAGACTGACGGAACCTATTCCGATCGATTTTTCACATAAGCTCACGAGCTTTCCATTGAAGCAGCTTCTTTTCACATCAAGTGTTCCTCTTCAAACCCTACCAAGACCATTCCATGTTGAGCTGGTGCAATCGATCCTCAAAGCATACCCGACCAAGATAATCTTAGTCTTACCAGATTGACAATGGCTAACCGCGGCGCAACATGGGACCCCGATGTCCATACCATCCGTGATCTGATGGAGTTGGGCAGCAAGAAGCTCCCCAAGATGTACAGGGATTACTACAATGAGGGCGCAATGGATCTCGTAACGTCAGTCGCCTGAAGTCAGCTCTAGAGTATGCGAGATAGTACTGACACTCGACGTTATGCAGACTGAAGGATAACGAGGAGGCATACAACCGATACAAGATCATGCCGCGTATTCTCGTCAATGTCGACAATATCGACATGTCTACCTCGATCTTTGGAGCTAAGGTATGTAAATCGCATAGTCGCAATCCCACTCTCTAGGAAACTGCTCACACGTTCCCGATAGGTTTCATTTCCATTGGGCTTCAGCCCGGCTGCGATGCACAAGATGGCACACCCAGATGGCGAACTTGGCACGTCGCGTGCGGCAGCAAACATGAATGTTTGCATGGCACTTTCTTCCTATGCCACCGAGTCGATGGAGAACGTGGCAGCCGAAGGCGCTGGAAACCCATATGTCATGCAGCTGTGTGTGCTCAGAGACCGAGAGACCACTTTGCAAATTCTGAAGAGGGCTGAGGGTAGGCGAATCATATCTTCTACAAGCATGAAGTCAAAATGCTAAGAAGTTTGATAGCATCTGGATACAAGGCCATCTTCCTGTCTGTCGATACCCCGCTGCTGGGCCGCCGATTGAATGAGTACCGAAACAACTTCTGTCTACCCGACGGCATCGAGTGGCCCAACCTCTTGTCCGATGGAAAGAGCGAACTGAGCGGCAACGAGAAGGATGGCCAGTCTTCAAACCGACACGACTTTGGTACGTCGTAATGTAAGTACATATTTTTCGACTTCATTACTGACAGCCAAAATTGCAGACCCTTCGCTGGACTGGGACTCGGCTATTCCCTGGCTCAAGAAGCACACTAAGCTTCAGCTATGGCTGAAGGGTGGTGAGTTGATTATACACCTCGCCTCTTGTGATGATATCGAACTGGCTGGTTGACTTGTCCAATAGTTTACACTCCCGACGACGTAGCTCTCGCAATCAGACACGGCCTCGACGGTGTCATCATCTCGAACCACGGTGGCAGGCAGCTAGATGGAGTGCCTGCCACGTTAGATGCTTTGCGCATCTGCGCACCTGTAGCGGCTGGAAAGCTTCCTATCGCTGTTGATGGCGGTATACGCCGTGGTACTGACATCTTTAAGGCTCTTGCCCTTGGCGCGTCACATTGCTTTGTGGGAAGAATTCCCATTTGGGGTCTGGCGGTACGTCAAGACACGACTATTCAAGATTTTTAATGGATAAAGCAGCTGATCAGCATGACAGTACAATGGGCAGGAGGGCGTTGAGCTGGCGCTTAAGATCCTCCAGTACGAGCTCAAGGTTGCCATGGCTCTTGCAGGGTTAGTCCCGAGCCGTCGACTGATGAACTTCGAAAACAGCTAACTAAATTGTCAACAGAACCCGAACCATTGCTGAAATCTCGAGGGGTCATGTGGCATATCTAAACGGAAGCGGTGTTTTGGCGAAGCTTTAGGTGAAACGTGTGTATTTTGATAGCATTTGCATAGCGAATTATCATTTCCTCAGATTGATCATCATCAACGAAAGTTGCAAGAGTGTCAGTTTCTATCTTTTTCGAGATGCGGAAGATATCTTCAATGAATCATCTAAGATGCACGAAACGTGACACAGCCTACAACCAAATCCAATACTACCGGATCTCCAGCATTATTAGCTGCTAAAGAGCGCCAGGCCTGGCCAATCACACAAAATTGTCTTCAAGGGATTCCTAATCGCACCGCCAACCATGATTGCAACTGCATGTGCAGAATTCAAGCGTACTTGGGCCGATGTGTGCATCATGGCTTTCTTTGCCCGACTTTGCCACCTAGACTGGATCTGCAAGCGCCACGTAGCTTCGGAAAAAGACACTGACTCCTACGAGACCCTGAATGACGAAGCTAGTGTCCCTTGGAGCACATTGGTGCGTCCAGAAAGCTAGTGTACCGGTATCAAGGAAACCCCAATAATGGTCGTCCCTTTCGAGCGCAGAATGGCTGTCCTGTTTGGTGATGGTGTGAAGCAGATGACCGTTTCTGCGCCACACATACCATAGTCAGGCCAAGCCGGCCTCCTAAAGGAAGGCCTCCGCGACGGGATCCACTTTACCGCCCGGACCTACCCCGCGATATCTCGATGAAGATAGCGATTCTGGACACTTGAACCGCGGGGCATTATGGGTCCCCGGGACCGGAGCTGACCCGCGGTGCCGTCTTCTTTCGCTCGATTCGAATTACCCCGCCATCCTCACACCCCTTTTCCAAAGCCGTCTCGAGGGGCAGAAGTGACAGAAGAGGCAGGCCTGCTCAAATTGGTTATACTTCGAGTGATCGGGTACGCTTCCGGTCCTGTTTGTGCTGCAATAGAGAAGGTTTGCGCGTGTAGCTATCCGAAATGGACGAAGCAAGAGAAGCCGACTTGCGTTTGTAATCTTTGATATGATTGAATTAGATAAACACCCGAAAAAGCTGGTAGCTATATGACGTTGACACCTGAAGCCCGACAGGCTCTGATTCTTTACATTGCAATATCGATCAAGTCCTTATACCAACGTATAGCTTGGTTTTTCTGTACCAGAACTTATCTTACGGTTCACTACACAACAATCTCGATTACTTCAAGGCCTCAAACCACTCTAGCAACCTGAATAACACGTTCGAAATGCCCGCTAGCGACCTCAAAGGCGTCCTCGTCGCCCTAATCACCCCCTTCACCCCCAACCAGAAAGAAATCGACACCGCTGCCCTCGATGCACATATTCAACGCATGATCGCCGCAGGCGTCCACGGCCTCGTCCCTGGCGGCAGCACGGGCGAATTCACAGCCCTCACCACCGAAGAGCGCAAAATCCTTGTCAAGCAGTCCGTCGACTCTGCTGCTGGCCGAGTCCCCGTCGTGGCGGGCATCGGCGACCTCTCCACCGCAAAGGCCGTCGAGCATGCCATCTACGCCGCCTCCGTCGGCGCCAGCGCGCTGATGGTTGTCCCTCCGTTCTACGATGCGCCCAACTTGGTGCAATTGAAGGAGCTGCTCAAGGAAATTCACGACGAGTCCAAGTTGCCGATTATGTACTACAACATCCCCTCCGCCAGCGGCGTTTCGCTCTCTCCTGAGGAGATTGCTTCGCTGTCAGAGGTCGGCGTCACGCATCTCAAGGATACCTCCGGCAATGCGCCCGCCCTGACAGACATGCTCTTCACTGAAGCTACCTCCTCCAAGGTTACCGCCTTCAACGGCTGGGACACCCTCACATTCTATGGCCTGGCCGCGGGCGCAAAGGGCTCCGTTTGGGGTGCGACAAACATCATTCCCGAGCTATCTTCACAGCTATGGGAGGCGCTGGGGGAGAAGAAGGACTTGGTGAAGGGTCGAGAGCTGTGGGCCAAGATCTTCCCGATTTGCAAGTTTCTCGAGGCGCCTGGGGACAACTACGGCGCGGCTGTGAAGACGGGCATGGAGTTGCGCGGGTGGAAGACGGGAGGTATGCGCAAGCCGTTTAAGCTGCTTGAGGGGGAGAGGCGCAAGGAGCTTGCACAGTTGTTGAAGGATGCGGGCATTGAGGTTGTTGCGTAGAGCGTTTTACTAGAAGATAAATTGAAGTAAATGTTTGATCAATGCCCAGATCGCATCTTGGTGGCTTCTTTGTACGATACCCCTCAGTGTCATTGCAGGTTCCAACAAGGCTCAGATGTGGTTGCTGTTATTCATAGCAATTGGCACGCTAGAATTACCTTTCAGTCTCTACGGGATAATGTTTCGACGCGGCTTCATGATGCAGCTTCTTGGTGAATCTTATCGCCGCCCTGGCTCCTATCGAAGGCAGAGGAATTTTTGGTCGATGGGGGAGCTCACATGGCTTTCTTGGTAAAGATCGGGATTTAGAGTTCTAAATACAGAAAAGCTTTAAACGCTATAGTTCCACATCGTCAATCGTCTACATCATGGAGTCTGCTGATGTAGATATTCACCTCGGGATAGTCTTCATCATGTCCGGCCAACTCAAGGCCCAATCACCGGTCTCCGTCCTCTTTTCCCATACACTCTGGGCCAAGACACTGGGCTTATCCGTACCAAATATCACGCCGCTATTATCAATTGTCTGAAGCACTTTGAGCCCCCTCTCTTGTAAATCAGGCGTTGTAGCCTCGCACGCAGCAATGAAAGCTGCCCACCCTATGCTCGTCGCAAAGTCGTGATCGTCCGCTGTCTCTTAGAGGCACGGCTGAATGAAATCCAGTGTCTTACGTACAGAGTCCTGAATCACCATGGCGCTCATGTTGTAGACGCGACGGTAAAAGTAGATGATGAGCGCCTGGTGCATGGCAAGCGTCAGAGATCGGATGAGGGGATGGTCTACGAGCTTCGTCTCTTGAGTGACAAGTTCTCGCGGACGGCTCGGTCCACTTTGCATATCCGATGATCCCAGTGACCAAGACCAGATATTCTGCTCCAATTGTTTGATATGGCGCGACAAGGCCATTGAGATGCGGTGGTCGTACATAGCCATGGCTTCCAGCTTGGTCTTTTCATTGGCGAAGCTAATGGTCTGCGACAGCAACGTCATCAGCGACTCTGGCACACCATATATTTCTGGGTACATCGTCACAGGCCAGTGGCCAGAAATGTCGAGATGAATATCCGCGTAGCCCACCTCTGCGGGCTTTTCCCGTGATAAGTCGAGGTCGGCACCGAGAGAATCTTCTGCAATACGGAACTTGCGGAGTGACACCGCCATCTCGGTTGCTGCCTGCGCTTGGGACTTTGCAGAATCTATAGCAATGTCCGTACTCTCTGCAATGACGCGAAGGTGTGTGTAGACATGGTGTAGTACGCGGACGTGGAAGGATTTGGGCATCGCAAGGCCACGGAGACGGATTAGGCGTTCGGCATCGAGCAGGAAGATCTTTACTGCGCGGGATCCTTTATAGAGAACCTGAACGGCATTAGAAGAGTCGAAGGGATCGTGGATTTTAGAGTGAACTTACCGATACCATGGCTGTGGCAAGAATGGCCATAAGGATCTCGTTGTATTTGACCTGGCTTGGCTCATCAGATTCGCCCTGTAAAGCCTTTTTGAGATGTGTCTGGGCACTCTTTTGATAATTCTGTCCAATATCTAGCCACTGTGTTGTTGACTTCTGGCTTTCTTTCTTCGAAGATTGATGCATATGAAAGGCACTCTTTGCTAGCAATGTACACAAGATACTGTGACGGGTATGCGAAGTGGTGTTCCAAAGCGACAGTTCGGCAAAGGTTTCCAGAGCGCAGGGGAGGAGCCAAAGCTGCCACGGTGATATCCTCATACCCTTGACTGATGATGACGATTCCATAGTCTTGTAGTATCGTAAGAGGGAAGCTGCATGTGACGGCAAACACGGTTCGGTACCCGGCATATTATTAGTCAAGGAGGTAGAAAGCTTGCGCGAGATCGATAAGTCTTGCTCGTCTGTCGAAGGACTGGTCGGTTCTTCTGTATGGTTTTCCTCTCTTTCATGGTTCTGGTGTTGGCTATTTGTATCATTAGCTGGCCCAAGCTCGGTGTGAGCCATTGCTGGCGTGCGCGGCGATAATGGCGAAAAGAGAAGATCTAGTGCAGAGTTGTCCATTGCCATCATATGAGACAAACTTCCGGACCCTTCGCCGTGCATCCACGGCTGGCTCATGTTATTGATGATGCCTTCGGTACTGAAGTTGTCAAACGGTCCAGGTAAGAAATATGGCTCCATGGCTAAAGAGTTATCGTCAACGGACCAAGGCTCGATTACAATGTCCTCGATGTCTTCAGCGAGCTCGCCATTCATCGTCTCTGGCAAGGCATCAGATTGCGAGGTATTAGGCGAGCTCCCGGACGCAGAGGGCTGTAATGGCGAAGATCCAGAATCCGTAGAGCCATCAAAGGCCCTGAACACGCCAAACGGACCAGCTACATGGGCGTCATCGGCATGGACGCTTTTCTCGTCGAGATCCAGAACAATGTCGCCGGCAGACTGGCGCCCCATGCTCGTCACAATCTCGACACTCATTGTCTTCCTCTCTTCCTCGGTGAAAAGCGGGTACCGGTAGGAAGTGCCGCGATGAGCATGCTTCTGCTCAGCGGAGCACAGGGGGTCCGGAATCCACAGGAGCTGGCCATCGTAGCCCTCACAGACGAGATTGAGGCGGCGGCAGGACGAGCATACTGGGCGGGCCTCGTCACACTTGAGATGGCGACTTCTGCAGGTGCGGCAGCCTGTGAAGGTTCTCGAGCGAGGGACCTTCTTTGTTGGGGCAGCGCTCCTGGCAGTGGTCCTCGTTTTCGCTGTTGGCTTTCCTTTCGAGGGAGGCGGCTTTGCCCCGGATTTGGACCCTCTGGTGACCGGACGGGCAGGCATTCTCGAGTGTGCGGCAGGATACTGAAGTGCAATGCTGATGGTAAAGCTGTTTGATTGGATTTGACACGTAGGGGATGATTGTAGTAGGGGAGGAGTAACACATCAGGCTTGTGTTCCCGATGGGCTGTTTCTCTTGTGCTCTTGCGTGACTTAAAGAGAAGCCGAAAAGAGACACAAGACGTATTCGCCGTTACGTATGCATCGATATCGGCGGGATAGCTTTGGTCAGCTGGGCGATAGGGATGTGGTTCATCATGCGTGGACAGTTCGGCGTCGTTATCCGTAGATGCCAAGTGTAGTCAGTCTTTGTTCGTGCCAAAATCATCTGGGAAGGTTTCCGCGACGTGAATCGGTACGTATCGACGCTAACGGGGTGGAGACTCCAGGGCCGATAGAAGGCCGGTCGATCCCGCTAGGATAATGCCGGATCAGTCACGAATATGAATCTCGAGTTTTAGTTATGGCCTTTCCTTCCCAGCATCCGCAGACATATGACGGCGAGAAGGGAAGAGATGGGGATCTGACTGTAGTGTAATTGGATGTGTTGTGCTGTCTGAACACTGTGATGGGAATGCCTTCGCGAGAACCTAGGTGGTCCGTGGCACATGCGTGTAAGTCGAGTGTCAGAACTGTACCTCGAAATCAAACCAAGTATTGCATCATCAATCTCCCTCTCGAAAAAAATCGCAGTACATGCGAAATAACTGACACAAAGTCGCAATGGCATTCAGGCACCCTGGATCACTTACACTAGCCGCTATATTCCGACAGTGGCCTCGAGTTGTGGCTGGCGTGCGGACATTCTCGGCTACATCAAGCAACCGCGCAGCTGCCATCTTCTCGAACGAGCCTTGCAGGCCAAGGATAATGACATCCTCACTTCCCAGACCTAAAGTAAAGGGCGGTCTCGCAGAGTTGGAGGAAGTTTTTGATACCAGAAGTGCGAACATTTCGGTCGACTACAAGAGGTCGACAGGTAACTAGGTAGTGAGTCAAATTTGCATGTCGCGCGCCTTATCTGCATGTCTTTGATGATGATGTGCTTCTGGAGTCTTGTCCATGCTGATGGCAACACATTCTTGGATCTGTATATATTGCGACCATCCTCATTGCCATGGGTAGATCTGAAGAACTAACGAATTACGCGTACTTGATGCATAAATTTGCCTAAATCGCCCCAATTCCTCTCGAAGATAATAATCCAGAAGTCAACCGCGCCTCTGTAAGCCCAGTCATGGTCCGCGCCATCGCCAGCCGGCCAGCACTCGGAAGATTTCCATCGGCAGACTACGCAGACCTCCTCAAGACTGGCACCTTGAAAGCCGCGCCGCAAGGTCTGAATCAAGTCTTCACGGCAACCACAGGATCTGATGCAAACGAGAAAGCGTACAAGGCCGCCTGCATTTGGAAAGGGACCAGGGAACCGCAGCCGTAAGGGTTTCAGCGCCGCTGAGCTGGATGTCGTAGTGCGAAACCAAGCGCCTAGTGCGAAGAAGTCTTCAACGATGTCATTCTTCAAAGGGTTTCCACGGCAGTCTTTCTAGAAGTTTATCCACAACGAGGAGCAAGCCGATTCACCAATTCGATGTGCCGGCTTTCGACTGGCTTGTGGCTCCTCTCCCGCAGTTTCAGTACCCCCTCGACCAATTCGCAACTGAGAATGCTGCTGAGGAGAGAGGTGCCTTGAGGAAACGGAGCTTGTGCTCGACGAGGCTAACGACACCGTCGCGGCAGTGGTCATTGAACCTGTGCAAGCCGGGGGCAGCGACAATCATGCGTCCCCTGCCTTCTTCCGCGGGCTTCGTGCGCTTAACAAGCGCAAGAGCGTGTTAACGATCGCCGATGAAGTTCAAACAGGAGTAGGTGCAACTGGCAAGTTCTGGGCCCACGAGCACTGGAATCTCCCGTCTCCGCCAGACATGGTCACCTTCTCGAAGACGGCGCAGGCGGCGAGTTTTTCTTCAGCGACGCTGGTCTACGGCCTGACAAGCCGAACCGGCAGCTCAAATACTTGGGTAGGCGATCTCGTGCGTGCGCTACTGTTCAAAGCGATTCATGGAGAGATTGAGAAGCACGGGTTGGTTGAGCAAACGGCGCGGATCGGCAGTCACCTGTACCGAGAGCTGGAGGCGCTGGCGGACAAGTACCCGCAAAACGTATTGAACCCTCGTGGCAAGGATCGCGGGACGTTTATTGCGTGGGACTGTCCGCGAAGGGAGGAGGTTTTGGGCCAGGCCAAATCGAAGGGGGTGAACATGGGTGGCAGCGGCGATGCTGCAATCCGATTACGGCCGATGTTGGTGTTTGAGAGGCATCATGGTAGATTAATACCCGAGGAATCGATAATCTAGGGTACGAATGGAGACTGACCAGTAGCAATCGATAGCCGACATTTTCCTCGACGTCTTGGAAGGGGTATTCAAGTGGCTGTCGTAGGCCCAGCTATTGCCAGGGACACGTCTCGAACATGAATAAAATAATTGATCTATAAGCAAGACTCTCAAAGACCGTTCTCGAAGATAGAATCATACATTAGCACGCCCTTCGGTGGGTCGTCTGTAGTCAAGATAGCATCGCTAATTGGCAATTGGCGTCAATGTTTAAAAAAGCTGGAGTGACGCGATGGAGTAGCGCATTGTGTAATTCGTGGGGCAGCTTCACTGCTCTCGTCCACTGGAAGAGATTGGTAATCTGCTCCGAGCTTCAACCCCTGTTTGGAAGGCCAGCGCGAGCAGGTTGCGTGTGGTTTATATACTTCCATGTGATGCCTCCTCAGATCCTCAGGTTATCAATCGCCAATCTCAGCTCTCCACTCGCCTTTAACACTAAATTAGAAAGATTACAGCGCACAGGATAGCAAAACTCAGACACAATGGTCAACATCTTCCTGTAAGTCAACTGAAGCTCAGTGAAATAAGCCCGTGTAAGTGCTCCGTTCTGACAGAAAGCCTCCAGGACCGGAGCGACGGGCTACATCGGAGGCAGTGTCCTGTCTTTGCTCGCCAAGTCGCACCCCGAGTATGCGGTGAGAGCGCTAGTCCGCGACAGCGCCAAGGGAAAGATTATCACCGGCGCCTTCAGCAAGGTCGAGATCGTAGAGGGTGATCTTGACGATGTTGAGACCATCACTCGGGAAGCTTCCAATGCCGATGTCGTTGTCCGTATGTTTTGGTTCTGCAACATAGCGGCCTCGTGAGCTGAAGTCACTAACACAAATGCCAGATCTGGCTGCGTCTGGACATTTGAAGAGTGTTGAGACCATTCACAAGGCTTTGTCGTCCAAGTCGGCAGAGCAGAAGTCATGTAAGTCTGCGCTGCCTTTTTTCAGCCAATTTATACCCGGGAGCCACGATCCATGATGCTAACATCTAAACGCAGCGCACTGGATCCAGATCTCTGGCGCCAGCGCCCTTGCCGCAGCAGAACTCGCCGACAAGTCTCGCAGTCCAGGCTCGGCGAGCGACCTGGTCTTCAACGACCTGACCGGTATCGACGAACTGCGATCGTTCATCCAAAAATACCCGAGCCGTGCCGTCGACAACTACCTCCTCAAAGTCGCCGCCGATGAGCCCAGGGTCAACACGGCACTAGTGTTCCCACCCATCATCTACGGCCGGGGACTCGGCCCTGTCAACCAGCGCAGCGTGCAGATCCCGTCGCTGGCGAAAGCCACGCTGGATCGCGGTCATGGGGTACGAGTCGGCAAGGGCCTGAGCCGATGGGGAAATGTGCATGTTGAGGACGTTGCACAGTTGATTGCCCAGCTTGTCGAGCGAGCTGCGGAGGCGAAGGGTGAGGCGGAGGTTTGGAACGAGAACGGACTGTATCTCACTGGTGTTGGTGAAATTGTGAGTGAAGATGAATCCGGGCCCTCAACTCCTTGCTTTGCACCAGCTAACAAAAATGATTCACAGTCCTTTGGCGAAATCTCGAAATTGGTTGCCTCCGCTGCTGCTAAGAAGGGTCTCATTTCAAAAGACGAGGTGGAGGAAGTTGGACCCGAAGAAGCGAACAAGGTGCTGCCACACGGAACGGTGCTCTTTGGAACAAATGCTCGCAGCGAGGCACTTAGGGCTAAGAAGGTACTGGGTTGGGCGCCGACAGGCGAGAGTTTGGAGGAAGAGATCCCCAAAGCTGTGTCTTGGGAAGCTCCCGAGGTTCAGCACAGTGAGCTTAAGCGATGAACAGTCGATGCGTGGTCATAGACGGCGGTACATAAACCAAGAATAAAATGAAACTCACATATCATACAGTCTCAAAGCCGGGTCATCAAGTCAAAAATGGATAGGGTTCTTCATATGCCACCGTTTCAGAGAGAAGTGTTCACAGGCAGGCTTCGGCCCTTTCTGTCAAGCCGGACTTCGCTCACTATCTCAATGCTCCAATGAGGAATACCTAGTTGAAACCTTCGGGGATCGATTCAGCTTCAAATGAGGGACGAGTGCCTAGATTAATAGGGAGCATGCTCTGTGAATTGCAAGGTGGTGGTGGAGACTCAGCCCCTCATCTCCCCTCCCGAGACTCACTGCCCCTCGTTTTGATGCGCAGATTCCATGAGGAAGGTCTCCCCGATCATTCGGAGCTTCACTGCTCTGCCATGGTCAACCACAAGTGAGATCTAGAAGAGTCAAACATGCCGAATCGGTACGAAGATCTCAGTCGCTTCGCGGTCCTAACAAGATGAGAGTCTTGACGGCTTACTCCGGGAGGCCACCCGATGAATGTCTTTTGGAAACGCTGTCTCAATTCAGCTATCCCCCATTGCGGGGGAGGGGTAAGTTAGACCCCGCCTGGCAGGCTACGCCGATACTGAACAGATACAGCGTCAGGCAGATTGAAGCTGTTCGCGTGTCAAGGCCGAATCCGCGGGCGTTTATCAGATGATGGTTCGGAGTGATAACCTATCTCATGAAGCCTTACTACTTACTCAATTGATTCTGCAAACGCCTTCTTGGATACCAAGACTCATCCAGATTCGAGAACCTGATTCATAGAAGCTGGCCCTCATCACCATTCCAAGTCTGCTGATTGAACTTCTGAGAGAAATCAATCTAGTCTCAGTTCACGTTTTGACAACAAGATGGGAGACCTTTCAATTGTATTGACTGCGCCTAACGGCCAGAAGTGGACTCAGCCAACCGGCCTGTTCATCAACAACGAATTCGTTCCCTCATCCTCCGGGCAGACCATTCCTGCCATCGATCCAGCGTGAGCAGTAGACTCAGATAGTTCAACATGCTTCAAGTAAGATGATTTGCTAATGTCCCGCGGGTTTTCAGGACCGAAGAAGAAATCGCGAGAGTTCATGCAGCGACCGAAGACGATGTCGATAAGGCCGTTAAGGCCGCCGCTGCGGCGCTGAAGGCGCCCTCCTGGAAGGCGCTGTCGGCTTCAGACAGAGGCATACTCATGGCCCGTCTTGCGGACCTAATGGAGTCGAATAAGGAATTGCTCGCAACCATCGACGCTTGGGATAACGGTAAGAAATCCTCAAAATTCTACTCAACCTCAAGACAACCCCTGCTCGAGTCCAACTCTGACGACGTAATTACGCAGGCAAGACATACCAAGAGGCATTGACAAACGACATGGTCGAAGCCGTCGGAGTTATCCGCTACTACAGCGGTTGGTGCGACAAGATCTTTGGCCAGACGATCAGCCTGCCAAACAAGTTCGCCTACACCGTCCGCCAGCCCGTTGGGGTTGTAGGTCAAATCATTCCGTGGAACTATCCCATATCAATGGCAACGTAAGACGCTCTCTGTGACGATAGACTGAGTTGCATTTTGCTGACCCGTCAACCGCAAAACAGATGGAAGCTCGGTCCCGCGCTAGCCTGCGGAAATACCGTTGTTCTGAAGGCCGCTGAACAGACTCCCCTTAGCATTCTGGTCTTCGGTCGCCTCATCAAGGAAGCCGGCTTCCCGCCAGGCGTCGTGAACTTCATCAATGGTCTGGGTAAAGATGCTGGTGCAGCCCTCGTCTCCCATCCCTTGGTTGATAAAGTCGCGTTTACGGGATCAACGGCGACCGCGACCAACATCATGAAGATGGCATCTGCAACACTGAAGAACATCACCCTCGAGACGGGCGGGAAATCGCCGCTGTTGGTCTTCAACGACGCGGATCTCGAGCAGGCTGTTCGGTGGTCACACATGGGCATCATGTCCAACCAAGGGCAAATTTGCACAGCCACGTCACGAATTCTCGTGCAGCAGGATATATACGACAACTTTGTCGCGAGATTCATCGACGAGGTCCACAAGACAAGTAAAGTCGGCAACCAGTGGGATGCCGAAACCTACCAGGGCCCGCAAGTTTCGAAGCAGCAATACGATCGCATCATGTCCTACTTCCAGATCGGCCGTGATGAAGGAGCTACAATCAAGACTGGCGGCGAAAGGCCGACGCATCTGGGCGATAAGGGTTACTATGTTGAGCCGACCGTCTTCACCGACGTCAAGAGCGACATGAAGATATGGCGCGAGGAAATCTTCGGCCCCGTCGTCGTGATCCAAAAGTTTGGCGACGAGGCCGAGGCGGTGTCGATTGCCAATGACAGTGTCTATGGCCTCGGCGCAGCAGTCTTCACGACAAACTTGGAAAAGGCCCATCGCGTGGCTGCTGAGATCGAGGCGGGTATGGTTTGGGTAAATAGCACACAGGACTGTGATCCAAGGGTCCCCTTTGGCGGCGTGAAGCAGAGCGGCATCGGACGGGAGCTTGGTGAGGCGGGGCTTGACGCGTACAGCCAGATTAAGGCGGTTCATGTGAACATGGGCAACAAGCTCTAGATATTAGAAGCATCATCGCATTCAAATGCTTCGGCAGACACCACAACTATTCCTGTGGGATTTCTAAGGAAGATGACGCGATTCAGAAGGGGTCTTTTCCCAGTTACTTTACTAATAATCCCCGCATAATCTCTCCCTCAAAAGTGATCCCTTACGTAAACAATCTTACCGATCTCCGAGCGCGGTCATCGGTCTTCCGCCTACGTAGCTAGAGATAAATGAGCAATGCCTGAATCGCGGGGTCCCAGCGCTGCCCCTCGTTGTTCTGGCGTTTTGATAAACGGTTTTCAACACTGAACAAGCATGTTCACTAGAAGTCGCAACCTTGCCACATCAGTGATCTATAGAAGGCCCTCTACAGCATTCATAACTCCTTCGACTTGCGTCAGAAGGTTCAGCCAAGGCTTTCCAATGGCTCAAGATGGCGAGCGCGCCGCTGATGGTGAGTCGTGAGCATCAGTGAGCCAGTGTCTCACAGAATCGAATGCGTCTTTAGCTACTCTGTTCTGACTCAATCCAGGCAAACCCGTCAACTTTGGCCTCGTACTCTTCCCAGCCTTTCAGTCCCTTGACGTCTTCGGGCCCCTGGACGCCCTCAACATGCTATCAGGCTCATACAAAATGAACCTCTACATCATTGCAGATACCCTAGACCCGGTGCCCACAAGGGTCAAGGACGCCAGCCACATTTCAAACTTCTGCGAGAGCGTCGTCCCAACACACACATTTCAGACCGCCCCGCCCCTTGACGTCCTCATCGTCCCCGGCGGGCAGGGGACTCGGAACCCGGGCATCAGCACCGCAATCGACTTTGTCAAGGAGCGCTTCGACTCGCTGCAGTACTTACTGACCGTCTGTACCGGCGCCGGAGTCGCGGCACGGGCGGGCGTGCTAGATGGGCGGAGGGCGACGACGAATAAGCTCTCGTGGGACCAGACGATTGCGCTGCGGCCGCAGGTTAACTGGATTCACAAGGCAAGGTGGGTGCAGGATGGGAATGTGTGGACGTCTTCAGGCATTAGTGCAGGCATCGATCTGGCATTTGCGTGGATCGGAGCCGTGTATGGGAAGGATGTTGCAAAGAACATCGCCAACAGAATGGAGTATACGCCTATTGAGGACCCAAGCTGGGATCCGTTTGCTGACTTGTGGGGGTCATCAAAGTAAGGTGTATAGATATGCGTGGTGTTCATAGTTGGGTATTGTGCAGGCCATTTTCAATGGCTCTGATCTCTAGATGTCCTTCATTGTTTTCTCCGCGTTATTGGCGCTGTGTCCATTATCGTCCTGGAGGCCAGTCAAGACCTGGATGGTTTCGAATTAAACCGAGGCGATCTAAGACGACACTGGATCCCAGATATCCCAGACTTTCCGGCCGCCAAACCAAGTCTCCTCCACTTGGGCTTGCAACAAGCTCTTCTCATCCCACTCCATATCAACCACAATGAAGTCAGCGCACTTCCCAGCCGCAAGGCTCCCCGTACGTTTCTCATCAAACACACTGCTAGCAGCGCACCAAGTAGCGGCTGTAATAGACTCACATAGTCCAAGACGGAAGTGCTCGTTGAAAGTCCCAGTGAATTTTGGATCTCTTGCAGACCGTCTCGAAGCCGCAACGTATAAATTCTCCATCGGTGCCCACGGCGAGGTCGGACTATCACTGCCGATAGCCATCAAAGCCCCCGAGTCGGCGAATTCGCGGTAGGCAAATGCTCGATGACAACGATCTTCTCCGATCAGGCGAGGCCATTCAGTGAGGACAGCCGGGTCCGAATGGACTGGTTGGATAGAGGCTGTGAGACCCAACCGGCCTAGGCGAACTGCATCTTCTGGTGACACAAGTTCTAGATGTTCGATGCGGTGGCGGCGGCCGGGGGTGGTGTGCTTCTCGATGGCGTCGATCGCCATTCTAACTGCCGCATCTCCGATGGCGTGCAGTGCGACTTGGAGACCACCATCATTTGCTTCCTTAACAACGGGGTCCAGATACTCCGGCTCCCAGATTGGTGGGGGCTTGCCTGCCGGTGCGTAAGGTTCCGAGAGAAACGCCGTGCAAGCATCGATAATGCCGTCGCATATCACTTTGATACCGACAATACGAAAGTTCGGGCTAGTGGTGGAGTTGTAAACTTGGCTCAGCTCAATGGCGCGACGAACTTGACGGGAGTTGGCATGATGATCCGTTGTTGGCTTGATCAGCCAGTACGCGGCTACATGGATCGGGAAATCTGGCTGGGTATCCCGAATGGTGATGATCGCGTCCCAGGCTTCCTCATCCATTGCCATCTCCACCACGCCGGTATATCCTGCCGCATTATACTCCTTCACCGCAGCGATGATAGCCTTGATACGCTCTTCTTTGGGGGATGAGGAAGCTTGGTACGGCCAGATGATGGACATCATTGCGCCTTCATCGAGAACACCAGATGGCTTCCCATGCTCATCGCGATGGATGCGTCCGCCAGCCGGATCCGGCACGTCGGCGACTCCAAGCTCTTTCAGAGCTGCATGATTACACCAGGATGAATGCAACGAGCTTGCATCGACAAAGATTGGGCGGGGATCAATATCATCGAGTAAAGCGGCCGAGACCCCATTCGGAGTCATCGAGTGCCTCCATCCTTTGCAGAGAATTGTTGGTAGATTCGGGTTTGCCTTGGCGTATGACCTAATGCTGGATCGGATGTCGTCTAACGTTTTGCAATTTGATAAGTCGAGTTTCCGAAGAGATTGTCCTAGTAGGAGGAGGTGCATATGGCCGTCGATGAAGCCGGGAAGGACTGTACGATGTTGCAGGTCATGGACCTTGAACCCCGTTAAGTCTGATGGTTCTATTTCCTTCCGAGTTCCGATAGCTGCAATCTTCTTATCTATTACCAAGAGACTATCGACGAAAGTTGCTTCGGCATTGAGTCCTGTCCCGGCGTTGAGGAGGACTCTGCCATTGTGAAAGAATGACCCTGCAAACATTACAATCACACAGAAATTCTTAATCCCAAGTGAATTTTGAGGTAGATTATAGTTGCTAGTTTCACTTAACAAAAATCGTCGCTGTGAGTTGTCTTAGTGAGACGCTCAAAGGTGCTGATGATAACGTACAGAGAGGAAGCTTGAGGCTTCAATCGTTTACTTCTTGTCCGCAAATCTGCATGTAAGTTGTTTTGATGCAGGTAAAAACTAATTCCAAGTCTTGTCACGTTTTCGGAGCCCTTTCTTATTCTTATAGTCTCAGCTAAGCCTCAGGTGCTCAATACTACTTATCTTGAGTCGCTAGTGATTCCGAGAAAAGATCTTGTCAACAGAAATCAAAGTGGGTTTTCGTCATTTAGCGCTCGTCACGACTTTACTTCCCAGTTCACTCAGCTCTCATACCCCATTTTAGCTCCCGAATAGTCAAAAAGCGGGGCAAGACCTCTCCTCGACTTTCCTTCCCAGTCAAACTAGATAGCATCGTTCATAGCGCGGTTAGAGGAAGACCGCGCTCCGTTGGCTTCCGCAATCAGCTTCTTTGCCCTGATTCACCCAACTCATCATGGCTCTCACTTATCGAGTCGTCGATTGTCGTCGATTGTCCTAAAGAACATTTGAGAATAACTATGCCTTGCTACTTGATAGATCGATCTTCCTCCTACTTTCGTCGGGCTGTCTGAGCCTGCATTTTGAGCAAGAAGAAACAGACGCTTAAGGCCCAATGAGAAGGCGCGATTGAGTCAGAATTGAAACGCATGGAACAATTCAAGGGGAACAACATAGAGGTAAGAAAATTTTGAATGACAAAGGTATCGGTCAAGTCATTCCTAGAAAGATTTACGTCCAGCCCCAACTTATATGCAATCTCTATGTGACTTCGGTCGATCCCCCGGCCACGTGAACGCGACCTGAGTAAGGAAGAGGAGGTCATAGGTGCGGGGTCGTGACCAACCGATATTCAAGCAACCGTCATTACCGGCGTCTTCAAGCACACTCTAAGTATCAAAGACGAATTGATTACGAATGTAAAAGTAAAAATCACTCTTTACACCGTTGATTCTCCCAACTTTCGAAATATGTATCAGTCACAGATCACATTTACTTTGGATACGGTTTGTCCCTGGTGAGCGTCTGATCCCATCACAGTCTGATTTTTTACCATGAGCGAAAGTTGACTTCGGGGAAAGGACCTACATTGCTAAGAAGAGGTATTAAATCACAGACATGGATGCGATTTAGTGATCTGACAGTAGGCAGATTGGCGGAGGCTCTCGACCAAGTCGCAGCTAGCCCCAATGGCAAAGATGTTTCCTTCACCTTGGTCTTCCGTCCGTACCAGCTGTATCCGGACTTCCCTTCAGAGCCGCAGGACAAGCGGCACTGGTACACAACAGCAAAGCATGATGCCTCTGATCAAAAGCAAGAAGTTTTCGAAGCAACAATGGGGGCCCTCGGATCTGCAGCTGGCATAAACTTTTCCTTTGGGGGCACGATGTCCAACACGCTTCCATCGCATCGAATCATCCAGCACTTTCAGGAAGCCAAGAATGCAGAGACTGCAAATCGACTAGTTGACGCGTTGTATAGTCGCTACTTCGAACGCGAGCAAGATCAAAACTCCAAGGACGTGCTGATTGAGGCGTGCGTCGAGGCCGGTATTCCGGAGACGGAGGCGAAGGCGGTTGTGGACGATGAAAGTGAAGGGAAGATGGAAACGAGAAACATGGTTCGGATGGCCGCCATGGATGGCGTTGATTCGGTACCGTATATCATGTTTGAGGGCCGTCGGAGAGATCTCACTCTCATCGGGGCCAAGGAGGTTGATGAGTGTGTCAAGACTTTGCAGACCATCATCAAAGAGAGCACGTAACGAAGTATACTTAGTATTTTTGTTTCATTCAAAGTGTGTAGGTAGAGCACCCAGATAAGATAATTTTGGTCATCGGCTCCAGTTTGGTCGAGATGTTGTCCTAGTATCGCTCCAAGATCCACTGTCGGCGGTCATCACTACTAATAGCCTCCAGGTTCTTCATTTCCTCCTCCTTAATTGTGATGTATCTCTCTATCAAGTCCTCACCAAGCAGCTCGTTCATGACATCGTCCGCGCGGAGAGCTTTGAGCGCCTCTGGCAGACCTGAGGGAAGCATCTGCTCGACGCCCAGCTCTTTCCGGTCATTCGGCGTCAAAGACGCAGGGTCAACCTCGCAATCGCCCCAGGTCATCTTCTCGCCTTCGATGACACCGTGTGTGCCTGCGCCCAGGAGTGCAGCGAGTGCAAGGTACGGATTTGCGATGCCGTCCATACACTTAACCTCCCAATGGCTGTTCTCAATCTTGCGCAGCGGCGTCTCTCTGTTCTGGGTGCCCCACGTAACCCAACGACCCCCGGCCCAGCAACCATCTTGGACTCTCTCGTAGCTGACAGGGTTGCTGTATGTGAAGGCCGTGATTGCGCGAAGGTGCCTCAAGATCCCGGCATAAAATGGTTTGTACGTCTCTGGCTTTGAGCCTGCAGCGGAGTTAATTGACATGTGCACATGGGCTGCGGTGCCGCAAGCTGTCGGATATGGTTTGGGGTGAAGAGTCATCCTGTAGCCTTCTGCGGCGGCGATGCTTGAGATGACTTCACGGACGTAAAGCAATGTGTCGACTGCTTCGAGGGGAGGTGCCTGGGGAAGGATGACTTCGAACTGGCCGGCCGCACTCTCAGGGTGCACTTGTTCGATGTAGATGCCGTCTGCGTCTAGCTCGGCCACAGCCTTCTCAATGACTTTGGCGAAGACAGGGTGATCCATCATGCGGGAGGTAGACCATGCGTGCCCGTCATTGCTAAGAGTTTTGTACTTTTCGAAAGAGTTATCTACGCGCTCGAGGAGAACCAGCTCAATCTCAAATCCGAGACTGAAGGTCAACCCATGTCGGGCAGCTATCTCGATCACCCTTTGCAGTAAGGATCGCGGGCAGAAGGTTACAGCAGAGCCGTCATACTCTCTGAAATCGCCAAAGACGCTGATATGACCTTCTCTGGGACCCTCCTGAAGTGAGGTGAAGTCGGGATGTAGGCGGTACTCTCCGGTGCCAGATGCCCCTGGGACCACGTGGTCGTTCTGCAACAGTCCGAGACTTGCTTTTGTGATACTAATGGAGAAGTCACCGTCTTCGTTCATTACAGAGAGAACTTTGCGCATTGGTATTGCGCGAACTCGTGGTGTTGCTGTCAGGTCATTCCAGTAGATGCGCAGGTATTGAGGTGGCTTTTTTCCATCCAGGAAAGCTTCGAGGATGTCAAGATCGCTTCTTCCTGACAGTCTTCTCGGGTTCGCAATTGTTTCATCGAAGCTGAACTCTAGTCCGAGATGGTACACACGGTTGGAGTTGTTGAAGAGGATGTCTTTGACGAGTTGAGTTGCTTCCCGCCAGGTCATGTGTCCCTTGCGGGAATATTCAGACAAGACCTGGATCATGTCAGCCTGGACGGAAAGAAGAAGCGGCGTATGATATTATTGACCTTTTCCAAGACCTCCCGCACTTGAAGGACGGCGAGAAGGTAAGTTTCTGGAAACCAATGCCCATCAGTGCTCCACAATATCTTAGACCAGGGACACAACTCTAGGACCTGCCGCACGGCAGTTTCCTGGCCATCTCTGCTCAGGAACGGAAATATCTCGCCAATATCAGTGTAGACATTGGCATACACAGACGCCAAGTATCCAGCCTCTCTCATGAAGGGATAGCTAGCATGCAGGAGTACGATGGGAACTGTGGGATACTGGCGAATGAAGTCTTGTAGATGTGATGGGGAAGCGGAAGTGAGAGTGATGTCGTTGTCGCCGAGGCCAGTGTGAAATTGAATTGGCTTCTTGCCAGAGCCTGAAGCATTCCTGATGAGACAAGCCAATCTGTGCACCAGGTACTCATTAAGCCCACGGTGATTGACGCGTGTGAATGCCTTGTCAGTGCCTTTAGTATGTGTCTCATGGATCTCCTCAAATACCTTGCGAGCCGCAGCAGCGTCAGGTCTCCTGGGAATACCCAAGCCAGTGCGGTAGCAAATCACGGACTTGAAGCCAACGACTTCCGGATCGGCTATGGCCTCCACAATACTGTGATCGAACGCTTTCAATGCCTTTTCAAACACAGACCCGGCGTCTTTGGCTGTTCTTGGAGCATGCTCATCCGTGGGGAGATGGTTATTGATAATGTCTGCCGCAATCTTCTCGATGCGCACAATCCTCTTAGCGGGGCTGCGTGTAAGGTCGCTGAAGTACGTGTAAGGATAGACCGCATTCTCGCCATCTAAACCATCATCGACCAGAACTGTTTCAATTCCATTGAGGCATTCCGAGACCCAGGCATCATAATCCTCGATGCGTTTCGCCTCAATAGCATTCACGACGGCTTCCCAGCTCGGCTCGCATCGAAGGATCTTGGAGAGCTGTTTGACGGCGCGCAAATGGGCCAAACTGGTCAGTGAGGCGTGGATTGCATCGCCGTGAGCTTCAGTGGTGATTGATAGAAGAGGGTAGCGGCCAATTGCATCGAGATCTAGAAGAGGATGCGCATGGTTGTCGATGATGGGCGTCGTCTGAATGGTGTGGGTGAGGAGTGCCTGACCAGTAAGCTTCGCGGGATCCATCTTCGCGGAGAAAGACCACCAGAGAGGTCTGGATTATAGCTTAGGTTGGAAAGGAATTATGACAGCCTTTCAACCGCAAGTTGATGGATTTAGTCCCCAAACGAGATGGCTTTCGGCCTGGTAATTTGGTTGCGTAGATGTGAAGATGCAGCTGGCGGAAAAGGGAGGGAGGGGTAGGTGATCAGGCTGTGAAATGACGTGAGATCTTATCGCTGCCGCTGCCGTGCTATGCCGATAGGAGAGTCCATGTCTCACAGCTTCGGGAATCCTCGCCTCCCTTTGGATAGATCGCGAGGGGAAACAACCCAGCCCCATCTCGCCCATTCGTAGATGTAAACTGGCCGACGTCACGGGCTGGAACGTGTAGTGGTGTTCGTCGGTTCAATAAGCTTTATACCCCGCAATCAACGGATGCTAGGTGTCAGCTAGGGTCGATAATAAGACGAATCCGCCAGAAGTCCATGTTAAGAAAGCTGCGAAGATGATGTTCAAGGTCATGTTAGAAAGACTGCCGTAGCCATTTGTGTTAACGATGCCATTTCGCACTCATTGTGAGCATCGCTGATGTCGATGGATTTTCGACAGCCTTGAAGTTTCTTATTATATGATTGATTCAAGGTCGTGTAGGTACCTAAAGCACTTGAACGTACTGCACAGGCCCGCCGGAGTCCCGAGCCGTTCGGCGGGGTTCTACTGTCGAGTAAACTTCGGGCCGGCTCCGGCAACCGGCATGAACTCTCCCTCATTATTAACAATAACGGAGATTTGAAATGTCACTTTTCTCAACCGTCGCCGAGGAGCGCGCAAGATACCTAGATGTTTGTGTTCCCCAACGCACGGAACCTCGGCGCCTACTTACATGCAGGCTTTCGGAACTAGCAGAGTCCAACGAAATGGTATTTCAGGCAGGCTGGACGAAATCTCGCATAAGTCGGCGTGCCACAAAGCCGCGGGACATATCGCCTGCAGGACACTCTAGGACATTCATATCAGGCTGACCAACCCGAGACTGAAGTCTACTGTCCCCAGGAATCGAGTGAGACCACCTGCTTGCACCCGACCCGATCCACCAGCAGCCTGCTTCAAGGATGACCAAAATTCTCAGATATCGCGCCTCGAAAGACTCGAGATCAGCACTCTCGTGCCGAAACCCCTGCACCGAGCCTTGCTGCTGATACTCCAGACGCTGCGCCAGTTGCCACTAGGAACAGCCACTCTATTCAGCTTCTGCATGGCGACCATGTCTTATCACAACCGGACGCCTGTCTTGCTGGCCACTTTCTTGCAAGTTTGCAGATAGCTTGGCCGTACGCGTCCGGCCGTAGTAAAACCCGGCATAAGACCATTATGTTACTCGCCGCCCCCGCACTGCAATCCCCGACTCGATTGGGTTCTGACTTCAACTCAAAAAATGTCTGCTAGCAGTATCTTTGAAGCTACCGAATACTTCGCTTGGCCTATATCTTGTACAATCCTCCTCCTATTATTTGTGCACTACTTCGCTTCGCCGGTGAGTCGACCTTTTAGCTTACGCCCGATGTGAAGAGCACATGCATTGAATTGAGGCTGACCCGTACAATTAGAAACCCCAATACGGATTGCCTCGATCAGAAAGTCGCACAAGAAGGCGTTCAAGTAAAATGGCGCATCCAGAAGACACTGTAGAAAGCTCCGTAATTATGTCAGATGGAAGTGAGTGCCCTGTTGGATGGACTCAGGACTGTGTCCCGGAAATCAAGCTTTGCCCAGGGTCACCGTAAAAAGTTGACATCTGATACAAACGTACTTGTTGACAAGGATTTGTTCAATGCTGATTACTACGTCGAGCAGAAGGATCTCTGCGTACGGACCCCTCTACGAGCACTGATGGTCATGTCTCATCAGAGACGAACCAAACGCACTCACCCGAAGCAGCTTCTTCTCCTCTCAGCTCCTCTCTTAGCGATGATTCACTTGAGGACAGAATCAACCGGGACCTTTGTAAGACCGAGGACGACAAAGAGTTTCTACCAGCCGACATTATCGATACCTTGACATCTAGGAGTATTGTCGAGGAAGAGCTCGAGGCGTATGTGGCAAGTGATCAACTATCATCCCTCGTAGCCTACGTCACGAACCCGAATCAACCTGCTAGGCGGCTATTTCTTACTCTGGTTGTTTGCGATGATCTGAAGCGACTTCAAGATCTAGCCGATGCTCCTCAAAAGTTTCATGACGACGACTTGCCCGTTAAGGTCGTGAAGAACCCTAATACGACTGGGTACTGTATGGAGAGCATCGGAGGCGGCAAAATGTGGCCTTTATTCGCAAGTCGCCGGAAGGCCACTCTTGACAGTTTCTTTCACAGTCAATGGCAATTTCTTGCGCCAGTCTTCACTGCCAATTCCTTTCGTCACAATCTTCACTCTAGTTGTCCTCTTCCTTTTATCATAAAGATCAACCACCAAAAGGCGGGGTTTTTCAGTTCCGTGTTTGAAGTGGTGATTCATGATGCACATCAGAAGGTCCTGCCGATGGTGAAGATCTTGCCCCGTCAAGATGTGCTTTAGTAGCTTACAATTGATACAGATTACAGGAAAGAAGATTCGTGTCGCTTCAAAGGAAATGAGAATTGGGATGGATTCTTACTATGAGAAAGAGGCGGATATTCTGGAGACCATACGCAATGTCGACAACCCTCATCTCATTAAGCCCTTGGCGGCATATCGAAGAGGTGATCTCAGGGGCTTTCTTTTCCCTTGGGGGGAGGGTGGCAACCTGAAAGAATTCTGGAGCTCCCAAGAAAAATTGCGACCTGTGCCCGTCAGGGACCCTCATCTTGTTCTTTGGGTTCTACGGCAACTGCAGGGAATCTGCGGATCCATCAGTGCCTTGCACGAAAGGAACTGCCGACACGGAGATCTGAAGCCCGAGAATATTCTTCATTTCCTTGAGACTGACGGCAAGGGTGTTCTCAGAGTCGCCGATGTAGGGCTCGCTAGATTCCATCTCGAGGCTACGAGAGATCGAAACCAGCCGACGAATACCATGACCGGCACTGTCCGTTATGAGCCTCCGGAGTTCGGGCTTACTGAGCAGATCTCCCGACTCTACGATGTGTGGTCACTGGGCTGCGTCTTTCTTGAGTTTCTCATCTGGGTGCTCTATGGGAACAGCAAACTGAAGGCCTTCAACAGGGCCAGTATCGAAGAGAAATTCTGGAGCAAAGATGATGAAGGCTACCATCAGCATCGCGAGGTCAAGGGGTGGATTTCTCGCATGTCGAAGGACCTTCTGCGAAGCGACATTACATCGAACACTGCGCTCAAAGACGTACTGGAGCTAATTGACTTGAACATGCTAGTACCTGAAGTCGATGGTCGGACAAACTCTACAGACCTGTACGAAAGGCTGAGGAGTATTTTTGAACAAGCTAAGGCACACGAAAAGTATTTGCTGGATTCTACTCTATGGGATCGCATCAGCACTAGCGCAGTCCCCGCTGAACACAGGCGCTCTAAGCTGGAAGTTCCTGGTCAACGACCTCTCCCAGGTCGCGCAACAACAAGTCAAAACCTACAGCCTGCGCTTCTAGGGATCGCACCAAACGTGCCCATACCAGACACTCCTATGATTGTTGAACCCGTTGCTGAACTAAGCGATGTCAACATGCAAGTTCCGATTCCGAATGCTCAAGAAGTAAGAAAACCCTGGCATGATACTACATAGCAGTCTCCATAAGAATTGATGCTAATGAGATACTTCGTGTACAGTATGTGAGTGTGAGATCTTTGTGATGGTTGATTTCACTTTGAAAAATGTGCGGTCTCTCGGTATATTCTGTACTAACTCGAGTCGTCCCAGAACGTAAGCTACTTCTAGTTGACATCGTAGTCCTTGATATTTGCCTTCAGGTATTGCTAATAAGTCAAATTGACTCATTTTTGACACTGTGATAGATGGTAAGTCTCTTCGACATACTTGAAGCGATTTGTAGCTAACAGTCCCTTATGTAGCGCGTAAGCCTTATCAGAAACTCCTGCTCTAGCCATTTTGCTCCCGCTAATTCTCATCAGCAACTTGACAACTTCCGAGATGTGTGGGAGTTGCAGAGTGATAGCCATTTCGCTAGTGAATTCTATCACAAATCCGCATCGCCCCTCCCGACCCCACAAGGTTCCACACTGTGCAGTAATTGCAAGGGGTACAATATCTGGACGCCGATGTTTCTTATTTGTGAACGACTTAGAGATCTCAAATCCAGATCTCAGGCTTGCGAGCTGTGCGCCATCCTAGTTCGAAGTGCTGAAATGCTTGGCATAGAAGATGGTGGTGAATTGAAGTGTCGAAGAGAAGGCTCGTCGTTGAAGATTGATCCTGATGGTCCCACCATTTTGAGTCTTTATGTCAGCCCAGGTAAGCATCGGGTGCAACTTCGTTCACATTGTTGGTCGACCATGCCTGCTTACTGGAAACAACAATAGCGACTGGCGGCTCTATACCGCCACATGCACAGATCGGCTTTCCTACCCTACCGGAAACAGGCTCCCCTGAGCAATATGTTCTGCTGAACGAATGGCTGCGCGTGTGTGACGAACAACACAGTCATGGCGTCGATGATCGTACCGAGCTACCCACTCGCGTCCTTGATGTTGGAACAGACCCGAATTCTACTATTCATCTCTGCGAAGGGAAGTTTCTTCCACTCGAACGATACACTGCCCTGAGCCACTGCTGGGGAGTGAATTCTCAAGCTCAAGTTCGCACCCTGAAGGAGAATATCGATGTCTTTCGCAAGCGGATTGACTTCGGCATTCTTCCAAAGAGTTTTCAAGACGCGGTCAAAATCACGAGAGCGTTGGGACTACGCTACCTATGGATTGATTCACTCTGCATTGTACAGAACGATAAGCAGGATTGGGCCTATGAGGCCACGCGCATGGAGCATGTCTTCAGCTCTGCTTATGTCACTATCGCAGCTACAGCAGCGTCTTCTTCGGCTGAAGGCTTCTTGCGACAGAAAGCAAAACATCCATTCGTAACATTGGAGGGACCCGACAGTGGCTTTACCTTTGTGCGCAAGTCGATTGACGACTTTCACCAAGATGTCGAACAAGCTGTGCTCAACCAGCGCGGATGGGTGTTACAAGAGAGGGCATTATCGCGCCGAACACTTCACTTCACAGCATCTCAGGTGTATTGGGAATGCGGAAAGGGCGTTCATTGTGAGACTTTAATGAAGCTTTCTAAGTAAGTCCCAGATCTTTGGCTCTTGGAGGTCTAATAGCTGACATTGGTGCAACAAGCCGACAAGCTGCACTTCTCGGGGACTCCGATTTCCCTAAATCAGCCTTAGAGTACTTCAAGGGAGGCCGAATTGTGACATTCCAAACCCTCTATCAGATGTATTCCCGGCTCGCATTCACAGTACCGAGCGATCGGTCCATTGGAATCAAGGGTCTAGAAGAGAGGCTGGTAAAGGACTTTGTTACCAAAGGAGGATTTGGAATTTTCGACGAATACCTTCAACGAAGTCTCCTTTGGCAGAAAGCTCTTGATGCGTCACTCGATAGAATCTCATACCCTCCAGGTAGGCGAGTCCCCTCCTGGTCCTGGATGGCATATCAAGGCCCGATAGCCTATCTAGAGGCTCCCTTCGAACATATCAACTGGACTAAAGATATTGTTACGCCTTTCAACACCGACAGCGGGAAGAAAACTCATTGGGAAGTCTCCGAGGGCAGTGAGATTCCTTTCCTTCGTGGCGTCGCGAGCCGTATCAGCTTGGATGCCATCGAACTCCTCAAAAGAGTAAGATTCGATGAGTCAAAGCTGCATACGATAGATCAGTTGAGATGCATTGTGATTGGGAAGGAGAAGACAGAGGGTTTGACCCGGGAGCCAGAACATTATGTTCTTGTCATTGCGAGGCTATCTGAAGAACAAGGTGGTCGATATGAGCGCGTTGGCGTAGGAAGATTACTGGCTGAGCACATCCTACTGCGAGAGCCGCAGCTCAACGTTGAGGTGCAGTAGGTTTTTGAGAATTTTTGATGTAAAATCTCCTGGTTTTCATGAATTTAATGTCAAAGTGGGATATTATCTGTTTTCTTCCAGATCACTTTTTAGGTGACCTTATTCCTATCAAGCAAGTATTTGACTTTTAGCTGGTCATCACTGTGTGTTGTGTATCGTTATTTGTGCATTGTGAAGAGGCGGCCTTGAAAATACGAATCGAGAGACTTGGCCTAGGCATCAAATGACTGATGTCGATGCCGACGGCCGCCATTACATTCTCGGTGTGAATTAGGTAAAATATTTCAGTCCTTTGAATTCCCTCCAATTCGATTTCTGCTGAATCCATGCTGGAATCATTTGTCCTTTCTGTTAGGCAGTCTAGCCCGTGTTCTCGATAGTTGCGAGTGTCCAGCTCGCGCAGTTTACGCTGCCCCATATCGCTTTCGCCCATCTCTTAGAATCAAATGCTCATAGATCTAACATTCATGAATCATGCATGTACTAATGATATGAAGAATCAGCATCCGCTTCCTTAGAGCTTTGCAGTCATGGACTTCATCCGCCGGCTTCACATACCAGAGTAATCCTACAGTCGGTATTTACTTGCTTTCAGCATCGAGCTTTCGGACGGAGCTTTCTGACTATCGACTCGCACCGTGTATATGTTATGCCGCATCTCTACAGTATAACTGCCGCTGGGTAGTCGTCTCTCTAGCGCCCGTAGCAATTGAGAAGAGCTCGTAAGATTCGAGTGAATTTGTAGTTCTACAGGTTCTTGCTGATCGTAGTGACCTGATTCAAAATCCTTGACAGATGCGTATTGCGGCATTGTATCACTGAGCAGTGTATCCAAGGCCGGTGCTGTTCTTTGCTGGCTTCTAGGTCGCAAGCTTCAGTGAGCGGTTGTTGTGTTTAAATCTAGACGCTCCAAACAACATTCAGAAACACAGATAGAGATACCGAGAACAGCCCAATCTCCCAGCCTTAGACATGCGTAAATACCGCCACGTCAGGCGGCTAGCGGTGTCATTGCGACTGAAATAGACACATCAAATTCGGAAAGTTGCCTGACGGAGGCGCTGGGGCTATGCTCGCGTGCGTGATCATTTGCTAACCTCAGCTGGCATAGCCTGACCTGATCAAGAAAGACCGGAGGTACGACCTCGGTGATTCCTGAATCATAGTCTCAACGATATATGAGTGGCTGCAAGCAGCAGTTGCCCAGGTAAGCCAAGTAAGATCGAGTGATGTGGTGTTGGTCCCATTTGCAGCCTATGGCGAACCACCTTGACGCTCAGCCCCAAGCCCCCCGCTGCGTAAGACTTCCCTTAGACGCCTCTTAGGCTATCCGGATACCTGCAGGGGGCTTAGCTTCTAACAGTCTCGGTGACATGAGAAAAGGTGGTGTAGCATCACATCTGCTAATTGGCTATTGCGGATGCAACTCGAGGTAGGCTACGAGAAGAGAGCACAACAGGGAGCCCAAGTATCACGGCAAATAGGGCAGTGCCTTTCCGCCCGCTTTGGTCGATCGAAATGTCTCAGTTACACCACCATATTGGTACGGGAATGGGCATGTGGTGTACGTATGGTAATTAAAATCCAGCGTCGCTGAAGGCGACTAGTGAAATGGAAGCTGCGGGGTCTGGCACCAACATCTGGTCTACCTAATATTACCTGCTTGTTTAAATCAACCATCAGCAATGATATTCGCACATGATTTGTTCAGCTGTCTGCTAGCTGCCATCTCAAGGTCATCAGCATAGGCCCTGCACTCATTTTACGAGACAGATTCCAATTTGGTCACGTTAGCTTGATTGTTCCACTTCCAATAGCTTGTCCGCCTTGAGATACCGTTGAGGATGGATCCCACAAAGCGAGCAGGCATCGATCGGGAGCTTTTGGGCATCGCCGAACCCATCGCCGAATCCCCGATTTCAAACGGACCAACGACCGGAATAACATCGTCGAATCAGATTCAGGCACCTCAGCTCGGACACTCCGTTTCGACTTCCAAAAACTCAGAAGTGGGGACAAAAGATGCTAGTCAAAGCGATTTGCTCTTCTCATGGCGTATCAGTGTCACCGACGAAGACTTTACTGAAACGCGTCACGAAGAAGTTGCAGGGAACTTGCCGCTCATCAACGAAGGAAATCGGAACCTAGGATCATTTGGAGGCTGTTCATCCGATGCTGGAGCCTCAAACTGCAGCTTCCTTAGTATCGTGCCTGTGCAGGATATGGGTCATTCAGATTACATTGAGTGGGAGTCATCAGAGATGGCGAATGATTGTATTGGGACTCAGGCATTACATTCTCATCATCCTGCACTACGGCCTCAGGACAATACCAACGATGACGCCGATGTTCAGACCATGAGCGACGCCATGTTTGCCGCCAGCATAACTTCAGCCTCGGAAGATAAAGGCTTTCTGCCTCTCGATGCACTCCGCCGCATCGTAACTCCGACGGCCGTACAACGGCTTTTGGGGCATGCATTCCCTCACTTCAAGCCCAAAGTCATCAACAGCTGGGTCTCCAGTATCAGCGGCAAGCCAGATGAGGTCAAGGCCCAGCCCCAGCGACGAAAGATATTTGCTATCTTGATTTTGATGGAGCAAGTGAAGCTGATCGAAGACTTCATTAAACACGACATCGATGACAGCTTTTTGCCGCTAGAAATAAAACGGAATTTGCGTCACAAACCTGTCATCCAACTTCAAAAGAAGGACGGTACGGTCTTGAGTTGCTTGAACCATTGGCGTACCAAGCACATCAACAATTTTGTTCAGTGCCAGGAGACAATTTGCACACCTTTTTTCAAACTTCCAGGCGATGACGTGCACTACTACGAAATTACATCAAAAACAATCCTACCATTCCAGGAATACGACCTAGTTCAAATTGGCGGCTATGGAAGCGTTAGAAAAGTCAGAATCCACCACGCTCATTACAGTCGCGACACTACATCCAAGGCAAGTCACAACCCTCCTCTTACGACTGCACTTGTTTTCTAATTCCTCCTCAGGAACGAGGGAAAGTCCTCCGGCATTTCGCAGTCAAGCAGCTTCATCTTGAAACTCATGAAGAGTATGCGAGAGAAGTGGAGCTTTTTGAAAGACTAGGAGTGGGATCAAGAGGTCCAGACCCTGACCATTTGATCCAGCTTCAGCTCACATATAAATATGGCCAATCTTACTATCTGGTCTTTCCTTGGGCGGATGGTAATTTGAGGGAATTTTGGAGCAAAACCATCGCCAACCCAGGGAGCAAAGCTGAGGTTGTCTGGTTTCTAAGCCAATGTTTAGGCCTTGTCCGCGCCCTTCGAAGAATTCATAATCTGAGGACTATGTCCAAAGAAGACAACTACGCCCCTGTTCCTAACGACCCAAATGTCTTGCTTGACAACAAACACTGGGGTCGGCATGGCGACATCAAGCCAGAAAACATTCTTTGGTTCAAGAAATACGAAGAGTCGCGTCGCAACTTTCTTGTAATATCTGATTTTGGGTTAACTCGATTCAACACTGCCGATTCCAGGTCCAAAGTCGCTTATGACGCAGTCAAGGGTTTCTCGGGATCTTATCGGCCTCCCGATGTGGATCTGAAAAGAACAATATCGCAGAGGTATGATATCTGGTCCCTGGGTTGCGTCTTCCTCGAATTCGTATCGTGGTTTCTTGTCGGCCACGACCGAACACAGAAAGATTTTACAGACTCTCGACTCCAAGAAGATGGCTCGCATACTGGATCGAGGATTCTTCTTGAAGATAAGTTCTTCAACTTCAATCCAAGTAAAGATGATGGACCCTCGACAGCTGATGTAAAGACATCCGTCACTGATGTAAGTAGTCCCAACGAAGCCGTCGCTCTCCTAGTGATGTATGCCTACCGCGGTCTCACTAAAAGTTGTTAGTGGATTGATGACCTGCATCAACAGAAGAGCTGTGCTGAGCCCGTGCATGAAATGCTGAACCTTATTCAGTACACAATGCTTGTGCCAGATGCTAAAGAGAGATGGGCTTGCTCGAGAATACAGCCTGTAATTAACGATTTGATCCGGAAGAGCAAACGTGACGCAGCTTATGCGACCAGTGGGACTCATGGCGTGTCCGATCCATTGAGATTTCCCTGTATATCTGTGGAATCTCCTGCTGTATGTGATCAGCCCGATAACATTTGCCAGATTGTGACTGACACCGGAGAGCAGGAGGGCAAAATACCGAGTTCATCTGGCACTCCTGACAAGTCCGACCGGAGGGATAGATCGTCATCTCTTTCACCAGCAGCTGCCGCCAGCAGTAGGGAGTATAAGCTATCCCCAACAAAGGACCGGGTGAAACGACCGCCAGTCAAGCCAGTGGGCTCTCCAGTGCAATCGTCTTACTTCTCGCATTCAGCCACCAAACCTATTTCCATGCTGGCCTCTGATAGAAAGAGTGTTTCGAGATCGGCGAGGTTGTTGTCCTTTAGTACAGAAGATTCCACACAATCGATCATGAGTGTGTCGGAGGCGGCATCAAGTTTTGCGAGTACACCAGACACATCCCCATTCTCTAGTCAATCGGCTGAAGATTGTTTTGATGCACTCGAACAAAACTTGGTCCTAAGGTAGAACATGGTCCTAAGGTAGAAGGATGCCTGTGAAGGCATGTCAAGTGAAGAAATACCAGCTCAACGGCGTAAAGAAGCCATTGCATTGACAGATACATAGTGGATGGAAAAGCCACCTGCAGAGGCAGCAACTCATTTAGTTTCAGACACCTGAAGACGAATATAGCTTGCGGAAGTATGATAAAGCCTATTGATTCTGATGTAGTTCACCATATTAACCGGGTGTTCAAGCTTTGTCATAGGCACTGGTCTTTTGCAAACGAAATTCTCTCCAAGAACATCTGACACGTTGTATTCAGAAGCCCACAGTGGTCGGCGAGTTACTATCGACTGATGGCAAATTGGTAGCCGGTGTGCCAGTATTCCAATTCAATATGCCTCCCTCGCCGAAAGCGAAGTCATTTTCAATCTGTGTAAACAGGAATTGATTCGCTTCTTCGGTGGACCATGACCATGGAGGTTCAGACGCTAGTAGTGTATCAAGTCCATCCTCCCCATTATGCTCAGCCGAGCCATGGTTGAGGCCACCCATCACCGTCGGATTGTTATTGACATCCTGCACACTGTCAAGTCCAGATACGAAAGAGATATCATCCTGCATCCGTAATCGCGCCGCCGTAGATCGATCCAGATACTGAAAAAATAACTGCAGCACCCACATCCTAACCTCCCACGTTTTTTGTAGCTCTTGCAGGCCCAAAAGACAAACTTTCGCTCTGTGCTCAACGATCGCCCTTCCGGCACCATTTGAAGAACGAAGATGAACCGTATGAATACAAAGTGTGTTGAAGAGGTTCGTTATGACGTGAATTTGCCCGTGACGCAGATCCCCCTCCAGCAGCATATCCTCGATGATGCGGGAGTTCCTTGCCGCAGCCTGGAGGGCGATCTGCCCGTCGACTTCTTGACTTTCTTCAGCACTGCCAATGCAACCTGATCTGTACAATAGGATGAGGAGGTTGTTGTATGCCAGGTGCAACATACTGGCATGAAAGCCCGCCGCATCATCAAATTCGTTGTTGGTGAGGGACATGACTGCAGGAAGTTGCTGTCTCCATCTCACGAGGTCGTCTCTCATTTGAGACCGATCATTCGGGGATAGTGACTTGCTGGGGAGATATCCGCTATGAACGATCTTCCCCAGTACTCTAGAGAGTTGAGCAATGCTGATGAAGTATGCGATATACTCTTGGGCTTTGTGAATCGGCAACGTCGAGTCAAACGCACGCTCGAAATCAAGTTGCTCTAACGGCTCAATATCACAATCTTCGTCTCGAATCCGGTTTGGTAGGCCCAATGCTGCAGCACACTGCCTTTCGCGGACATAGATGGCCCACCACAAGCGTCTAGAAAGTCTCTCGGTCCTCTTCTCGGTTACAGCGGATCTCGAGGATCGGTGGAGCGCCTTCGTCTGAGCAAGACTGATGGCTGCGCCAAGCCAGTGCCGGGCGTCCTTCTCTAGGAGCAATCCAGCTCTCCAAAAGCTCATAAGAAACAAAGCTTGGGTGACTGTGAACTTTTTTGGCTCAAACTCGACGTCGTAAATGTCCTTTGCGCGATTGTAGAACACCCACTTGGCAACATGACGGCCTCCGAGTCCAACGGCTGGTAGATCATCTTCCTTGCAGTGAATGACAGCTATGAAGAGGATCGCGTGTAGGATCAAAGGGGATAAGGTGCCATCCTTGAAGCTCGTCCAAACATCTACCTCATCCACAACAGGGAAGCATGGGTGGAACCATTGGAAGTACGCCTTAAGCAACGTTTCCACGGCTGGCACAGGTGGAAATGAAAAGGCGCCTTCTGCTTTTAGAGAACTGATCCTCGACTTTCTGCGCTCTACTTCCCAGTCCGGCAGCAAGTTGCCAGCTCTTACTGCGTGAGGAACGGCATGCAGAAACCTTAGGTTTTCTGGTGGTGATGTACCGGCTGTTGGCGGCGTTGGATTGCTGTTGGTGACATAACGTATTGAGGATGACTCGCCGAGGAACACCGAGCTGTCGTCCTCCTGTCCGTTGTTTGGTGCTATTAAAGGTGACTGAGGCTGCACTGTGATGCATGTCTGATCGCCCAAGCCTTCTACATCCCGATATCTTGCAAGGTCGGCAAGTGCTTGAGAAGCGGCAAAGTGCTCATCGTTTCCAGTCGCCACTGACTCATCAAGGACACTTGTATCGATAAAAGAAGGTGAGGAATCAGCCTGATCTAGCCCGCCTTGGTTGTCTGGCTTTGCGTTTCGCCGTGATGGGCGAGGATGCTTGCCCCGTCTCGACTCACGGAGCTCACAAGGCGTGTCGGCTGTTGTGCAATTGCGACAAGGTCTTTGCTCGGTTACATTACACTTGACGCGTCGCGCATTACAAGCCTGACATGCCTGGCGCGCTCTCCTGCGGAGGTTTGTCATAGCCGCCAGCCGAAGGGCAACGAGTCTTTCTGGGCGCGAATGTATTTAACCGCGAAGAGTCGCCAAGTATAAAGCAACGCTCGTTTCCTCTCATGCTTAGGTAGGTACCCCCAAGATGTCCCCAGTAGGATTTGGGCTCTCATGAGATGTTGTCCGAAGATGTTCGAAGTGTGCAGGTAGTCATGTAGCCGAGACTGATTTCTGGGTATAGCCGAGTGCGGGGATCTGAATGCGCCAATGACATCACTACGCCTGCACTTCGGTTATATGGAGTTACATAACCGATCCATTCCAGGCCCCATCCATGCTTGCTTGCTTGCTTTTGATGTTGACTTTCACCCTCCTCTTCTGTGCTTTAGGTACGTGTATCAATTGAAATATTGCTTCTCTAGCTTCACGAGAGACACGGTGGAGAGAGTCGCAGGGCAACATGGCCACGAAATTATCTCCCCAACTCAAGTGCTTGTCTCAGAAACTTCGCGCTCCTAAACTTGCCAGGGGATTCTCATTCACAGCCGGGCATCGAGGTGCATACGAGAGTACGATTGCCAATTTAAGGATTGATCAGAATACCAGAGTGATATATCAAGGTAAGAAAAGTGACAATGCGTCAATGCGTCGAATTATTCTCAGACTCTTTGGGTTTGCTAACCGACTATGATGTAGGATTTACTGGTAAAGCAGTGCGTACCATCCATTGACGAAGTCAATGTGACTTCTATGGAGCTGACATGGACTGATGATAGGCCACCAAAAATGCACGAGACACAATAGAATATGGCACGCAGATTGTTGGGGGCGTCTCCCCTGGGAAAGGTGGTCAGGATCATCTCGGCCTGCCAGTGTTTGACACAGTACAAGAAGTAGGAAATCCTCAACATCCTCTGAGGTATGCGATTCAGCTGACGAAATATAATATACAGGCCGTAAAAGATGTGAAGCCACACGCAAGCGCAGTCTTCGTTCCTGCCCAATTCGCAGCAGGGGCAATCATTGAAGCAATCGAGGCTGAGATTCCGCTCGTCGTTTCAGTTGCTGAACATGTGCCCCTTCATGATATGGCTAGGGTTCAAGAGATTCTCCGAACACAAAGTAGAACGCGACTTGTAGGACCCAATTGCCCCGGGATTATCGCACCCGACCAATGCCGCATTGGCATCATGCCCTACAAGCAGTACACAAAAGGCGTTGTTGGGATTGTTTCCAAAAGCGGAACGCTCAGTTACGAAGCTGTAGGAGCCACAACCAAAGCTGGACTTGGACAGAGTATCGTTGTTGGAATGGGCGGAGATATGATGCCAGGTAAGCCAGAAACCTCCACCTCACATACCCCTTGGATATGCTCTGATCTGCTGTGTAAGGTACCACACTTCTGGATGGGCTCAAATTATTCTTTGAACATGAAGAGACCAGGGGAATCATCGTCATTGGCGAGATTGGCGGCGAAGCTGAGCTTAGAGCAGCGGAGGCCATAAGAGATTACAAAAAATTGACGCCTAACCCAAAACCAATAATTGCAATGGTCGCCGGGAGAACGGCGCCGCAAGGAAAAACGATGGGTCATGCCGGTGCTATTCTTTCAGCGAGAGATGTGCCTGCCGATGTTAAAGCAAAAGCACTCGAGGAGGCGGGTGCAATTGTTGTGCCGCACCCAGGAGCCATGGGTAATGAGATGAGACGACTCCTGAATCTGTAGCTATAGCTCAAAACTCGAAAACCGATGAAAACAATTATTCGATAGACCTGAATTATCGTACAAGTCTTAGTACTCACCCCTGGTGTCTCGTGTGATCTATCACGTCATGTCTCAAATGTAAAGTTGATTGTAATTGGTAAGGTAGCCAATGATGATAAAAAATTCTCTTTGCGAGATAACTTCAACATTCAACTGGGTTTGATTGTTATAAGCGCACTTAGACAACGCCTGATTGTCTTTTGATCGCTCGCTTCAGGTAACTCAAAGGCAACTACGTAGGTATCAAAACACTTCTGTTCGAAGGCAACGCCGTTTTCCCCACGACTCAAAGAAAGAAAGCAAAACATTGTAGCGCAATCCCCGCCCCGAGTGGTATCAAGTGTAGTGTGACAAGCATCCTGCCCTTTCGAGACTGACTAATTGTGTCAAAATCAAGAGACTTGCCCCTGATGATGGCTGCCATCTCCGTGGTCTGGATCATCAGGCCCAGGTCGCATGCTCTCATGTTTGACCTTGCGATACTTCCACTTACTGATGGCGCGCCGTGGACTCATAGCCTTCTTGAACTTGGTCCAAGTCCCATCCTTCTTCGCCGATGCAGGCGGCAGCTCGTACTCGCAGTCCTCAAAGGGATTTTCTCCGTGATCGTGACCATGCTCACGATCCCAATCTCGCGCAGCCTGCTCATTTTGCTCTCTGAAGTCTTCTCCAAACGGGTTGCTCTCAGCATATGAGTAATCGTCGTCATCAAACGGGCTCGCCGTTCGACGGCGGAATGTGGGGCTACGCAGGGATGGTGTGGCGGATCTCGGCAGCCAAGAGAATCGCCGTTGAGCGTCCGCGACCGGCGGTGTGGGTTCTGGAATGATCGTGGTAGTCATCATGGTGTTGATTGTGTGTCTCCTCGTTGGTGCCGGCTAGACGGATATCGCAGTCAGTTTGGGGTACTCAGATGGTGCACTGGCGTTTGCCGAGTCATACAGGTGTTGAGATCTGAGCTTGAGAAAAGGCGGTGCTTTTCTCGTCAATGTCCATTGATGGGGGCCTCATCTTGTCGTCAGGGTCGCACTCGTAGCCGTTGAGCATTGTGCCAGTATTCAGAAGCAGGGAAAAGCGAAGACGGATTTGCTTCGCCCAACTTGCGCAGACGATGAATACTGCAGGCTTTCTTTTCTGTGCGCCTGGCACTCGTAAAATGCCTCTTGCTCACGTCGAAGAGGAAGCTGGGGGCGGGGTATCGGAGTCGCGAGCGGATATGGCCAGCCACGTTTATGTATGTACGGAAAACAATGTTTCAAGGGATGCCGAGTCATTGATCTCATGTTCTAGGCTTCATTTGGTTTTTCATTCGATCTTGTTGCATGGAACACCATAAATGATGGGTCTTTCTTTCTCTAAGGGAGGGGTAAAACCCAGTGTGTCTCCTCAGACATGAGACGTAACCCGTCGATGCGCTTTATGACCTCTGGGTCGCCGGCGGTGCTATCGTGTTACTCCCAATGCACTGTGTGATCGCCTGGAGGGCGGGATAGTTATGGAGACTAGTTCGTGGGGAAATCCATGTTGGCAAGACTTTGTTGGCACTGAGCAAATGGTGGAGGCGGGAGTAGTTCCTATTCCCAGCCGTGTCATCCGGGATGGTCCCATCCGCTCCGGAGGCGATCAGTAAGGTGTCTGTGGGGCCGCCCCCGACTTACATGGGCAACCCATCCAAAGATCCGGCGCTGCCAGCTGTCGATCACGGGCTGGTTCCGGTCGCAGACCGCACTCGCCTGGCGAGAACTGGGACTATCGTGGCATGAAATCCCTTCCTCTTTTCCTCTCCAACCTCCTCCTCTGGTTCGCATGATTAACTCTAAACAACAGCGCAAGCCGTTGACATTGCACAGCCACGTTTGGCTGGAACCCAAGCTCGGATACGTTCTGCATATCAACCATTGTCTGTTCCCTAAAGGAAGAACACCTTTTCGACAGGAAGATCATGCAGGAGAACGCAATCGACGGGAAATCAAGAATCTAGAAGCCACCTGATTCGCTCACCTACCGCCATGCATGGCAACTCTGACGCAGAGATGGGAATCTGCCAGTCTCCATCTACCCCGGCACTCCCGATCTAGTCTGTGCGCTGACAAACATCCACATCTATCCGTAGACGGATAGCGAAGATCACGGACCCTTTTCATCAGTGCAACTCTGTCTAGGAGCTAGTCAAGCTAGTGGATTTTACCAGTTCGCTTGATTCTCTTACCCGTGTCACCTCACAAGCCCACTGACCGAAACGCCAAAGCGACCAATATTCGACAGCCTCCCCCGGTCATTCCGGAAATTTTCGGCGATCATGAAGCAGCCTCACGAGTCACCTAGGACCACCTTTTAAAGGAAGGGAAAAAACCCTTCCAGACCCCCTGCTCGTTGCCCCCCTTCACACCCTCTTCCACAACAAGTTGCCTCCTTCACAACAAAGACAGATAGCATAGTTTGCAATAAAGACGCGTCCTGGTTCGACAATTTGCAACTTCCTTCCTTCCATGAGATAGGCTCTATTCTAAACTTTCAGACAACATGCCATTCAGGAAACACGAACGCATAACGGACAAGTCGTTCGAAGAGAACACAGCCTCAACGTATGCCGGCGGCAGTAGCCATGAGAGAACCTCTAATGAGAGGGTCTCGAATGAAAGCGACATCGAGGCCGGCGTTCAAGTCAAGCCTCCCGGATCTCACCAGAAGCAGCCAACGGATAGCATCAGTGGACATCAGATCTTTTACATCTTTGGTCTCGACGGTATTGGAGCCGCAGTTCTCTCTGGGGGCATAAATTTTGCTATCGCTTACGGTAAGGCCCCGCAACACTTTGCTGAGCTTAAGCTTTTGGCGAACCAAGCAGGAACATGAGAGTTTATTGACACAAACCATGCAGGCATGTACTCAACTCAGAACATCGCGCGCAATCCCATTCGCCTATTTCAGTTGCCCAACACACTAGCTGGAGATGCAGTAGTAACCATGATCATCCAAACGACAATGACGTGGTTCATCGAACTTTTTCTCGCCAACCGTGACATGAAGAATGGGAGCGTCCGCCCAATAGGCTTCATTGAAGAACCTTCGCAACCATTCATGCGGTGGTTCATGATGCTTAACCTAGAAGACACGAGACACACCAAAAGCAGACTCTCGGTGTTTGCTGAACACCTGATTCGAATCGGCTTGATTTTTGTTGTTTCATTCTTCCTGCTATGGCCAGCCTCGGTCGGAATTTTGACCGTTATCGGAACCCGGGGATCAGGGAATGATTGGGATTGGTATTTCCAATCTAAGTGGGCACCGGAAGCCTTCAAAGGGATCCTTGGCGGACTTCTCGCCCTTCTCACAACGCCGGCCATGGCTTCATTCTGGCTTGTCAAGGAGGGTTGGAGCTTGAAGAAGGGAGGGAATTTGTTGAGTTGACGGATGAGTTTTCCAGACGAATTTGGAACAGGGAATTAGCTTGGCGTTTGACGGAATGGAAAATTTCTTCTCACTTCAAACACCCCCAGTGACTCGCATCGCTGTTTGCTGACTCGCTATAACATGATGTGCCTTGTAAGAAGAAGCACCCGATGGGCAAGGAGGCGGATGAACCCACTTCCCGCACGCATTACCCGAGCGAGGCACCCACTATTAATATCTTACCTAGGCCTATACCCTACCCCTAATACTACTTCTTACGCCCAAAACTACTACTTCTTATTTATAATAACTTCGTAACTAAATATAAGCGCGCTACTTATAAAGCTTTAAAAAGGCCTTATAAGCTCTTAATATATAAAAAGCTTATTACTTAACCCCTTTTTAACCTTATTATAAATATATATAGTACTATTATTATACTTAATTATACTTTTTTTAACTTAACCCCGCACTTTATAAAAAAATAAAATACTTATTATTATTACTACTTTAGTACTTTAACGTACTAAAAGTACTTAATTAAAATATAATAAGGTATATTAACTTTTTATTATAACTTTAAATAATATTTATATTACTTATCTAAACGAGCTTAAGCTATATACCTGTATTATTATTTAAAATTTTATTTTTTATTTTACTACTAGCTTAGCCCGACCTAAGCCTAAAGTATAATAAACCCTTTATATTATTATAATAATTTAAAGCTAATTAACTAATATATTTTAATTTATAAAAAGCTTATAAAACTTATACCTAAAGCCCTCGGCCCCGGACCTCTATTTCTTAGCTAAGATCGGAGCTAAGTAGCTTTTTAAAACTTAATAATATAATACTTTTTTTTTATACCGAGCTATTTTTTAAGACCTAAATTTTTTATTTTTTATTATAATAAATATTAAATATATTATTATAGGCCTATTTATATACCTTAGCTCTAAAAAAATTAAATAAAAACTCTTTTAATAAAAATAATAACTCTAAAAATATTTAAATATAAATAATATAAATTTACTAACTAAGTAATAAACTTATTTTATACTATACTACTTAGTTAAAATTTCTAGAACTTATTTCGAGCTTAATAACCCTAAGGTAACGGATATTAATATAAACTAAGTTATTTTAAAAAAGAATTAAATTATAAATAGGGGCCGTACCGCGGGCCTAGTACGTTATTAAACCTAGTTCGGACCTTATTATTAATATATAAACTCTAATTATTTTTTTTAACTATAAGGTCCTAAGAGACTTCTAACTTTTTAGCTATTTTAATAAGCCTAGGCTATTTTTATTATACTAAAAGCTTATTACGTAATATATTAAAAACTACTTAGTTTTTTATATTAACTATTATTATATTTAATTTCTTTATTATATTTAATATAATAAAATAGATTTTAAAACTAAGGGCGCGGAATATTTAAAACTTATTAAATATACTAATTATTATAGCTTATTCCGAGCTACGTATTAAAACTACTTTACAAAGCCTATTTTTAAAAAAAAGAAAATCGTTCTTATTATAAAGCGTTAATTTTAAAAAGTTAAGTATATTTAAATAGGGCGCCCTAATAGTTTTATATCCTTATATTTTATAAAATTTAACCCCTCGTCCTAGCTATTATTTAAAAACTTTAATATAATTAGGATTATTATTATTAACCTAAACCTAGCTCCCTTAGCTTAATTAAATTTTTTTAATATATTTATAATAAATAATAACGATACTAAAATAGAAATAGGGGAGGCTAGAGAGGCTAGAGGGATATAAATAATAAATAAGCTATTTTAATTATAGGAATTAATAAGGATATATAATAAATTAATACGGACGTATAGTTCTTAGGGACGTATAATATTCTCTATTTCTAATTAGTTTAAAAAAATAGTACCTCCTTATAAAAGTAGTAAGGGTAACTATATTAATATAACTATTCTTATTATTCTCTCTAACTTAAGCTCTAGTTTAAGATTTTTAAAAATAAGAATACTATTATAACTTACGTACTTATTTAAAACTACTATATTATCCAATTTAACATTTATAAATCTTAAATAAGCTAATAATCTAAGTTTTTATAAATCTTAAATAAATAAGGCTTTTTCTTATTATATACTTAAAATATATAAAAAGTAAATTATAATAACGTCTACTTAATTACCTTTTTTAACGTAGTTATAATAATTTATTATTATTATAAACTACTTTTTATTAGCTTTATTTTTTTTAAATACTAAGTTATATTAGCTATTTATTTATATAATTCCCTATTATTCTCCCCTTATTAAAAACGCTAAACTAGCTCCTTATTTATTACTAAAATAAGCTTAATATTTAGCTTTAACTTAGCTAACTTATTTCTTTTATAAACTTAGTTAATATTAACTTATTTTTATTTTTAAATAAGTAGCCTCGCTTTTTATTATTAATACCTTAGTTATTATAAATAGTACGGGCTTAACTAACTAACTAGCTTTTTTTAAATAAAGCTAGTTATAATAAAATAGGCTATATTATATTCTTTAGCTTATTATAGAGGGATATAATAATTTTAAAGTTAAGGATTTAATAATATAGATCTAAAAAAGACGTTTCTTAAAAACGCTACTAAAAATATACCTCCTACTTA